CCAGCAATGGAATCAGTGTTTGGAATCTTTTAGATCCTTCACTTGCAACCCAACCAATCATGCCTGTTCGTCCGGAAGAGCCGACGATACAGAGTATTAACCCAAACGCTACTCATCGAGCTGATCTAACAGCAGATGAAAGAGCAGACCTACGCTTCGACATCTTACGATATGACAGCAAAATCAAGGAGCTCGACAAAAGAGATGCCCTGATTCACGAAGTCCGCAAGCATATCGAAGGCACTATACACATCAAACACATCGTTCTTATCAAAAACCTCACGTCTACCTACGACATCTTGAGGGCTTTGAAAAAGAGGCTAGCACCAACCGACGAAGCAAGACAGAATGAAGTTATTAGAGACTACGCCAAGCTCAAACAGTGGAACAAAAGCCAGAAACCTGAAGATATACTGTCCCAGTGGGAAGCTGTATATGCTGAAGCCAGGGCTCTTGACCTTCCAGAAGTGAGTGGCGACAGAGCTCAAAAGGACTTTATTCAAGCAATCCGCGCTATCGACGATTCATATGCTACAGCACTTGAAGTCAACATTGAACAAAAAGAATTAGACGGCGGTAAAATACCAGAATTATACGACCTAATTGAGCGATTCCGCAACCACGTTCGTAAGCAAGACTCTCTCAAGGGACTCAAGTCTACACACGCTTCTTTTTCAACCACAGAACAGCAAGAGCCACGACAGCAATCCTTTAAAGGAAGAGCACTTACAACACCATCACAAGCCTGTCCGTACGAATGCTACTGTGGAGAAGGAAAGCACTGGTTCAGAGACTGTTTTTACATCAACAAGAAGATTAGGACACAAACCTGGACTGGAAAATACGACATTTTTGTCAAGATCAACGAGTCTCTCAATAATCCACAACGAACGAGGACAAAAGAGCGAGGACAAAAGAGCACCTGAAAAGGAACTTTGAGTACGACTCTGACGCACCTATTCCAAAAGGAGCTGTTAATACAAAAGCTCACGGCGACTTCGCCACTTCATATAAGTCCAGTTTTAGCACGTCAGCAGACCAGAATAGGGATAACTCGCTGTACAATTGCTGGATCCTTGATGGAGGCTCTGATATCCATGTTTGCAACGAACCTACACGCGACTCTTGGGTAAAGACCCGGGATGCTGGTCCAAACGACAAGCTGTTAGCTGGAAAAGAGCGCTACAACATTGAAGCTTTTGGCACTGCCAAAGTCTGGATCGACACACCCGTAGGGAAGCAATTCATCAACCTTACGAACGTTGCCCTTGCCCCTGGATTTATGACCAACCTAGTGTCACTTGACATTCTTCGAGTAAAAGAAGTCCACTGGAACTCAAGAACTCCAAGTCAAATGGAACACCAGGATGGAAGCATCTTTTGCTACCTTACTTCACATGACAGCAAATGGGTATTTACTACCACTTCTCAGTACATACAGCCAGAAGCACACAAATCACTTGCCACAAAAGGATTCCAAAACTCAGCTCAACCTCGTCACCTTACAATCACTGAACGAGACCTTCATATAACACTTGGCCATGCAGGCACAAAGGCCATCTCTAAGGTTGAAGCTGCAGGAGCTGATATTACGGTTGACTCAAGCGTGCCTTGCCCTACAACAATACAGTGCGAGACTTGTAGTATTTCCAAGGCTACGCAAATCATCTCACGCCGTACAGAACGCGAGTTCAACCCAATTGGACCGTTTGATCACCTATCATACGACCTGATCCCTTTGGAGAAGTCGTACAATGGCATGAACCAATTGAGTCACTTCCACTGCTTGCTTTCAGGATTCCACATCGTAGTCTGCCACAAGAGCAAGACTGAGAGTACTCAAATAGTCCAAGATGTTGTTAAGATGATCAAAGTACAACTTGGCTTTATAGTACGGGTTATTCACACAGATGGCGAGAAGACGCTAGCTTCTGACTTTGACGGGTACCTCAAAAAGGAAGGCATGAGAGTCGAACGCTCAGCTCCTGACACCCAAGCACAAAACGGCGACTCAGAACGAGCAGGACGATCTATTGCTACAAAAGCAAGGTGTATTCGCATCCACGGAGGCGGTCCACACAACATTTGGAACTTAGCTTGTGATTATACTGCTCAAATACTCAACCGTACACCACTTGAGAAGCTAGGCTGGAAGACCCCATGGGAATACGTCTTTAAAAGCAAACCTCGATACGCTCACTTGTATCCATTCCTCTGCAAAGCTTACGCACTTGAGAAACACATCTCGAGGAAGCAGAAACTCAACCCTAGAGCTCAAGTAGGCTACTTTGTAGGCTACGAATCAACAAACATCTTCAAGGTCTGGATACCCTCAAAGAACAAGGTTATTCTAACTAGAGACGTCACATTCGACCGAACCTCCTTCTACGACCCTAGTAATACTGAATTACAAGACATACTACGCGAGACAACAGAAGACCTGGTTGAAAGACTTGAAATACCAGCTACTTTAGAGCAAAGGAGTAGGTATAGGAGCATTGAAGAAGCGGCTGTACTTGAAGCAACTACTACAGTACCCCAGAAAGAGACTAATGTAGAGGAACCAACCCAGCTGCTTTCACCCCAAATTACCCCAGAAGCCAGCAGTCCAACCCCACACAATATTAGCCTACCAGCTTCACCAGCAACACTTGAAAGTTCTGAGCTCTCTGATCTGTCAGATGATGATATCGACAATCAACTTCCACTTGCTCCTGGCAACCCTGGCAACCATGCCACTCGACGTAATGAGATATACGCTGGTGTAGATTCAGAAAACATCATTCCAGCAGGCACATCACGTACTACACGTACAGCACTGGCTACTCAATGGAGTCCATATAGCTCTTATCACTCAGCCTTTTCCACTGCACTAAAAACTAAACCAACAACTCGCCTACATCGAGACCAGATGCCGCCACCTCCAAAGACATATAGAGAGATGCTACGCCACCCTTTTAAAGACAACTTACAAAAAGCATGTGACCAGGAGATTAACACTCTAAAGTCAAAAAACACCTTCAACCTTGTTCCACAACTAGACAATAACAACTCTCTTCCTTTGATGTGGGTCTGGGCATACAAGTTTGACGAGAATGGGTATATTCTCAAGTTCAAAGCTCGTATTTGTGCAAGAGGAGACCTTCAATGGACAGACCAGGAGACCTACGCTGCCACTTTAGCTGCACAAACGTTCCGTGCAACAACAGCCATTATTGCAGCCTACGACTTAGAAACCCGATCATACGACGTAATCAACGCCTACGTTAATGCCAGATTAAAACAACCAATCAGATGTAAGTGTCCTGAGGGATACGAGCAAAGTGGGTTGGAATGGGAAGTAATCATGGCTTTGTATGGCCTCAAAGAATCAGCCCGTCTCTGGTATGATGATATTGTCAAGACTCTCGCTGAGTTTGACCTCTACCCAGTCCCTGGAGTCCATTGCCTCTTCTCAAATAGCTGGCTTACCCTTATACTGTACGTGGATGACATAATCATTGCTTATCCCAAGGAAAATCAGTCCAAGGTCGACGAATTCGAGAAACAGCTGCTTTCGAGATATCAAATACGACAGCTTGGCGAAGCTACGCACTTCCTAGGTGTACGAATCATCCGGGACAGGCTCAGAAGGAAGCTCTGGTTAATTCAGGACGACTATATTCAAAGTCTTGCAAGCCGATTCAACATTGTTATTACCCGAGTACCACAAACACCACTCCCTACAACAAAGCTAGTACCCTGGGATGGCACAGCTTCTTCTTCTCAAATTACTGGATATCAGCAAAAGGTTGGGAGTGTAAACTTTGCTTCTTGCTATACTAGACCGGATATCTGTAGAGCTGTTTCAAGACTCTCAGAATACCTAACCAATCCGTCGCCTCAACACCTCTACGCCGTTGACCACTTACTACACTACTTAGTAGGAACGTCTTATTTAGCAATTGAATTTGACGGCAACTTCCAAGGCGCGGATTCCTTTCTCTCCTGGAGCGACGCTGCGTTCGCTGACGACATCGAAACCCGGAAAAGCTCTATTGGATACTGCTTTCAACTATACGGAGGTCCAATACACTACAAATCAACAAAACAACGACATGTGACTACCTCAAGCACAGAGTCAGAGTTTGGGGCTCTTATTGCAACCGCAAAGGAGTTCTTGTGGTGGATACGCTTGTTTAGCTATATTGAGCTACGTATTCAGGACAATCCAAACATCTACTGCGACAACCAACAAACCATTCGTCTCTTACAAAGAGATACTCCAAAGCTTGTTACTAAACTTAAGCATATCGACATTATCCAGAGCTGGCTTAGGCAAGAAGTACAGGAGAAGCGCGTTAATATAAACTGGGTCCCTACTACTAGGATGGTAGCCGACGGCTTTACGAAGGAGTTATCACCTCAAAAGCATGTTCTATTCGTACAACAACTACATCTTACAGATATTAGCCAGTTGATACTTGGATCAGGTGACAGCTTTCAATAAGACGCTGTCTCCTGGGGGGGTGTGTTGTGCTGGGTCTACTTTCTCTTTTGCTCCACTTCCTGATTTGATCCACTTATAGCTCTGCTGCCTAAATGCTTCATGTCTGCCTAAACCTTACACTCTTTATATAAACACCTTAGATAGCTACCTTTTACAATGCAATCAATTCTCCATGACCTTCAGTACCCAATACCCTTTCAACCCAATACATGACTATAATACAAGAACTTCATCCTCAAATAGCATATGCCGATGCAGAGGCTCTCGGCCACGTCAGAGTGCCCGCCGGGGGCACTTCGGGCCATCGGGCCGATACTACTCATGAGTTAATTAAGTACTTGGCGAGTTGAGTTGATTAGGTGCTACTACTTAACTCAACTACTCGAATTTAATACACTGAGGTCCACCAGGAGAAAAGCCTAATGGCCAAGAACAAACACATTTTAAGATAATTTCACGATTGTTTAAAGTAAAGAGCCTTAGAAGTGGTTTTGTAAGATTGTTTACATAAGCCACATTGAATTGCTGATATCCACCAAGTTACACCTCATCCATCTCATGAATCAGGCAACGCAAGTCCCTAAAACCCCATTACTGTCGGCACCTGAGTACAAAATAGACCTTCAACAAGATGTCCCCTTTTCTTCGTTACTGTGCGTCCCCTAGAAGAATCCTCCAAGATAATCATCAGGCGCAACTTGATCGTTGTTGTAGAGAGTTGGATCAACTGGCTTTTCGTCTGTAAGTGTTTTGTTTAGCATTTGAGTTCTGGGATGCTTCTCACGTAGTGCCAGGCCCAACTTACTGGGAAGAGGGGCAGCTATTGTGCCGCAAGCTGCGATGAGAATGACAATGTTTGTGATGAAGAATTTCATGGTGTCGGCTGGTGAAGAGATGATTGGGAGGAGTATTGGGATTGCAGGTTCAGTGCTTGATGCTTTACTAGCAATTTTCAAGAGAGTCGTAACAGAAAACCCACCCTTTATATGTGCTCAAGCTGACCAACCTTGAGTTTGGAGAGTCTATTAAATTCTTACAACTCCTGAAAGATCTGCACATGCTGCTTCCTTGTAAGGATATTTTTGCCCCAGCATTCGGAGATCCAGGTTCTCATGTTGCACTACCGCTGAAATACTTTTGTTGGTGTTTTCTGACAGGATTATTACGGAATCCTGGAACACTCAATAAGATTCCTGACGAGTGAAGAGATACACAGCTGAGGGGAGTTGGTCTGCGGTTGGTTTGTGCACCAGTGACGGCATGAGAATTCTCCTCAAGTACTGGTAACGGTGTTTCTTATCAGTGATGGTTTTTTTTCAATAATATTACATCATTGTAATAATGTCGAACAAACAAGTTTCAGTTCCCCTTGTACACACTGTCATAGATAATGTAAGATTACAGTATTCATTTTGCACTTTTGGGATCTTCACTGCCATGCAAAAGCTGATGTGGAACCAACATGGGCATATAGCATTTTAATCATGGACGTAATAGAATTCTAGCGGTTTACATGTGTTTTCTTCAGGATAGCCTTCCTACCTACCTGTCGCCCACTCTTACAGTAACATTGCTCGTTGTTGCTGGCTACTTTGCCGTACACACCCACCCTTCCTCACTGCCGTAAGGGCCCACTCTTCTGGACTACTGCATACGCCCCCCCTTCCTCACTACCGCAAGCGTCCACTCTTCCTCACTGCCGCAAACGCCCATCCTCCTATTTTATAGGTCCATTGCAATGTCGTATTATTGCTACTACTATTGCTGTTATATGTATTTTAGGAAGGAGAAGAAAGAGGGCTGAAAATTAGAAGCGAAAGTTCTCCCGTAATAAATTTTTTTTTATGAAGGTTCTACTCGTCTTATTTAAGTAGTACTATAAAAATAGTAACTAAGATACCCTTTAGTTTATTATAAATACCTAATATTCTTTAATATATATTCTAAAATTTAAAAATATTTTAATTATTAAAGAATAAAGTGTATTATTTTATTAGCTTTTTATAACTAAAAGGTAGTAAAAATAATAGAAGTACATTAACTATAAAAGTTTATAATTATAAGTCTTATATAATCTCCTGCGCTATTCGCTTATATTAGTTTTATAACTAATACTAAAACTGTTATAAGATGGTATATACGGGTTTAATCTACTAATCGACTTTATCAGTTCTCATTTCAGTTCCAACTACATATATTACGCGTGCGGGACGAAGTGCAGGAAGAAAACATAAAGCGGAGTATTCTCTCATAACCCTGTGTTGACTGCATTGCATTGATGCAGCTCAATCACCAACACAAGCTCATGCAGTTGGTCAGCGCGTGGGTCAGGATATGTTGGTAGCATCCTTCAGCAGCTCCCTTTCCCATCCCCAGAAAACCTTGAGAAAACTACGCACTCCAATCTTTGGCATAATCTTTCACGTTACAATCTTTCTGCACCAATGGCTCATTACTCTGAAATAGCAATCGCAATTTTCAGCATTTATCTCATCAATCAAGCTTTCAAGCAATGGTCTCTTCGCCGACGTTTCAACGAGGCCGCCAAATCCCACGGTTGTAGACTTGCTACGAGATATCCGAACTGGGAACCTTTTCTAGGACTCGACGTCTTCTTGTTTTTCGGTATGAAAACAATTCACGGCAAACGTTCAGACGAATTTGTCAAAATCCACGCCAAGTATGGACCGACTTTTGCGATGAAATGCTTGAGCATAGAACCCATGTTGCAAACGTCAAGTTCCAGGAACATACAAACAATTGCAGCTACGAAGTTCGATGATTGGGGTGTCGGTAAGACTCTTTTTGATTTTCAAATGAGAGTTATGGAACAAATCTCATGCCACTTCTAAGGTCCATCACGCGGTAATATTGGCGCACCGTTTCTTGACCGAGGTGTAAGTGATTATAACTTCCCGCCCGAGCTCTACCTTTCTGCTCATCTCTGGTTCTTCAAACCTTAGAGCCACTTTCAAGTTATACATCATTGACATTATCGCCTTCTAGGTATTTACAGTAGACGGCGAATTCTGGAAACATTCTCGTGCACTCATCAGACCAACCTTCAACCGAGCTGAGATAGCCGACCTCGACCACTTTGAAAACTATGTCGCTAGATTTCTGAAGCTAATCCCTCGAGATGGGACAACTTTTGATTTGCAAGACTTGACAAAAAGATTGGTTCGTACCACCCAAAAACCCATACATAACGTTTTAATGTAGGAAACTGGTTCCTAGACACTTCATCAGAATTCATATTCGGTCAATCAATCAATTCTCTCTTTCCCGAAACGCCATTCGATACCCATGAATTTATGGAGGCATTTGACTACTCTTTATTCGGTCTCGCATTGCGACTAGTTCCAGGGCCCTTGAAACCACTCTTTTTCTTCGACCCTACGTGGAGGAAAGCGTACACGAAAGTTCACAAGTTCGTGGATCAAAAGGTACAGACCGCTCTGGAGCGTCAAAGGGGGATATCAAAAACCGGAAAGAAACCAGACGAACACGGAAGCAAAAGAAAGTATATTTTTTTGAATCAGATGGCCCTGGAGACTCAGGATGCCTATGATCTACGCTCACAAGTTATCAACATTTTCTTTCCAGCTCGAGATACAGCTGCAATTGCTATTGGAAACGTCATGTTTGAACTGGCTCGTAAGCCCCAGATCTGGGACGAACTCCGAGCTGAAGTTGAGCGGATCGGCGACTGAAAACTCACATATGAAGTCATAAAAGATCTCAAAGTTGCCAATGCCATAATCAGCGAGACTCTACGTCTGCATTTGCCCGGCACACGGATTTCTCGTACCTCGTTGAGAGACACCATTTTGCCAGAAGGTGGTGGTCTGGACCAACTTTCACCTCTGTTCGTCCCCAAGGGAACCTTCATTGAGATGGATCTGTATGCACTGCACCGAAATCCCAAAATATGGGGCGAAGATGCCGAAGAGTTTCGACCGTCACGATGGCAGGAGGGTCGGGATTTGTTGGAGGCTAAATTGCAGTATGCTCCTTTCTTAGGCGGTATTCGGATGTGTCCAGCTCAGCAGTTGGTTTTAACACAAGTCACTTACTTGCTTGTTCGGCTTGCGCAGGAGTTCAGTGCAGTGGAAAACAGGGATTGTGTTTACAGATACGTGGAAGAGATCAAAATGACTGTTGAAAGCAAAAATGGAGTCAAGATCTCGCTGACTCCGGCATAGATGTAAGAAACTTCAGACCAAATCAACTTGCTACTGACTATCAGTTTAATTTAATGATATCATTGTTTCACAAAACGTCACTTTTTTAAAGTTTTTTTCAGCGGGTCACTGGGAAAGTAAGACATTTGCATGAGACACTGCATGCTGGAGGGCTAGTACATCTGAGATCTAGATGTGGTGTTTGCGTCAGTCGCTTCTGTCCGGTCCAACCAGACTCAGACACATAATGAATATTAGATACTCGATACTCAAGAAACTCTTTCGCAAGCCTCGTTATATTATATGGCCGTGACCTACTAACGACACTGAAGAAGATAATCTAAATGAGGCGGCTGATACGTACTCTGTAAGCCAAATTGTTGTATACGAATCAACATAGTCTTGATTATAGGGGAAGTAAGTTACTATACTACATCTCAATAAGGATGTTAGACTTTCACTGGTCCGGTTTTTCTGAGCTGGATTCAGCGTTCGAGCGGGTTTCTACGGGGAATAATTGCAACTACTAGAGATCACTCGTGAGCTTGATGATGACTTAAGTACTGAAGTTCTGTTCAGTGCCCGACCGCCAACTTAAGTGGATAAAAAGCAAAAGCAGAATCCAAAGGTTGTCCCGAAACGTCTTCACTGTCAAAGATGTTAATTCTGTCGGCATCTAGTGATGCGTGAGCAACGAAACTTAGATAGAAAGGTTTAAGTTGGGAGAGGAAAAGGTGAAGGGAGTAATCCTTGGTGACCAGTTCCGCAGTGAGAGGCAAAAGAGGGGGTGGGTTGGAATTCACTTGTAGGTGCCTTGAAATTGCATATCAAGTGTGATGACCTAAATCGAATGCCCAATCCCCAATAACGAGTCTTTCGGCTGGTGTTCTGCTGATTCTTTGCAGAGGTAAGTTAGATTTTAGATTGTTTGAGCTACGTAAGTTCGATTCCCAAAAGTCTTGAAGTTGTGATGTTGTTAGCGAGGAGAAGTTTTCAACAACTTCAACAGCAGAGTAAAATATCTAAATACCAAGGCTGTCCCTCTAGGAACTGCGTTAGGAAATACCAGACACCCGTCGCGGGCCGTCCCGGTGTACAAAACCTTCCCCAACGCGCACTTTTCTTAATCCTAACAGTAGCTATCAAACCTTAATTTATATTAAAGGTACAGTTCTTTACTTAAATCTTATTTACGTGTTTACTTATTTGTAGGCAGGGGAGAGGAAGAGAGAGGGGGGGTTCAGGGGTATAACAGAAGTAGAGACTTATAAGAAAGCAAAGTATAAAAGTACTTACAGGGAGGGATAGAGGGGGAGAGATGAAAACAACTAAGTACTTATAGGTAGGGAGGGAGAGGGACAGATAAAAACGACTAAGTACTTATAGGTGGTTTACAGAGGTAAAGGGAAGGAGAAAGGCCCTATAATATAAATAGATAGCTCGCGGAACGCTAGGGTTGCGCTTAAACTCTCCTAGAAGTATAATAGTCTCTAGAGTACCCCTCTATCCTTAAATCCTTACTTTTAACTACTAAATTAGGCCCGTATTAGGAATTTCCGTATAGTGTCAGGAAATGTCTGACACCGAGTTCCCAGAGGGTATTTAGGGCGACCATAATACTAAGGCGATCTATCCTGAATACTCATAGAATACATAGACCTTGGTCCAACCTTCAGTCAAACCTCGGACTATTTATAATATGTTCGCAGCGCTTAATATCAAATATTTCACAACCCCCGCTTGGAGAAGAGCTGGTAGAAGAGCCTATCGTGCTCAAAATTTGTTATTCTTTTTCTTTTATTTACCTTAATGTTATGGCTCTGTTTGTACACATCGGAAACCAGAATCTTTTTATTGAAAATAAGGTAGATTTGAAAAGCTGAGAGGCGCTTTTAATTCGCCAAGTGGGGAGACGGGTGGGGTCAAAACTTCTCATTTAGTGAAGGAGCATTACCATCCCAAATTAGTTTTCTCAAATCTCGTTAGACTTTGCGAGAGTAGATATTGGTTGTGCAGTAGTAGGAACATGTGTTATGTTGAGGATCGACATCAGTATTTCTGTCTCTGTCAGTTTTATTTTCACCTAAACAAGCAGAGATGTTCGAGCATCAAAAGATTATTAAACCTCCTTTTAAATCCAAGGGTCGAATATGTACTACCCTAACCCTCAATCATGCCCCACTAACCCTACTTTAACCTCTAACCCAAACCCTAACCGCTAACCGCTAAACCACGTGTTTTACATACCAAACCATATCCCGTGTGATTAAAATATCCCGTATGAGAACAAGCGTCGATTTGTGTATTTAAAGTCCTTTAAAACTCGCTATGTTCCTGCTGTTATTCTGTCAGCGATATTCCACTTAATATGGCTTCATTAATAGCTTCACAAGGACTTACTAATCCACCAGCAATCGCAACAACAACAGGATATAAGTGACGGGATCTAACCCTCGTTCAAAGCCCTTAATATCACGTTAAAGCCCCCGGAACAACCTCTATACGATATGGTAAGAGATAGCCAGCCACTAGGACCTACACTGCCTACGGCTCGTCAGCTTTTCCCAAAGAAGTAGGGGGATTTGTAGGAGAGTTTGGGGAATATGATACTTAGTTTAGGTCTATTGGTTTGCGAGTCTTATTACGTACTTTGGTTTTGTTTTACAGGTTATTTTAGTAGAGTTTTAGTAGTGTTGTTCTAGATTCGTACAGTAGGAAGTGGAAGTGGAAGTCGAAGTGGAAGTGGGAGTGGGAATCGAGTGTTGTGTACTATTGTTGTTTATTCCCTAATACCATGAGCTTACATACAAATTCACTATTCAATTAATACTTAAATCGAATAATCGAGAATGCCGGGACCCTTGCTAGTGCCGACGCCACTTTGCAGGGATCTATTTGAAAACGTTGACGGAATAGTAAAACCCGTATGAAACTAGTTAACATTCACTTTGACTTCCCTCGAATTCTGCTCTCTGTTTGGTTAAAAACTCCTCTAGAATTCCATGACCCATTCGATAGAATGTTCCATTCCATTTAGGAGGAGATCTAGAAGGATTTAATTAAGATGGGATGAATTTCCAAGATTCCATGGAATCGAGTTCCGTTTGCCGAACGCTGTCACTGAGGCTGGGATTATTCTATGAATTGGTCCATTGAAATCTCTGAACGTATCCAAGAGTTGGAAAGACTGGTATATTTATCAGGTTCGAGTTGTATGAGAGAGAGTAGAGTGGTTATTATTGAGACTATGAGATTATAAGTCTGTGATAATGGCTCAAATATCGCATGAAGGAAATTTTGGATACAGACTCCTAGTAAGAAGTACAGTTTCTTGCCCACCAAAACTCTCGCGGTTCAGCCACATTCAATTTGTCGAGTGACCAGAATCGATACCGCATCCACAAGAAAGTGATAAACCCTAAGATTACTGAAAGTTGAAGTGAGGTACCATCCAGAAATAGAACGTCGTTGCTATCAACATTAGTAGCGGAGGCCAAAGCAGAATAAGCCAATTGTAAGGAAAATGATATACTAAGATAACTAGCGGGCAAAGCAAAGCGAATTTATCTTGCTGTCGAAAGTAATACTACTGTTGAGATCTAGTAGTATAACAATACACTGGATATGCACTGTATGGATTCATCTACATACATTCATCTTAGAGACTAGAGAAAAGAACGGGCATTATAGGTCTCTTCAAGCTTTGTAGACGCTTCGCAGACCTTGATCGGAGAGAGAACTTGCTTGACTGGGTAAGCTCTAGGGACAACAAACGGATAACGGCACAACGATTGCCCTCTATCTGTGACGATTTTGATAACGTCACACTATCCTACAAATAGACTTCACGGCTTGAAATAAGTCACTCTGTACAAATGGTGTTGTTCGATAGAAAGGGGAGGGGCTTTAATTCAAGGGGAGAACTCTTTAATTTGTAAAGTAAGGTACAGGTTGGTATTAAATACCCAGGTTCGACGCTAGTGTGTAGTGAGTGAATATAAAATATATCAAAAAATGGTATAGAGAATAATGACCAAGCCTCATTCAGTACCGCTCTACACAACCAGAAACATACCTTCGATACCCTTTCGACAGAAGAAGGATTATCGTCATCAAAAGCAATGTCTGAAAGCTTCACGTCCAAAGTTCTCCGAGTAGAAGCCACACATCATGAAACAGCCCAGAGCCCAAATTCCAAATTCCATTGACTTGCTCTCTAGTTCCTCGCCGGTAGTTGGATAGAGAAACCATAAGTGACATACTTCATCTAACCGAATCTAATACACTCCCTTCTCTCTCCAAAAACCTCACTTCCGTCAATTTCAAAAAGCTTTTCTTCCAATCCTGCACACTCCTCAATCTCATCCCAAACCCAACCTCACAATCCCCAACCAAACCTCTACCACCGACTACCATCCTACCATCAAAACCCTAAATCACATACCCACCCCCAGAAACATCCCTGTGACTCCATCTCCTTTACATCCCCTCCAATACTTCCCGAGTTAGAACCTTACCTACCAAAAGCTAACATCCATCCAATCAACTCGTACGGAAAAACAGGACATCGACCTCTCCACGTGTTAATGATTTCCGCTCTGTCGTAGCGGTAGCAATTTTCTACAAAGCCTTATATATTATCTGTACTGTAGTGTAATCTTACTATACTTTACACCACTTTTGCCCTATCCCATCCCCTCCTCCCTCCCCTTGTATCATATCAACACCACACATAGCTGCTAAGTCCCCCTTCTTTTCCCCCTTCTCCTTCTTCTAGACCCATCCTCACACTCCCACATATACTCTACAGGACTTCCCATTAACTACCAGCTCCCCAGAATCTTTGCAAAAAAGCTCTCTAATACCACTTCGTTCTACAGTAGTAGAATCCCGAAAGTATCACCAACACCCTTACACAAGGAATCAAAACATCAAAACATCACAATCTCACATACCCACTCCCAAGCAACAAAAAAAACCAAAGAATCATCGTAACCAATTCAATTCAATTCATTCCACTCCCTTTTCCTAACCATTCCTTAACTAAGCCCTACTCCCAAAGCCTCCCACTAATCCACCCACCCACACAACACCCATCCATATCTAACCACTTCAACCGTGAGTGTCGGTACTGTACCGTCCCACCAGCTCACACACCAACATGCCTGGTTCATGTTTCATGTTTCATATTCACCTCTCCCACTATCTCTTCCCCACCACTTCACTCCCCTTCCCCCAATCCAAACTCGCGCTCCGGGTATACATGCAAAAAAAAGTATGAAAAAAAAGAGGAAGAAAAGAAGAAGAGAAAGAATGATGGCCAAAAGGCCCGTATACGTACAAACAGCGCAAAGAAGCCCTCCCCACAAACAAAAGGGGGAATAATCCAAGTAAGCTGAATCCCACTCCATGCTATCCCATGTTACTCGCCATCCCCAATTTTCCTTGGTCCTTGGACATGCGGGGAAAGGAAAACCGGAAAAGTAGAACCCGAAAAAGAAACCCATAAAATACAAAGGGGACAAGAAAAAAGAAGTGGGAGAACTAATATCAACAAACCAACCGCCACGCTCCATCTACACTTACACATCGTCAAGCGACTCTCATATACACACTTCCCTCTCCATTGATTCGATCATGAATTTAAGCCTGCGACTGCCCACCAACAAGCGAGATGCAATTCGTAAGTAAAAGCGCCGCCTCATGCAACAACTCCCACCTCGTCTTTTCAAACGTCGTCCTCAAAACCATCAACATCCCACTACAAGCATTAAAACCCGACAGATTCTTAAGCTCCTCAGGCGAATCCACACTCCCAAATTTCCTCAGATAAGCACGCATATCCCTTACTTGGGCTTCAAAATCGTAGGCTGCCGGAATCGGAGCAGTAGTAGGTCCTTCGAGAGCAAAGCCATAAGACCAAACGATCAGAGCGGCGAAATACATAGACCATGGGCGGTTGATGAGAGGGTCGTCGCGGGCGGAGTATTCGAATTTTGGATCGTCGAATCCACCATGAATGTTGGGGATGGTGTTCGGTAAGAGGACTGTTTTCAAGAATTGAAGAGCGTACCAGGTTGCGTCTCGAGCTTTTGCCGTGGGGGCCCAGTTGTCCTTCATCCGTCGTTGAACACTGTTCAAATCTTGAGAGCCAATAGTGCGACCAAGGAGTCTCTTAGCTCGTGCGTATATTTGACAGTCAACTATATCGACGTGCATTGCCATGTGAGCGAGATGATGCAGAACTGTTCTACCCTGGAAAACGACGCTCTCTTCCTTCTTCTCAGCGTACATATATGGACCAGGGACATTGCCAGCACTGCGGGTCATGGATCTGTCGAAATCCTTTCTCCATGAATCGAAAGCACGTGTCAGGGAACTACGCCATTTATCACGACCACCAAGAGCTTGAGAAACCCCAAGTGAGTTGACTTGAAGATCTCGTTGGTTCATGTGCCAACTGACGCTAAGCAGACCGGCCATGAGGATGGTTCTCCCGAAAGAGTTGGTTCGAACTTCTGAACCATTGAGCGTCCGCTTGAGGCCCTCCAAGAAAGAAATTGGCTTTATTCCGTTGGAGTGTAAGCTCGCTTCAATCCTCCCCACCTCGGCACTATTTGTAGCGTTCCACAAAGCTTCGTCGCAAGGAAGTGGAAGTCTCATCTCATGAGCCACCATCACTGTTGAATGTCCAAACATCGTGGCGTGGGTCGAGTCGATGACAAATGCTGCAAAAGCTGCTCTTCGAGTGGCCTCGTTGGTGATCCAATGGTTCCACCATTCATCAGGAGTATTGGATCCGGATGTGGACGAGTGACGTGACCCATTTGGTCCTTGCTTATCATCTCTTACACTTGGTGGAGAGTCGAGTGCCGACCTGCCAATCAGTGAGCTTCCTCGTCTCATCAGAGTAATGGTGGTTGCGTGATGGATGTGAGCTCTCTCGTGCAGTGCTCTAGTAGAATACATCTTTTCGTACAACTCCAATAAGAGAAGGGCTTGGAAGACCCATAACTTGGCGGGAGGTCTGAAATGGTAATCACTAAAGATCTGGCGGTATCAAGTCAGTGTACATTCTTTGGCAAAAGTTTACGGCCCACGAACCTCCCATCTCAAATGCCAAGCCAGAAAGTTTGAAAGTTCTGCACCAGCTTGAGTAACCTCATAGCCATGCATCTTATCTAGACACGAAGCACCAATAGCCATCATGGCAATAAGGAGAAGATTTGGTGTCTTGTCCGGTGAAAAGGTTGGCTTATGCACTACCAGAGCGTTAGAACTTGTAAGATTGGGAAATGATATTGGACAACATACAAATTGGTACTTGTTCACTAAAATGATACCAATAACTGCCGATATAAGTTTGCATCATCTTACGACTCATCATATGACTGTCAACATTACGATCTCCTTCAAGCAGATTTTCTTTTTGCTTCGCAACAGGTGTGTGATCTCCTTCGTTGAATCGTTCTTTGATGAGATCAATAATTTGTTGACTTTTCTCTTCAGAAAGCACAGTTTCTGGTAGACTGGTATCTAAAAGGCTAGTAACGGCCATTGGATGGGACTGCTGATTTGGAGGAAAGAATCCTGAAAGGCCAACATCATTGGCAAAGTACGGAGCATAATATTGGTTTTGACCGTCAGGGTATCTTTACATATGTGATCAGCAGATGGCAGGTGCATCAATGTACATGAGGTTCAACTTACGCAGCATAACCTTGCGGTCCCATATGGTTCATTGACGAAGAGTTTTCGAGCTGCTGATTACTGAATAAATACGCAACAAAATCCTCAGGGATAGCAAAAGGAGATCGGCTATAGCCTTCACCGCCAAAAACCGGCATGGTGTTGGGTGCAGTCATCTGGTCCAACATCATCATTTCGGGGCCAGATTGTTGATGTTGCATTGGGTCATTGGAATATTCGGCGGGCATTGAAGTTGTATATGTTGGCTCTGTTTCTCGACCAGCCGATGCTGCCGTGGCAACTGATGCGAATCCAGGTGGAGGAAGGGTGAAAGGAGGAAAGTTTTGCTGAGCAACGTATGTTTGAGGGCTAGCATGGTTGGAATGATAGGGCTGGTTACTTGTCCCGGAGTTCAAGAGACCAAATGGCCCTCCAGGGGTTTGCAATGGAGGCCGTGAGAATTCAACGGGTTTACTTGCATCAGAGACCCCAAAACTGGAATGTCGCGGGGGTCTGTTAACAGGGAGTGCATTTGTCTGAACCTGAACTTGCTCTCTTGGAATATTGTCGCTGTTGGATCTCTTGAAACCACTTGCTAGATTGAAGCTCTCACCATTTGTAGAGGGTCCGTTAGAGTAGGTTCCGGAAGAGGTATTTGTCATAGGCGAGTAAGCACCAGGAGTCATTTCTTGGGGTGAGTGATACTGCAATTGATTTGTACGTGACTTCCCCACGAGGTTTGGTCTCATGATCTCTGGAGAAGAGGAGCCCATGGATAAAGATTTGGCAGTCTCTGTTATGGGGGAGTGATTATGACCTAACATAGAATCTTTTCGGTGCAGCTGGGAGCCCTTGGCTGTATGTCGTTCTCTGTGTCTGTTTCGTAAGTCCTGCCGGACAAATGTTCTGACACAGTCTGGGAAGTCACAATTATATATTTGTTTTGGTTGATGGTTAAGTTGGTGCCGATACCTGCGAATTTCATGTTTAGCTGGCAATCTGCAAGTGGAGGGTTCTTAGAAAGCCTACAGATGCTCCGCTCTTGAATAGCTCTTTCCACAATTGGGCTCTGGACATTCAAACTTCTTATCCAGGCCTTTTCTGCTTCTTCTTCTCTTTCTGGATGGACCATCTTCGCCAGAAGAATGGCCCTCTGGACCATCTAAAGGTGAAATGTCCCCATTCTCGTCTTTGACACTGCTGCCACGACTACGACGCCGACCACGATTTTTGTCTTCTTTCGACTGATTTTGTTGAGTCGCCTCTGGTATTTGGGCCATATTGACGTTATTTGGGGTATCCTTCTGCGACATGATCTTACTGCCGGGAAACGAATGCGGTTGCGGTGTGATTATAGAAGTCATAGTCTGTTGTGTTGATGATAACTCGTAGGAAAACTTTTGAGCCTTCAACAAGAGTCTTCTCGAGGGTCTCAACTGCGCCGTAAGCAGCAGATCACATATATTATAGCTAGTGACTGTCAGATAGCTACATTCACTCAACTTCAGGATCGCATGATGTGTAATGTTATTCCAGAGTATGGTTGTGATTTGCGCTGCGCATTTTGGTCCTAGATGAGAGAGGTCAGACTTACAACTGGGCACTGCAGAGCCGAACAACAAAACACCCCTATGCAACAACAGAGGCAGGTTTCATTCGCTTCTACTCTCGTATGTACAGTTCCAATTGATGTTGGAGTCGTCTACAACATGCCGTGGAGTTGCATCAAGGCCTCGCAGGCGCAAAAGGCAGCGCGACAGATTTTGGCGGGGTCGAGGTCGGTTTACGCAGTTCGTTCACGAAGCCGAGTCGCACAATCGGGTAGCTTAGGGGACTGAAGCACGAGATGCGGAGGTGGAGGCGGATAGACAACAGCTTGTACGATGCAAGGCGACACGGGTGCGACGAAGTACAGTCTGAGGAAGTGAGGTTCGGAACCAGGTGGTTCAGAGTTCAGAGTTCAGAGCTCAACGGGAGGTGGATCGGTAGGGAGTGTGGTATGGTATCGTGGAGGTTGCGTGTGGGTGCGGGTGTAGGTGTGGGATGAGCCTGCCCAGGCCTGATCGCTGGGTTGATCTGGTACTTGTGCTGATACTGGGTTGGTGGCTCGCCGCTTGGGGTGGGTGTGCGTGCGTGCTGGTCTGGTGTTGGACTGATGGGACGACGAGAATTGGACAAAGCTTGCGGTTGTGGGGGTTGACGCGATGTGGGCGGAATTCTCTTGTTATTTAGGGTTGACTCAACACTTGGGAGACTCTTGGGCCCGTGGAAGTGTTCGTTGGAGAGGATCAAGCTTGGTCAAGGTTGCCATCAAAGCAGATGGGACGGCTCGGACTGGGGCCGTGATGTGGGTGAGCCAGGTTCCTGTACTGTAAGGATCGCCCGCCCAGAAGAGCAGCGCTGAGAAATATGCACTGCAGTGCAGTATCCAGTATCCGATTATTGTACGGGGCCTGAATCCTGCCCCGGTTGCCCAGTGGGTGGAATGATGAGTCGGACGGTTGAGGACTTTGACAAGAATATGTGGAGAGCCTTCTAGTTGGGGTTGGTAATTGATGGTAGACAGAAGATTGTGAGTTTATGAGGTATTCGCAGTTCAACTCCGCTATACTCGTACCAAAGTCTCAAAGGTTCACTTCTCCACAGGAAAGTCGTCTGGAGGCTTGAGACCTCTCTAGCGGGACGTGTGCCAGAGGAATGTCAGTGTGCAGTGTGGCGGGTGAAAAGGGCTAATTTGATTGTGAAAAAGGGGTACAGTAGTGTGAAGCGGAAGAGCAGTCTAGAAGTCGTAGAAGATTATGCGAAGACAGGCGGAAGAGGGGATGCGTCTAGCAGCTGGATTAGGATTATTGTCTTGTGACCTCCAGGGCGGCTGTTTCTGTGGTTGCTTTGCATCTGCAGTGCATATTCCATGTCCCATGTATGCTGTAATCCATCAGGTAGAAAACCCCCTTATAAAATTCTTTCTCCTTCCTCTTCCACGAGTCCTGCGAAAACACGCAAACAAGCCTACCTACAATAAATGTTTCGTTTACCCGTGTGCCGGGTAACCGGAATAGCCGAGGACTCGAGAAGAATGATCATGGAATCATATTTGTAACTTGAAAGGGACTAGAGAGGCTCGTAATCATCGTCAACAATATCTATGCGGTAGAATATTCCGAGCTCTTTTTCTTCTATCACCGCTGTTGTAACCTAAACGGGTTGGTTGGTGAGAGCGGTACTCGCCTCTCCCCGCCTTATTTCCTCTGGGAAAGTTCAATCGACAACAGACGCGAACATGGGTGACCCGTCCATTTGGCACCCCCTCGACGAACGTACCAGGCCGAAAAAGGAGAGAGGGGTGCTAAAGCCGTGGCTGTCTCCAACCTGTCAATGCCTCATCCAAATTTCGAGCCATCTGGTTCGCCTGGGTAAAAACCCATGCAGTCGGGTGTTGATTAGGAGTCTGCCGCTTGTCTCAACGACACCGTATATCGGCATGCTTCACCGGTCCCAATACGGTACAGAGAATACTGATTGGGTCTTGATTACCTTCCGGTAGAGAGAACTGGCTCTGTCTAATGGTTGTCTTTTGTACTTATCCATGACTTGTACATAAATATTTGTATACAGGTTGGAGGCAGACTTATCCCCCAGATTCTTTATAGCCGCAGTAGTTGCCCCCCGTTTTTATTTGCTCCTGCATGTGGCGAGGTGGTTCCTCACGCCCTTCTGATAGATCAAGCGAACTCGGTTAACAGCGGAGAGTACAAGTTGTCTATGCAAGAGTCGTATACAAATAAGCGTTAGGTCTCTTCGAGATGCTTCTGCATGAAGAGAAGAGACAATACACTTATCGTTGCTCGCTTTCCCCCTATTCATTTCGTATTTGTTTGTTGCACTGAAGCCATGAGAGATGAGAGGTGGCTTGCAGGCCTGGTCTGTGGAGAAATCTCCCTGCTCTATCTTCTATGTGCCTTTGTGGCGAGTCCATGTTGAGTTGGATAAGTTCTATTTCGAGTTGGCCTGCCAAATCAATGGCACATGGCGTTCAGGTCTGGGACTTTGGTTTTCTTGCTGACACTTGTCTAGAAAACGACATTTCCGTTCTGTCTCTCAATTTTTACGATCCCGACAGACTCATACATAGTTATCCGCCTGATATTTGTCCACAGGAACCCCGGGAAGCCTCGAATGGCAATCTTTGACGAAAAGCTTCTTCCCTCATAAAAGCAAAGACAAGTTTGCAAGGAAAAGGCACGGGTCGTGCCATTTGGTTTCATACTTGCTTTTTTGGAAGAAATTTCGGCTTCGAAACCTTCCATTCATTCCAGTCCACTGGGACTGGGGACGGCAAGACCGGCTCTGTTCATCCCTCTCGCGTCAATCTGGGGATGACGGGGGACAGCAGAAGGCTGAGACTGGGGTAAATTTTCTTCAAGCTTTGTGTCCTTCGCCTGACCAAGTTTGGAGGTGGTGGAATGAGCTCTGATTTGCAGAATACCACAGGGGAGCAGGGCAGAAACTGATTCCTAGGTCTTGGCTGCTTATGCAGCGAACAAGTTTGCATGGTAGTATGCCAGCCAGAGAAGAAGAGGGAATATAAGGCAGTGACGCTGGAGGCTGGACCAGCACGTTGAAAATTCAACCTGTAAAAAGAGAAAACGGAATGGCCTGATCAGAGAAATCTGAGGGAATTCCAGACGATGAGAAAATGACGCAGATGTTGATCCGTCATCGTTGGATGAAGCTCAACGGAAAGACAGAGCGAGAAGGATACTTGGATGAGTCCATGGCGCCGTCGCGAATCGCGATCAAAGATTGTTTGCTCCAGAGTGGGTTAAGCGACGAAAAGAGGCGCCGGAGAAGAAATCCGTCGCGTCGGTTCGCAGCGTGTTTTTTCGTGTTCCCCGGGGTTCCAGTGACTTGAAAAGCGAAAACCGGCAGAACGATCAATCTGCTTGCTCGAATCTTTGAGGATCATCGAATCGCTCTCTCAAACTGTAGGTTGATAATTAATACCGAAAAATAGAGGTGTTTCTGCTCTTGGTTAGTTTCCAAACTTTACATGTACGAATCTCCCTTGTGTGGCTGGTGGAGATTCACGAGAAAGTACTTACCTCCGTAAGTACTGGTACTTGCACCAACAGGAGGACAAGAGCTGTGAGCTACCTTCAATCTGAAATCATTCGTCTGACACAAACACATACATATCTTATACATTCCAATATAATATAATGAAACAAATATGTTGATTCGCAGTGCCACCAACGATTCTCGCTTCAGCCTTCTCCTGTAGCCTCGGAACGGATCTCCCTACATTAGTAGCCCCACCCTGCCGGCGCAGCCTTTCCTCAAGGCACCCGGCGCATCGCATGGTCAACTTGAAAGGACCCCGATAGCGTTCCTCGTTACATGTCCGAAAACATTTCCACTCCATGACGGAATTCTCCCACCCTCATCTCTTACCATAATTAACTCTTCAAAACCTGCGTTCCATCAAATAAACCTCCAATCATGCCACCAGCCAAATCCAAACCGCAGCCTGACGACTCGAGGTCCGAAGCCAGCAGCACGAGGGAGAAGCTTGGGAACACCTCCAATGCCGTCAATGGCAAAGCTCGTCGAGCAGGAGGAGCCGCGGCAGCTGGGAGCTCTCTTCGAGATGTAGTAAACGCAGGCCAAAACAATCCCAATGCGACAGCTCCAGGAAATGCCCCGGCCGACACTGCGCCTGGTGTGAGCATCACCCCATTTCCCACCGTTGATGAATCTCGCACTGACTTGCCTATAATAGCTTCAATGGACCAGTTTCGACCCCGCCGTTCTCCATGGATACCGATATGATTATCGTCTGAATACCCCAGCCGCGTTCACTAAACCATACAACCAGATTGTGCTCTCCCGTTCTGCAATTGGCAGAATGTCGCCAACCATGGCCAGGCGCAAGGAGCAAAGGAGACAAGGCAGTGACCAGCTTGCCAATTCTGTACGAAAACACTTCAACAGTATGGGTATAATCGAGAACGAGGTAGTCGTGGATTTCTTGTACAAGGTTCGATGGCAAGGTAAGTCTACCAAGAATTTCCCACCCGTAAATAAACATACACGAGACTGAGACCATGTCAGACAAGAAGTTCCGAATGCGATTTGCTCCTCCTAGAGCTGCACCTCGATGATTGAGAACCATTCGGACTCTTTACGTATATAATATCACATCTGCCTGGCGTTGGAGGACTGGAGTTATGGGATCATGAGTTGGAGCAAATGGCGTATGTTTTCCAAGCCTTGATACCCAGCATGGTAAGGACATGGCATTTTTGGGTTCTTCATAAGTGGGAATATTGAAGCCGTGGCGTCAGTCTGGAGGAACATTTCCTCATACTATTTGATTTGGTGCGCACAATTGCAATAGATAGTATATACTGATACAATCCTACTTATTGTTGCTTCTGAAGAAAGACTTATGTTCGCCTAAATCCAACTATCAATTTTGAAACCACAGTTACAAACACCTCTTAAACTAAACGATTTTCTTAAACGCACAAATCCATAATACATGTGGTCCTGAGGGACAGGTGAAAACGTGAAATTCTTTTTTTCAGATCGCACAATATAATAACTGGATGGTGTTGTGCTGATGGACGCGGGGACTTCCAGAAGGCTCTCGGGATTTCTCTTGTCCCCTGTCAAGTCCACTTGGTTACACTAAACCTTAAGCACCAGCCAATCATCATCAACCAAAAAAAAAGTTGTGAACCGAGAGATTCCACCCCAGCTTCAGGTACAAACTCTCAACTCTCTTACAAAGCAATTCTTGCGCATTGCTACTCTGTGCTGCAATCCGCCAGCTTCGATATAATCATACTAGAATTTGTATCGATGCATCCCGACCAGCCATCATGAAAAATAGATCAACTTGTCTTTTTACCAAGGCCGCCACAACTCGGATTGCATGTCCTGCGCGAGCCTCACGACCAGTACATCTCAAGAAGAATATTCCAATCAACCAGTCACGATCGATATGCTCTGCCGGCGCCGTTCGAACTTCCCGCTTCAATACTATAGCTCCAGTGGTCCAGGTTACAAGATCACAAAAGAGGGTATGTCATACCAACATGTCCCAATTTACAATGTTCTATGCTAACTTTACCAGCAATTCCATACTACCCCGCGCTCGCTCGCAACGAAAGACCCATATTCAGTCCTTGGTGTAGATAAAAATGCTTCAGCAGGTGAAATCAAAAGGGCATACTACGGATTAGCGAAGAAATACCATCCAGACACGAATAAAGACCCATCAGCGAAGGACAAATTTGCGGAAGCCCAGTCCTCATATGAACTCTTGACGGATCCCCAGAAGAAGGCGGCATGGGATCAATACGGCTCGGCAGCATTTGATCAAGGGGGTGCCGGACCAAGTCCTGGTCCTGGAGGTCCGGATCCTTTCGCTGGATTTGGTGGAGGTTTTGGAGGGTTCGGCGGTGCTGCTGGTGCTGGTACTTCTGGTGGATTTGGTGGTGGGTTTAGCAGCTTCAATTTTGAGGATTTATTCCCGGGCTTTTCGACAGGAGGAAGGGCTGGTCGTGGTGGGCCCCAGCATGGAGAAGATATTACAGTACAAGTATCAATATCCTTCATGGACGCGGCAAAGGGCGTCAACAAAACGATACGAATCGATCCATTGGTTACATGTAAAACCTGTACTGGGAGCGGATTAAAGCCTGGAGTGAAGAAAACGGGATGCAAGAGTTGTGGTGGTACTGGGACCCAAGTACATTTCGTACAGGGGGGATTCCAGATGGCATCGACATGCAACGCCTGTGGAGGAGCAGGTTTGGTAACACCCCGAAAAGGACACTGCGGTGATTGTAATGGAGAAGGTGTTGTCAAGGAACGAAAAACAATCACCGTAAATATTCCCGCAGGTATTGCCGATGGAACATACGTACGACTCCAGCACGAGGGCGACGCCCCCCGGACCGCCGATTCGATCAACTCCGATGCGCGATCTATTCCAGGCCATCTGAACGTCTTGGTACAGGTAGCTACAGACCCAAAATTTACTCGTTCTGGATCGGATGTTCATTACACTGCTACCATCCCACTCACCACCGCCATCCTCGGAGGCGAAGTCACGATCCCAACATTAAAAGAACCCGTCAAAGTCAAAGTCGCAACCGGCACATCCACAGGAAGCAAAATAACTCTTTCTAGGATGGGCATGCAGGTGATGGGTTCCAGAAGAGGGGCTATGGGTGATCTCAAAGTCGAGTTCACGGTTGCAATGCCGAAGTATCTTACATCTAACCAGAGGACTATTGCGGAGATGTTGGCGGATGAGCTTGGTGATGAGTCGGCGAAGAGAATCATGAATGTTCGACGGGATGGGTAAGTTAACCCTTTTTTTTGATGTGTTTGTGGAGACTTGAGATTTTCCCAGTTTGTGGATTTGGAATCTTGTCTAACGTGGTTTCTTCTTGCTTTTGAACAGGACTGGGAATGAGACGAAGCAGGATGGCTTCTTGAAGAGTGTGTGGAATAAATTGGGGGGTCATTCTGATGCTGGGGGAGAGAAATCGGAGGGAGATAAGAAGTGAGGAGACATGATTGCGATTGTTGATTTTTATGTGTATGGAAATGATGAAATGTTGGTGGGGGAGGGGAATGAATGAATGGGAGAATTTTGTACATTAGATTTGTACAATCATATATCCTGGGTGGGCATTGTTCTTTTGTTTTATGTGTGGCATGGATGGAATGGGGGATGAGGGATGAGGGTGTAAATGATGAGATAGATGTGGTGGGGGGAAGGGGAAGCAGGCGTTGTACTGTATATAGATGACATGATGATGGGGATAGATACATGGATGGGTGGAAGATACTCTGCTCTAAGATGAAAATAAAATTTTCTTCTCGACTGGATTGGACTGTACTGGACTGGTGATGATGTCTTTGTTATCGTAATACCGAGACTGAGGAACATACATGTAAGATACATGTATAGCTTTATTTTGAAGCTCTTTGGAAAGTACATGTGGGGAGTGGAATCGGAATTGGAGTGTAATCTTGTAAGCGGTAAGCAATAATAGAGTTTGTAACTTGGGATGGGATCATGGAAATTTTGGATGGAATTGAGAGGGAGTTGGGATGGGATTATTGATGCTTTGGATATAAATTTAGAGGTGATAGAGTATATGAATAGGTTGATATCTGGTTTATTGTTTACTTAGTATAAGGTACTCCTCAAGATGAGAAACCAGTATCTAGAAATAAAATTAATATTAACCCTCCTTCCCACGCTGAAGAAGACCGTACAAATAACAGAGACTACGGTTCATATATGAATCATCATTTTTCAAGGAGCTCGTAAAGAAAAGAATTCGAAGCTCGATTTAGATCAACTCAAACGCGCTTCTAGTGTTACTTTTCGAGCGCTCTCAAAATTGCGATGTACAAGTTCAATAAAAGTTTCGAATATTTATGTTTTTGGGTGCTTGTGAACTTTTGGTTTTCCGACCTTCTCTATAGATTATGGCTGGTCACTGCCCCATTACCCCTTTTCCAGACTCGGAAAATTAGGGCCAGTCTGTACTGTACATTTAGTCGGGGCTGTTTTGGAGAGGTTAGATACTTCGTTTGTCGTTCAAGAAGAGGAGTTCAAGGTGCACGAACTGGAAGTCGGTATTGAAACGCCTGTAGTAGGCTTATTTTAGCTCTGAGATTTATTTAACGACGGCGATGATAAACTTTCTGTTCTGTAAAGGTAGTCTTTTTTTATTGGTTGCACAGATGAGAGATGGGGAGTATGGGGGTTTCGATGGGAGGATGGGAGGATTTGTGGGGTGGGGTGGAGTGGGATGCTTTTTTGAGAGGGGGAGGAGGTGGAGGAGGGTAGTTGGTAAGGCGGGGGGAGGGGGGAGGTGTAGATTAATATGTCTCGATAAGTGGGTAAGGTGACAATTTGAGATAGGTTTTTGTTTTGTTTAGAAAAGGTGGGTAGCGCTATTCAGGTGAGTGGCTATAATGGTAATAGCAATTTTGCAATGCAGGTACTGGGATGTATGTTGGTTGAATTCCAACTCATTTGAGGTCCTCCTATTGCGAATTTGCAATATATCCATCCCATGGTACTTAACGGGTCCATCACCTGGTACTCGATTCTCGAATACTTCCCTTCCATTCTTTTCCTGCCGCTAGAACCATATCTTAACATTGTTTAACGGTTTGGAGATCTTGACTTTATTTTAACTTGGCTATCTTGTACATCTCTACCTAATAAATATTAATAATTTTGTTCTTGGTGAGCAAGGTGCAAATAAGAATGAGCAGGGTAATGTTTAGATGCCTTGATGGTTGTGGGTACATGGTGTTGGTGGTGATATGTTTGCATGTGTTATGTTAGAGGGGATGTGATGAATGAGACTGCTAGAAGAAAAGTATAATAAAAAGGCGGCATTTATTAGTTCTAAGTTTGGACTTCTTAGTTAATAAAGAGGACATAGTAGTAATGTTAAGCTTGTTCAAACTTTTCAATGATTTCTCTATAGATAGTCGTCATCTAACAAGACCAGAAGAACAATATCATCTAGTCCTGCAGAAGCTTTTACAAAAATCACAGGTGTTATGTTGAAAACTTCTACTGAAAGTTTATTTGCTGAAGAATTAGAACATTTAGGTAAAGGCAATAATCTAAGACGACAATTTACAACAAGAGAGGATGCAGTATTCATTACTATTCTTCTAACACTTTCGCTTTGGTACAATTGTTTGTGGCGTTTGATATAAAGGTATCAAACTATTATGAGGAAAAGCGTGTAATAAGGTAGGGTTAGGAGGTTAAGTCATGTGCTCGGCTAAACTCGCTAGTCTTCAAGGGTAAACAATAAGGCATTTCAACAACAGTGGAACAGATGGCAGGAAACTATTACAATATTGGAAGTTGGTAGTAACGAATAGTCTAAGGACAACCCTATCGCCATAGCAAGTACTGCGTCAGCAAATCCATCACCCTGTGTAGCGAAGCTATTTTAATGTATCGTCAGTAACAATCCTCGCAACAGCCCCCGCAGCAAGACATCCCCGCAACGAGCCCATCAGCAGCCCCTGCAGCAACTGGTAGCTCAATTTAACTCAAGGCAGCACACTCTCCATCGACTCTTGCCTAACATACACCCCGTCAACATCCATCTCATTAACATCCACCCCACGAGAGATCCTTCGAGTATCGTCATCTAGACTAGCAGCCAATACTCCAAGCAACGAAGGCAAGTCAAATCCTTTGCCCTCATAGAAACTACTTGAATCTCACTTTCTTATCAGGTACACGAGCAAGTCTAACCATCCATGATGGCTCCCTCAAACAAGAAGAAGAAGAAGAAGCAAGCTGCTCTACTACCTCTCGATCCTCTTCCAAAATGCGAGATGTGCCTGAGACCTGAGCCTTCCATCCTTTGCCCTGATTGTAGCGCGAACTATTGCTCTCAAGCCTGTCTCAAATCCGATACTGCTGACCACCAAGTATTTTGCGCACACTTCATGAGGAACAAGAACTACCAGCGCTCGCCCTCGGTCGGAACAAAGAGCTACAAACTCGCAGCCCTTACATCAGATAACTTGGTTGGCTACATTTTCGTTTTGATCGGGTGTGACCGCGCTTTCGAAGAGAGACACCTTCGTGACCAAAAGGGGCAGGCTGAAAGTATCGTCAACGTCGAAAGTCTCCTCAACCTTCAAATCCTCCCGCATACCGAAGAATGCCCATACATTTCAGAAACCATTCTTTTCAAGACATCCGAAGACAAGGAGTTGAAACGATCTTCAAGTGGCGATGTTATAGAAGTTTTCTATTAACAGAACTTTCTTATAATGGCGCAAAGCCTATCAATTTCGCCCTGCAATCGTGTTTAGGTGTGCGAAAGCGCGACTGGCGAGGACCCATATTGATCACAGGTGCTGTTGCCCTCAATATGAATTGCGAGTATTACTCTTATCAAGACATCACTCCGAAACATTTGACCTTGGCAATGGAGTATTTTAAAACCACAGGAGATTTTGTTGGAGAGACTGAAGTGGATAATGCTGCCCGCCGACAAATTGCTAGAGGACTCCCAAAACGCATTGAAGGTGTCAGACTCGCTTGCGAAGGCGACCTCGAATATGAGCCAAATATCAAAGCCATTCAAGCAAAGCGAGTCGACCGTCGGCAACACAAAATCATGGCCAATGGTTTCCCATCTACCATCACCAAACTCCTCGGCATCCCTCTCTACATGATCGCACTGCCAATCCCAGATACCTGGCAGCTCAATCAGAAGATCTTTATCGACGAACTTTCGAACCCATACATCAAGTCATTCCTCGCTAAACTAAACCCCGAGGAGGGAGAACATTGGAGTACCTCTGATCATCCTGATTGGCAACCAATTGATGAGACCTTAAAGACTGGGACCGGTTCTACTTATGCGAGTAGATGGTCAGTCATTGGATGTTCAACTTGTCGAGGATTTGATATCTTATGAGACTACTGTTCTTGCTGCCAAATTGGCGATGACGGAAGATGCGTGCTCTAAGGTCAAGAAGTCAGAGGTCAGCAATACCAAGAACGAGGATTCTGAGGGCGATAATTCTGAGGAAAGTAACCCCGGAGTCAAGAGTGTCGAAGAAATGATTTCAGAGGACAATTACCCCACGGATGAGATGGCTACACGACTCGTCGAGAAATCTGGCAAGTATGAAGCACGCAAGGTGATATAATGAGAAAATACCTCACACCTGAAGCCTTCGGCAAGTACCTGAAGGAGGGTAAGAAGGAAGAGTTCGTGGTTGAGGATGATGAGCCTATCGAGGAAGAGGGTGATTCCGAAGAGCTTCCAGTCATTCCAGATCATCCTGTTGAACAAGATGCGTGATCTCATGTATAGATTCATACACGGGTAATATAGGAAAGCCTTGGGGATTTGGTGTTTCTTGAGAGTGGGTACCCGTTTTGACGGGATAGTGTGAGCTATTATCTTACTCATGAAACAAAAGGATGTGGTAGTGCAGGATTATCTTAGATATTACAGGAAGTGGAATCGATGAGTCCGGGCATAGGAAACTAAGGGCTTAGATAGATTATTGTCTGGAATACACAGATAGTTGACATGCAGACTGGTTTCCCGTAAAAGTTATTTTCCTTTTGAGAGTAATCGACCGGAGCGAAATATCCTCAGTAGATTCGACTTTGACTATCATAATTCCTCGGTAGATATCCCATAATTATGACTCCAGCATGCCACTGAGAGCAACAAATCAAACTCATTCCGTACAAACACTGGTAGGCTAGTCTTAGGATCTAGCACATGAATCTTCATCACGTAATCTTTGTATGAAATTAAATTCCCTCGTATCGTCATATATTATTCTCAAGCTTGCAACTGTTCTACAGCTTGTCTAGCGAACTTATATCACTACAAAGAAATTCATGTTGAATCTAAAACCATACTCACTTATTCTTACTTGCCCCCCCTCATACAGTCAGGCCGTTGACATCTAAGGAGCCCAGTTGATGATCGTTCCACTTCCTTTCTCTTTACCAACCAGAAAGCGTCTGCAAAGGAACTGTGACGGACCACAACAAGGGCAAATCTCTCCTTCAAATCTCAACAACATCGCTTAACAACTTAATTCACGGTCTCATTCTCAGAATGTCACGGATATCACTGAATTTCCCTTCTTTCTATTCACCTTAGAAGAATCGGAGCTGACCGACAGGATACAGGACAACAGAGATAAGGAAATCACGCAATTCCAATTCACGATGCTCTCTGCTGGTTGCACAACACTGACCGGAAACTACGGGTACAAATCTGTTCTGCTTCCGTTCGGCACAAAACTTCCCGTTCCTGCTTATGAAGGCCCCTACAATCCTAATTCACAGATAATCAATCATGAGCTTCGAACTATATACCAGCGCAACTGCGATAAACATTTGGAAGTCTCATTCGGCTACAGTTAACCTGTCGCTTGACTTACACCGAGTCTTGACGGTACAAAGACTATCGCTTACATTAGCACTTTAGCCTCATTTGCCTCTCCTTCATGCTCCTTTCTTGAACCTAGCCTCTTCTTATCCTCTCCTATCTAGTGAAGTAATCTATTATCCGTTTCTTTGCTAGGCTTAAAACCTAGCTCTCCTGCTCGTTTCTAGAAGCTCTAGAGAGGAAAGAAGGTGAGATACTAAATACTAAATTATGATTCTTAATACTCTAGTAAAGTTAATATCTAGGTTATCTTAGAGATAGCCTAACTATTAGGGAGCTTAGTTATAACTTTAAGCGAGAGTTAGAGATATTAAAAGGATTTCTTAGTAGTTTATTCTAGGGCTAGTATTATAATATATTAGTCTTAGCTAAGACTTCTATACTCCTATCTCTACTACCTAACCCCCTATCTCTACTACCTAACCCCCTATCTCGGTTATCTACGTAGGTACCTAGTACTCTAGAAGCTTTTACTTAGTTAGGGTCGTCTTATAAGACTCCTTACTTACCCTTAGCTAGATCTTTCCCTCCAAGTTCACTTTTATAGCTTATTCTTATAGTCTTCTATTTTATCCCAAATAATTAGTAGTAATCTTACTACCTCGAAAACTAGATAGGTCTTATATTAAACGAAATCTAGTCGAATTACCTAGACTAGTATAAGGTACTAGGAATCCCTCTAATATTTTAATTACTCTTACTTAAAGTTACGTTAAGATCTTATTGGGTTGAAATGGTATTGGGTACTGAAGGTCATGGAGAATTGATTGCATTGTAAAAGGTAGCTATCTAAGGTGTTAATATAAAGAGTGTAAGGTTTAGGCAGACATGAAGCATTTAGGCAGCAGAACTATAAGTGGATCAAATAAGGAATTGGAGCAAAAGAGAAAGTAGACCCAGCACAACATCATGTTATATACAACTACTCGAGAACTACTCGAATAGTCAACTCTACTACTCAACTCAACTCAATAGAATCACCTAATGATACTCATTCAACTCAACTCAAGTACTACTCGAGTAGCGTTGAGTATATGATTAATTTTGTTAATACGCTGCTAGTGGTCAATAGATAAAAAGAGCAACACATCCAAAGCACGACGGTGTACAGACTCTCCATATTTTCATACTGTAGTATCAAAGTACTTAAAGAAGAAATTCAAGGATGGTTTTCTCAACGAGAACGAAAACAATGTGGAGGCTTCAAGTGTCTTTGCCATGTGATTGTTCAAAAAGTCTACAAAGTAAAGAGATACACAGTTCTTATATCTATTCTTCTCCTGGCATAGACGCTCCAGAGACTGTTTTCCAGGGTGGTGTAGGGCTTCCCGTTGCCGAAAAAACATAACCTTCTGGACAGAATTTGTACTTCTCAATCTGCGGAAACCCCTTGACTTCCCTTCCAATATCACGGTAGCAAGCAGTATGTGTTCTAGCCCACGCTTCCAACTTGTCCCAACTCCGGCAAATTCTCATTTGCATCACTCCAGAAACCTCTTTCTTTGAGTATCCGCTGTAACGAGGGGTGTCATCTGCATGACAAAGTGTATCCTGACGAAGTGACTCAATACAATGAAGATTATGGGTCAGCCATTTCCTTCCATCCTCAACAAGTTGCTTGCCTTCTGCAGAATCAATGAGACTTCTGCGGATCAGTTGCTGAATGATTTAGCTAGTACTTGATATTGATCTCAGAATCAACTTACAAGACAGTGAAGAGTGTGATAACCATTCAGTAATTAGACACCTTTTTCTCCATCACATGGCCAATTTTGGGCTTGTGGAAGCATTCTTTCTTTAAAAGAACGTTAACAAATGCTCTTTGTGAGAGGCTAGAGAATGAGCTATACCTTTCACCCACTCGTGCGGTAAAGCCACAATTCCTGGGTCAACAGCCCAGTTATCCCACGTGGCGTCAGCTATAACCTGGTTCTGATGAACGAACATCCCATCATCACGAAAAGGGATTGGAACATCTCGCTCAAGACCAGCATATAGTGACTTTTCACGGGGGTTGTGCGATGTTTTCTTAGCTTGCAAATGTAAAAACCAGAAGGTTGGCCATAGAAGGTGAGCGCAGCATGAAAGCACAAGAAGTGCAATGAGGAGTTTGTTCTTTTGATTCAATGGAACTTAATGTACGATGGTCACTGTCTTCCCCTCATCTTCAGACAGTAGCTCTCGATAGTCTTTGGGAACAGCCGCCATTGTGTTGGAACTTGTTATATTGATAAAGGTTGACAATCTCTTCAAGCAGCCACCAAACTTGGACAGATTTCGCTGAAGATATGCAGAAGCTGGATCAGATATCTTTACTTGATTTGCCAACAACCAACAAATGATGAATGTTGGCTACTGCCTGTTACTTCATGTATTGGCCCACAATATTAATTATGCCACCTGCATATCTATGTCGTTGGGAGGCGCAGCGAACATACCCCTCACAACCTTCCAACACCACGAAATGAACAAAAGTTGTCTTTGACCTATTCTGTACTATGCTTCTGATCCAGTCTGTACTTTCTCAAAAATAATCTCAGGAAAGCATTCTATAATTCAAGCTATTCAGAACAAGAAATATTGGGGAACACCAGAAAGCTATTTGTTCTAATTATTTGAAAAATGTTGCCATATACCTACTCTATTAAGATAGGCTCTCTCTGAATATATTAGCTACACAGCGTAGAAATGTTACAATTCTTGTTCAGCAAACGAATGGGAGGAACTTTGGACCCTTGTTCCTCTCTAACGGAAGGATTTCCCTCTGCAAGTCATGTCTGCACCTTGTACAGTATCTGCCCTTGCGCTTTGAGCTGCGGGTAACAAGGTTGGGAGTGGGCGTTCCTGTTCCTATGGTTGGAGATTGGTCAACGTTGCACCAGACAGATGACACTATGCAATCGCCCATTTCATGCATACTACTGTATGTGGTTGGGTTGGTTCTTGTAGCCCTCCAATTTGTTCACTGAGTTGAAAAACCCATCAGGTCTTCCCAAAACAAATAGCGCTTCTTTGTTACCTTCCATTTCGTTCATGAATTCAATTACCCCTCATTTAAGCCCTGTTAGATCCCAGTTGATTTGTTATGCTTTTTGATGTAACTATAACGATAAGGAGACCCTTTTCAGAAGCAGCTGTTCTTTGAGTTCCCTTCCCTTTTCTCTACATCTACATCATTTTCCTAAATATTTATGATATCAAGACAGGTCATCATTAAACAACATTTGTACCCCCCATGGCACTACCGACCTACCAAGATCGTAATGGCTTGATTGCTCTTTCTACTGTGCTACCAGTTTTGAGCACTGAAATCATTGGTTTGCGATTTTGGGTTCGTTTAAAGAAAAGGGCAACCTTGGAGTTTGATGATTGGGTGCAATTTCCATCTCTTGTACGTTATTCAATTGATCAAGACGTCAAATCCACCTAGAAAATGCTGACTCCATATGTTTTGAGACATTGTTCATTGGAATGTCAATAATCACACTAATTGGCAAGTCTTTCTTGAAATGAAGAAACTTCCAACGGTTCACGACTGACAATCATAGGGGTTGCGAATGAAGCTTTGGCTACCAGACGACACCAGGTCCACCGACTGAAACTACAGCATCGACCATTTTGTGCGAAAAAGTAACACTCCAGCTTGTTGGACTCTTTTCTTCGCTAATATCATCTTAAGCTCCTTTACGCAATCCAGCACATCCAAATTCTAGCTCTCACACTTATAAAGCTCTCGGCGCTCGCTTTCTACCGGCGCATTTTCTGCGCTGTCAAACCTAGCCCGCTGAATTATATCATATGGACCTTGATTGGTCTATGTGTAGCATGGGCAATTGCATTTGTATCATTTTATGCTGCGAGCTGCGGATCGCATCCTCAAGCCACGTGGCAGGGAATCTTTCCTTTCATCCAATATTGCTTGGTCCTGAGTGAGAAATTTGAAGAAAGCTTCGCTATCTCGGATTTTATCCTTGATACTCTCGTTTTGGTCGTACCCCTACCTTCGGTCGGAGTCCCTGAATGGAATAGGAAGGTTCATTGCTGATATCCCTACAGATTTGGAGTTTAAAAATAACCCAGGGTCGTAAGATTGGCTTGACTGGAGTGTTCATGCTCGCATTGATGTGAGTGTTATTTGATGTTTTAGAAAATGAATGAAGCTGAAATTTGACATAGTGGCTATGGCGCGTCTACAGCAAGATGTAAGTATAGGTTTCATGTTTGAGAATGAAGAGACAGTTGACTTTTATTTTCACAGTGGTTATCTTTGTGAGGCTCGCAAATGCTTTTAGACGAACCGCTGCTCCAGATATCCAACGTAGGATTTTTTAAAAAGCATGTTGTTTCATCTATACTGACCACTCACAGTCCAAGACTCGGAGGCAGTTTGGTTTTCGATGCTTGAAACTGGCTTCGCCCTCATTGCCGTCAACCTCCCGTCCCTCTGGGGTTTAATCTCCCAATTCTCACCTGAATCAATCATACGCTCTGTCCGGAGCCTAATCTCACTTCGTAGCAACCTTTCCAGCCACCACAGTACTCGTGGAGGCGTTGGCGATCCACTTTCATATACTCGGAAGAATTCATCATCAGCTTCACAAAACATCGAGTTAGTATCGCCTAACGACATTGCTGATTTTAGCATTACAGCTGAAAGAGCCAGAGCTCAGAACCATGATCACGACCTCGAAAGTGGGATACAGGTACAGCAGAGCGTGCAAATCTTATCTCAAGAACGCATAAAGAGTGTCAAAGGAAGGGATATACCGAGTAAATGATTGATTGAATGTTGCCAGATTTGACAGCGGTATTATTTTCGTTGGTAAAACAGGTTTCGAAGGGCTTATACTAGATTCGTTTACTCTTCTTTCTTTGAGGGCTGTAATAGAATCAGTAGAGACGTTGGTCTTGTGAATAAGAGCTGACATCAACGACTGGACGTGATACATGTTTCGGAGACTCGAGGGGCGATGAACTTGGCAGCCCAGCTGCTCAAATACATCTTGTTTGGGAGGTTCATGTAAATTTCAATGATTTGATTCTGGAGTTCTGTCTAAAATACGTGGTTTCGTTTAGTGATTATTGTGGTTCTGTGGAATGTGAGGGCACTGCAATTATTTCCTAAAGCTTTTTTTATCTTGTCTACAGTATAAATATATAAACTGTTCACTAATAATAAGTGTTATGTCCTTTACGCACATACTCAAAATCTCATTTTATATCTAACTACTCGTAATTAGAATAATACACTTAACTGCTATAATTGAAATCCACTATCTAGTCACTATCACCACCCAACATAAATATCATTATACGTGACCTCTAAGACCAAACACTTTTAAACAATCAGACTATACTCGAATAATACTTTAAAGGTATATATGAGTTGAAGAGAGTAAATAAGACTCAAATACTTTTACGTCAGTTTAGAGGAATATAATAGAGTGGGGAGGAGGCACAGATTATTGCATTTACTAATTTGAATTCCTCAAACAAAACTGTCCTGAATTGGAATAGATGAAGATTTAAGCAAATTTAGTTTCCAGGGCAGACACCACCAAGCTATTAATAATCTCGCATCTTGTCCCCCGGAATTCTCCACGGCTAAACCCTCTTTGCACATATGTCAAACAAATAAGGAACATATTCTCGTTAATGGTATATTGACTGACCAACGAAGGAAGTTCGGGTCTCCATAAGAATATTCCAGATGAAAGTAATACAACCATAGAAGACATGCGGGGCCGTCAAAAAAAGAGGGCAGTTATTATCAATTTACCGAAGGTCCAACTCCTTCTTAGAAAGACGCCAGCAACAAAACCGGATGTATGGCGCTCCCATTCTTCCTTTCAAAAATGGCTTGATGTACTGAACCTTGAGTTTTATGTCTGATCCTTGGCGGGTGTCTTCCGTGATATTTCGACAATAGTTATTAGGAGTCTTGATTCTTCTCCCCTTGCAAAATATGGTATGCTGATTGCATACCAGGCCACTCGCGTATAGTAAATTGCTAAAGTAATGACCAGTGTTTGTTAACCCAAAAGAAATTATCTGCGGGGCTTGCATAAGCAACTTCCTTTGATGTGCGCGATTTAGGAGATGAAAGTATAGTAGCAAGAAAAATGTGTGAGATACCTAGTCTTTACTCTATACACACCATATAAAGGTTAGGGGGACGATACTTAGTACCTGTACGTGGTGTCCCCTACGAACCTGGGGATAGCTATTAGTCTTCTAAGAGTAGGATAGTCGAAGTCGGATTCAAAAGTAGTATTCTCGTCTGCGGTCTCTCTTTTAGAGGACACGTAGCTATTCCTAGAGCTAAGACTAAGCAGCGGAAATTTTTTACCTACTCGAATCGCCGATTTATACCCCTCGACTTAATAACAGACGAAAATAATTATAAACGATTAAGTAGGTCTATCTCGTAGAAGCCTATAATAGTATAAGGGACAGAACCTTTACCTAGTAACGCTCTCTCCTCTATATACAACATACGACCTAGGTACTATATTTTACTCTATCTATAGTTCTTACTATAGTATTACTTCGTACTTAATTAATTTATAGTCTCGATATAAAGAATAACGCTAGATATAAAGGGAAAAGATATAGATTATATATCTCCGGCGTTATAGTAGACTATTCATCTACAAGGGCCTAATAAAATCTAGGGATATATCTACAACAAGGAGTAAGTATAGGAGTTACTACCTTTGCCCTAGGGGGTTAGGTGTATAGATAATTATCTTTTTAGACTTCGAATTCAGAGTATATAAAGGACGGTATCTAATAGGAGGTTAAACGAGGCAAGGGCAAGGATAGGTACGCTATGTCAGGGTATCACTAGGAGCGTACAAAAGACTGTTCCAGAATATGGTTGAGATTGATCGCGAGTCAGCTAAGAAGTCCTAGAGCTAGCTATTACTTATACACAACAAGGGGCCACGCTATTCCCCATTAGGCAGCTCCATACTATCTCCGATTAGGCAACTCCAACCCACTATTGCATTCACTAAGCGAAGCACCAAAACACTATACCGAGCCACATTCACGCCCTCACACGCTACTTACTAGCTAAAACCCTTTAGATTAGGTGTACTACTTAGGAGGTAGTTCGGAACGCTTAGATAGATGATATAAGTAAGGTAGGAGATAAGGCTATATAAACCCTTTAGAGCTATCTGTATAGCTCTAGAGAAGGGTAGTATCCGTCTTCTACTAATAATGTGTGAGAGGCCAGACCTCGAATAGCTCAAAGGTGTGGTTTCGAATATTCAATTAAGAAGTGCGTGAAGACTACATACATGCGAGCTCTTCCTCTATATATAGAGAGGAAGAGCTTCCTGAATATTCCAAGAAACTTGCAAGAAACTTGAATGACGAATACATGATGTTAGAAGAACAAAACAAGAAAGTGTGGAAAAGTAGAAACCTGTTTGGCAGTGGGGTAATGGCCAGTGCTAAGCAGGGACTTTGGTCAGTGCTTAACGAGGACTTTGGTCAGTGCTTAGCGAGGGCATGGCCCAAGCCTCCATCATGGGTTCCAACCCTCACACCTATATATATTACTAGAATACCTCTATAACATACTTCTCAAAGCAAAAGAGTCCAACAAAAAGGTCATTGGGTAACGTGACAGGTGAATCTAACACTAATAAACACCTAAGAACTCTTACCTATGCTCTATACGCAACAGCAGCGGAATTAGGTTTATACTCTTTTTTAGGTTTCAGACTTCTTTTGGTTAGAAATCTGAATTAATTACGTTCTGTAATAGGTGAATAACTTTTAGACAATGTAAACGGAAACGACAGTAACAACCGAAAATGGGCGCGACAGTAAGAGGAACAACGACAGTGAAAGAGATAACAACAATAGGAGGGGAATAATACGAAAGATAACATGACAGCGAAAGAGATAACGACAATAAGAGGGGAATAACACAAAAGAGGAAATGACAGTAAAAGAGAAAACGACAGTAAATATTCTATAAATTAGTATTCACTTTAGTAAAGACACTTATAGGTAGTGAATACCTATCTATAGTAAATAAATTATTTATAGTATCTTACCTCTATAAGAGAAAAGGCAAGAAACTAAAAGAAAACAAATATCCTAAATCCCTTTGTAAACTCACTTATAATAAGCGAATACTACACATCCTCCCTTAGCCCCTACCGCTACTAAGCCCCCTTCAAACCCATAATACCATCTTACCTTATCTTACTAAACCTTAATTTACCCTTCCCCTTCTCCCCCTCCCTCTCCCCTCCCCTACTCTTCCCCACGCTTCCCCTACCCCCAAAACGCATAATATAATCCCTCCCCTCCCCACACCCATAATAAAAGACGCAAATCAAAATACAGCATTCCATCAAAAACGAAGACAAAACGACGCGCATAAGCAAGGTTCCCGTCATATGTTTGATGTCTGAAGTGCTTAAAATGTTCCGGCCGTAAGACTTACTGTAGACCACCTTAAGATTTGAATTAAAGCCAAAGCCCCCACTTGTGCGAATCGAAAGAGACGTCACTTCATCTTTAATTTCCCAGTATAAGTATTTCCAATGAACTCGCAGCTAAACAGGAACCAATAGAAAGAAACAGGGCATCCCTTCAAAAAAGTCGTTCAGACATCGTCTTGAACACGCCAAGCCCAGCCTTCGAGTGGCTTGACGGTTGGAAAGAATATCCAGGCCAATTGTCCCATTCTGGTGCATTCATATTGTCAAATCATTATTTGAGTACCTATTGCGCTTATTCTACAGAGCGCCTAGGCAGGTAGGTCCTAGATTCCTACCACCAGGTGTCAGAATAGAATTCCGTGCGCAGCCTAGGATTTTGGCTGAAACACACACCAAAAACATGCCACTTTCGTAAATCATAATAAATCAAGGAAGATTCCAAAGAGTCTATAATTAAAAGTCTGGGTATACTTGTACAATAGTTTGAAATTATACTCTTTGGAATCTCAATAAGTACTATAGTTCAAACTATTATACTATAAGACCAATAAATTTAGTAGTGAATTTACTTACTAGGGTAAAACTTCTTACTAGAATATCTCTTAGAACAGTATGTTTTCGAGGAACCTTTTACATAGGCGCTTCTTCTATACACTTTAGAGAGTTGATATAGGAGGTATTAGGTATAATTTCAATATTAATTTGTAGAGTTATACTTAAGGTATAAACACGCTGTTTCTGGTATGTTTTCGGCTGGAATCCTGGGCTGCGCACAGGATTTTAACACCCCCTGGTGCTACGGAACGAATGGATTCTCATCCTACCTAATTAATAAACGGGGCTCTTAGGCACACTCCTTCCTCGTTGTTGAGACCTGAGGCTCTGGTTAGCAAGAATGATAGATTCCTCATGCGAATGCGGTGCCCCTATGAAAAGAAGATGGAACAAGATACGCGGATCCTTCTAGGCTACCTAGATAAGTATCAGCCCTACGGCCGGCCGGTTTGATCTCTATTGTCCCATCACAGGGAAGGTTCAAGATTTTCATTGGCTGTGCCAGAAAACTGGGTTGCGCGGTTAGACGACTGCGCCTCCTGACAGGCTTCGGCCGTAAGCTAAAACCCTCGCTTAATTCGACCTACGGACGTTTATGGGGAAGATCCTAAATTTTGGGATTGACGACGGGTCTATTCTACCGATGGGATCAGAGTATACTTGGGATATAAGAGGAGGGCTTCCTACTGTTGAGGTATTTTAATTATTGCAACTCATTCAAGTATTTATCTACAAGATTCTCATACTCTGCAAGCCCTTGATTTCCATCTCAAGTTCAGTTCAGATAACAAGACCCTCCAGTCCATATCCAAACTTCACACTCCAAACAAGAAACCATCCAGAATACACAACTCCACCTACAAAAGAAAACATGTCGACCCGCTGCCCCAAAACCCTCCTCAGCCCCAAACAGAACCCAAACGAAACCGGAACGCCCATAAGAAAAGTTCTCATCTCCGCCTACGGAGACGAATCCAACGTCTCCGTAATCGACGCCATCCTCCCGCAACCCTCCAAAAACGAAGTCCAAGTCAAGGTCCTCTACTCAGGCTTCAGCGGCTCCGACATCAACATGCGAAAAGGGCAATACCCACTCCAAAGATCCGCACCTCTAACACCAGGATACTGTCTCGTGGGCCACGTTTCCGCGCTCCTAGAGTCCTCCAGCAGCAATTCCAAGTTCAAAATCGGTGATGCGGTGACTTGTTTATCCATCTATGATGCGGAAGCAACATACGTCAACCTCCCCGAAAAATACCTCATCCCCGTCCCGGGAAATGTCCCCCTCAAAGCGGCGACGGCGTTGATACTAGACTGGAATACCGCCTACGGGATGGTCCATCGTGCCGCAAACATTCAAACAGGTCAAAAGGTCTTCATCCACGGCCTATCCGGGGCAGTCGGTTGGGCGGTGGGCGTCCTTTGTTCGCTCCACGGTGCGCAGATCTTTGGCACCGCATCGTCCAAGAACCATGCTGCCATCACGACCGGACTCCCAGCTGCGACACCCTTCACGTACGAGAATAAAGATTGGATCCAAGCGATGAAAAACGCCGGAGGCGCAGACGCCGTCTTCGACCCCCTAGGTTTCGAGTCGTGGGATGAATCCTACGACATCCTCTCCCCCACCGGGATCTTGATCGGCTACGGGGGGAACATGAATAACTTCTCGGATGGGCAGACGCGCAGCCAGGTACCCAGTATGACGAAGTTGTTTGCGAGGAATTATCTGAAGTTTTGGGAGGGCAGACGAGCGGTGTTCTATTATATCTCACGGGATGATAAGTATTTCGTTGAGGATTTGGAGGCCTTGTTTGGGCTTTGTGGGAGTGGGAGGGTGGGCGTGACGATTAAACAGGTCTTTGGGATGCGGGATACCGAGGAGATTCGGAAGGCGCATAGGTGTTGGGGGAAGGGGAGTGGGGTGGGGAGTTTGTTGTTGAGGGTTAGTTAGTCGAATTGTGGGATGATGATTTTTGTTTTTAATGATATAATGGTGGAAAGGCAGGTGTTAGGATATGTAGGTAGATAGCTATAGGAAAGAGGTTTCGTTATTATTCTACATATAACATAAGAAGCTATGATATTAAAAGCCCGATAAACACACCCTAATTCTCCAAGCCCATTCTATTCGACGAACAATAAGCAAAGTAGCAGAGTATCCTTTCAAGTAAGCGTGACTTAAGTCAAGCTATCTTATTCTTCTAGCCAAATTAGACGAGTCTAACAATTACGCGAAATGCCTAGAATAATCGAAGGAGCTATCATCAAGTATTCAAGGAAGTGAATGACGATTCTAAACCAACTTACTAAGTTACTCCAAGACAATAGCAACCTCAAAATGAATTACAAAGAAATTAATACTTTTCTTGCCTACTGGGAGGATGGTATCCCGACTACCTTGTAGGGATGTATCAACCACGTCTTGACCTATAAGATTACAAGACTTTAGGTAATCTTACAATTAAAAAGAATTTATTCATAAAAACGTTACTTCATCAAAAACTAGCACGTTGAAACAAAGCATTTTGTATTGCAATGTGAGTAATCTCAAATCAACCTCATCTCAGATCTTGAAAGCCAGCAAAATCCATCACTATTTTTCCCAGCATGATGATATTCCCCCACCATCTCGATCCCATAACAAGCAACGCCAATAACAGCCCCATAGTGTGATGCATCTCCCATCTGCAAAACGAGCTCACATCTTCCACCCCTGGCGAAATGAAGAGCCCAAGTTTCTTAATCATACACTAAATATTTCAAAGCCCTTGCTCAAATCCACGCATCGATACTCTCCTCGTTTGAAGAAAAGTACTGTATCTCATCACTTCCACACCACCACATGACTGACATGTGACGCTTTACCAACCATTCTTCCTCTGATTTGCCTTCTTACTGGTAGGTCCACAGCCATCGGCCCAACTACCAACTGACATCGTGGTGTCATTTTGCCAGGGTTTATCTCTACCACTTTGAGCAGCAGACATATCACCCCAAGGAGCAGGATTGGCTGGAGCACCCCAAGAATTGTCATTATTCGGGCTATTGGGAGGGTTGCTGTTGCCAGGGTTGTTCCATCCGCCACCAGACGAGTTATTATTATTGTTATTGGACATTCGTGAAGTTCTACCTCCAGAATCATTGTTGTTTCCGCTTGAATTGAGATTGTTGAAGTCCCATGAACCGCCGCCTCCATTTGTGTCCCATCCACCACCAGACGAGTTATTGTTGTTGTTGTTGGACATGCGTGAGGTTCTGCCTCCGCCAAATGAATTGTTATTTCCGCCTGAATTGTTGTTAGTGTTCCACGAATCGCCGCCCCCATTTGTGTCCCATCCGCCTCCACCCGATGAATTTTTGTTTGATGAATCATTCCAACTGCCTCCTCCAGAGTTATTGTTATTCTGATTGTTATTAGAATTTCGTGAGATTCTGCCTCCGCCAGATGAATTGTGATTTCCGCTGGAATTGTTATTGTTATTAGAATTCCATGAATCGCCACCTCCATTTGTGTCCCGTCCGCCTCCACCCGATGAGTTGCTGTTATTGTTATTTGATGAATTATTCCAGCTGCCTCCGGAGTTATTATTAGACGAATCATTGTTCCACGAATCTCCAGAGTTATTTTGGTTGTTGTTGGAAGAATCATTATTCCATGAACCTCCAGAGTTGTTCTGGTTGTTATTAGAAGAATCATTATTCCATGAATCTCCGCCAGAGTTGTTTTGGTTATTGCTTGACGAATTGTTCCACGATTCTCCGGAGTTATTGTTGTTGGACGTATTGTTGTCCCAACTTCCTCCTCCACCAGAGTTATCATTATTACCGGAGTCGTTGTTCCAAGAATCTCGTCCAGAATTGTTTCCACCAGAATCCCATCCGCCTCCACCAGAAGAATTATTGTTGCCCGTGTCATTGGCCCACGAATCACCTCCAGAATTGTTTTCATTCGAATTCCATCCGCCTCCACCAGATGAATTATTGTTATTGCCCGAGTCATTACTCCATGAATTTCCGCTGTTGTTATTGTTTCCGGAGTTCTCGTTGGCATTTGAGTCCCATCCACCACCTCCAGAGGAGTTAGTATTATTATTGTTGGAAGAGTCGTTATTTCCGGCAGGTCTGGAGTGAGAAGACTTGGTCGTATGAGTAGTTCTACCAGCATTGCTTCTGTTCGAACATTGGTTATTTCCACCACCATGCTGTGAACAATTATTGTTATTGTTTCCACCGTGCTGTGTACAATTGGCGTTGTTATTTCCACCATCTGACTGTGAGCAGTTATTGTTGCTAAAGTTTCCTCCTCCAGAGTTGCTTTGGTTGCCTCTGCATTTATTTGTATTGTTTTGCTGAGGCGAATTAGGCTTTGGTTGGTTGTTGTGCCACATATTATCTGCTTCAGATAGTGTTAACTCAACCCATCCGCTATCCTCCACCACGACAGGAGATGAATGCTTCGGATGTGGTGTGGCGTTTCGATTGCCACTTCCACTGCTAAAGTTCCGATTTTGATTGTTACCGCCACTAGTATTTCGACTCTGGTTGTTTCCGCCGTTGAAATGGACACCTCGAGTGCTCATCACAGGGCTATGATGACGAGATAGTGGATGTGGAGTTGGTATATGAGGGGGTCCACCAGGAATTTGAAGGGGCGCCTCAGTCATGAATTGACCCGCATGGTGAGGATAAGTGCCAAGAGGCATATGCTGATGTGGAAGAAGATTGTTGTATGGATTACCATAATTGGGTCCGTGATAGATTCTTAGCTTGTTCGTCTTGGAACAATAGAAGGCATTGGGTCGAGGGTCGTTTGGAGTCTCGATGACATCCTCACGTATGATGACCTCAGCTCTTGCAGCCTGAATGACTTGCGGATGTTGATTGAAGGAAGCCATCGCATGAGCGAGGTCGTCGCGTGGAATTCTTACGCGCTTGCTGTTCGAAACTTGTGTGGTCTCGTGCTGAATGTCGCAAGCTGAACAGTAGGCAGATTGATGAGAACCTTGTTGAGACGGAGATGAATTGAATTCAAGAGGTACGTTGTGTTGTGACGATCTTGCGTTGCCTTGCGATGGTGTCACGTCGTAGTCGAGGTTTTGATTCACCACAGGTTGTTGACAGTGTTGACAATCGCACGATCTCTGGGATTGCTGAAGATTGGCGCCTCTTTGGTCGGCTTTGCACTGATCTTGGTCTTGGAGTTCACTTTGATGATTGCCTTGTTGTCGTTGGAATTGTGGGTGGTGGTGAAAACAGCAAACATTATCGTCCTCGTCGGGATTCGGTATTTGAAAGCGAGTTCGCTTCTCTTGACTATTTCTACTCCGACCGCCTTTGGAATTCTGCCAGGCAGGCGACTTGCTTCCAGTATTATGTAAGGTATTCTCTCTTGTGATAAACATAACGCATCGATTTTCTTCGACTACAACACTTTCGTTGTCGTCTTTGCCTCGCTTCAGACAGGATTTCAACTGAGATTCGCCATCATCGAATGCGACAGATTTGAATGCTTTTCTTCCTCTCGCAGGATCTTCTTTCTTCTTTGAGGGTGGTTTGTTACTGTCAGAGCCTCTTTTTGCAATCTTTATGCTCAATTGTGAGCACAATTCGTCTGTAGAAGCCTCTGCAGAAGATTCAAACTCAGAACCCAAATATTCTACAGTAACCAGCTGCTTCCGAGGGGGTGGTTTCTTCTCACATTGAGTGTGCTGAGAACTTTTCTGAGTCTTGTCTTGGTTCTCTCTATTTTGCTTCTTCTCATTCGGCTTGGTCACCTCTGAGTTCTTTTCCTCGACTGTTGCTGCTGGTGGGTTGGTCTCAGGGTTGACAGGTACCGGATGTATCACTGGCTTTGGATCTGGCGGAGGAGGTGGCTTTAGCGAAGCATCCAGCTCTGGCAAAGAAGCCTGTGTAGAGGCTGGATTGGGTGAGCGGAATCTGTTGGTTTTCCAATTTTCTAAAGACTTGGGATGCACCACCCGTAGGGGCATCCTCGCAGCTCCAAGCTTTAACCATAAATCACTTGATAGCGTCCTATCGAGGGGATAATTGTGTTTAATCTTGTACATATCTGCAAAGATAAAAACAACCTGATTAGTTGCTACGTAGCATGGAGTATGTAAGTGCTGATAGCTTACAATATGAAACCCACGTATACACTACACTTCAGATCAAGAATGAATCATAACTTCACAAGGTCTGATGACGAAATCTCTCGACGGATCAGGTGGTATACTCTTTAAATCCACTTGTTAGCGGATATCGCTGTAGTGAAACGCGTGGCATACCTATGAGTACAAGAGCGGTTATCAACGAATCATCTTTCGTCTCAAAGTTTGGATGATAAGTAATAAGCAAAAGACGGAGCGACACAGTAGAATCAGGTATTGTATCTCCTCTAAGTGCTGTGTTAGTACAGGATCGTTGATCAAAAGATCCTTTCAGCGCAGATTCTGATGAACTTGCCTCAATTTCTGACTCCTCTCAAACCCCTTATCTAGCCGCGATGGCTGTTGGAAAGAAACAGGAGAATCAAACAATCTCCGCAGAGATTTGAGTAGTTTTGCTTGTCAAAGGCGGCAGATGTCACACACAATCAGGAGAAGGAAGACGCGTGGAGAGCGTCTTGTGGAATCGGAAGATACGCAGTCAAATTGGGTCAGGAAAACGCGTTGAATTGATCACTCATTAAAGCCCATATAAAACTTCCGCAAACCAGTTCAAGGAGCCTTGAAAAGAAAGGTTGCGTAGATGGATGGGAATATTGGATGGATTTTGTTTCTTGGAAGTCTCTAGAGAACGGAAGGGGGACTAGCGGGGAAAAGCGGGTGAGGTGCTGGCGAGGAAGGTGGGTGAGGGCGAGGGGGAGGCCGGATCGCTCCTTCCCAAATTGCCGAATCCAGCGAAATGATGCCTCACGATGACCCTCCAGACTTCAGACGCCAGCACACATCTACCGTAACTACCTATATCCACCCAGCCCGGTATGGAAAATAAAAGGGACAACCAAGAAAGTAGGTACATGGTACATGGTAGAACTATTGAATTTCTTCAGTAACCACCGGAAATTTGTAGGAAAAGCAAAAACATGAAATACACTGCCTAAAGAGATAAGAGACGAACGGACTTGTGAAAAAACGATGCCAGCCAAAGAGTGCTAGACTATAGATGGCATATCTCACTTACATGACCTTCTTCCACTCAGCACGTTGATCATATAAGATACCTAGTACTTATGCTAAACGTGAATTGGTCTGAACCATTCTAGCTCAATACCAACACCGGTATTATGGTACAAACTGAATACCCAGAAAATGTGACAAGCCTTCTAGAAGTCTTACAGTCTCCTCCAAAACCAGAAGCCGAGTGCTCGTGTCTGGTCCTAGTTTGGATGACCTGATGCAAGTACATAGGCACCGCCATTTCAAGTCGCCACAGATCAATTTCCAAAGGAAAATTCTCCACGAATATCCAAGATCCGATGCCAACCTTAGATTGGATGTACCTCAGTAGTAGATAGTGGCCAAATTTGAGGATAATGTTCTCATGGAATGAACCCTGGGTTGCCCTGCAATAATGTCCACCTGTAAGATCAGTTCTCGACTTGATATTTATATCATCCCATCCGTATGTATCATATCAAGTCCATAAATCCACTCAAAGCCTCGCTCGCTCTCGTAACTCGTGCTGTCCCCATTTCCGACTCATGACAGCCCCCCTCCAATAACTCCACAAGCCCACCATCCCAGCAAGCGGTGGACAAAGTAACAACAACCAAGCCCACCATCTCGGACTCCTGCCCTTCAATTGCAATATCACCTTATCAAGCTCCCTCCTCAATTCCTCTTTCCCCTCATCATTCCACACCACGATCCCCCTTCCCGCCTCCCTCCCCATAAACTCCGCCCTCCTAGCCTTCTCCCTCACGTCCCCCTGACTCCTAACCCTATTCTCCGCATCTTCCTGCGTCAAATGCGCATCTCTTTCTCTCAACCTACGCATCTGTATCGCCGGATCGCTCACAGCAACCACCAAAACCTCCCCACAGATAACATCAAGACCACTCTCAAACAGCAGCGGAACATCAAGTACCACCGCCCAACAACCCTTCAAATAGCACCGGAGAAGCGCTTTATACATCGCCATCCTCACAGCCGGATGCACAATCCCATTCAGCACCTTCCGATCCCTCACTCTCTCCTCGCTATCCCCGAAGACCCTCCTTCCCAGCGCGGGACGATTCAACGGCGCGCCATGCGGGAACTTCGCGACATCGTATTCCGAAGGTTGGAGTAAGAGATCCGGGGTCGTGGAGAGGTAGTGTTTGAGGATTGCGTTGTAGCCTGGCGTGCCGGGCTCGACGACTTGCCGCGCAAGGATGTCGGCGTCGATTATGGGGAGGGAGTAGGGGGGTGAGGAGAGGATGGAGGAGACGGTTGATTTTCCGGTTGCGATAGATCCGGTGAGGCCTAGGAGGAGCATGGTGGGTGGATTTGTGGTGCTGAGATGGGAGAGGTGTTGGAAGGGACCTTGAGCTTTGGAGGGACCTGGACTGGGAGCTGTAGAGGGGCCGGCGGGTGAGGTGGTGCAGCTGGTTTCAGCGTCATTTTGGTGGGGGTGGGGGTGGGGATTGCCGAGGTTCNGACCTTGAGCTTTGGAGGGACCTGGACTGGGAGCTGTAGAGGGGCCGGCGGGTGAGGTGGTGCAGCTGGTTTCAGCGTCATTTTGGTGGGGGTGGGGGTGGGGATTGCCGAGGTTCAGTGAAGGGCGATTGCTTGGCAGGTGAGCTGTGGTGTGGGTACTTGTACTGTAGCTTAAATCGTTCCCAGGAATCACAGACAGTTCATTATTTGGCTACCCCGGAATTTCGGTCCATTACATTTAGGAGTTTGAAGCCAAGGTTTGTTTCACGGAAAGAACTTTAAACAAGTATAACGACGAGGGTGGTGAGAAACTTCATCTTGGATCTTGAATCTTGAAGCTGACCTGCGAGTTGCAGTTACTTGTAATGAAGAGGTTTGTTCCCTAGCACGGTATGTTCGTGTTTAAAAATACTATCATGGTTTCCTGAGGGCTGATCTTGATACGAGTAAGGAATTCAATATATGTATATATATTTCTGGCATAGGATAAGGATTGCTAGCTAGTTTTGGGACGAAACAGAATTAGAGTATGAGGGCGTACAAAACAACTCCAGTTATGAAAGTGAATGGTCAGTAGAAACTCGTTACAATCATACAAATTCAATGGTAGCGACATAAGCGAGAATATCCTTCTAACGAGTGTCTTTGAGGCAGTAAGTAGTATTGAGAGGCGAAATAAGTAAGTACGAAGAACACGCGGGACAAACTAGGATCCTGCTATACTGCCTTGAAGGAGAGGCCGGGGGTTTGAGATGGCCGTAGAATAGGTATCTAGTTCATTAAGTGCACCCTGAATATAGCCATATTTACTGTGATAGGAGTGCAACTTATTTTGCAAAGAACCTGCAAGCCAAATAGCCCCTTTCAGAGAGAAAACCGACATCCATCAGACACCTACAGTATATGCACAAGTAAGACTTACACAAAAAGAACAACAAAATCCCGTCTTACACATCCTTAAAACACACTCAATGCCCCAAAGTTCTCCAGTCCTCCCACCCCTTCAATCTCAAATCTCAAACTTGAACCCTCAAATGCGGAAAAACAACATCCTCCCTCCTCACACCCTTTCCCCTCTCCCCACCACCCGCCTGCTTCTTCACAAGCCGACTCCCCTTCCTCCTCGGCTTCTGCTTCTGCTTCTCCTTCCCTTTCTCCCCTCTCCCAGAGCTAAAAGATGCCGCTCTCATACTCTTCCCACCCAGTTCCGAATCCTCGTGAAGGAATGTATATGTAGTAGGTTTTCTCCTTCGTCCTCTACAGCTGTCCTCCTCCACCTTCATATCGACACCCGAACCAGCGCCCGAGCCGATCCCGGAAACCATAGCGGAAGTAGCGCCAGAATTCGAGTCGATGACCGCGAGATTGGTCTGATCCATCGATTCAAAAGACGTCATATGCCTCAGCACATTCGGATCCGCATCAGGAAACGGGAACTCACCATCTCTTGGAACATCTGCTTTGAATTTCGGTTGAGGTCGGAAAACACCCAGACTCGCTTTGCGCTGGGGTATCTTGTGAGCCGGGAGCTGTGGTTGGTAAACAGCTACCGGTCTCTTGGACGAGACTTTTTGTTGGGCTTCTCTCCTTTGATTCACGTACTCGGCAAGTCTTCTATCTTTCGGCGGCGGGACGGGTGGGCAAACAAGTTTAATCCTTTGCTCCGCGAGTGTGGATGTTTTTTTCCCTCTCGGTTCGCTTCGCGAACGTCGATGTTCCTTCATTGCTTCCCTGGGACTTAGAATAGTCCCCAGGATAGCAGCAGCTTTCGTTTTCGATCCCTTCTCGCTCATTCCTGGGATTTCTCCTACAGCTCTCACCCTGTATTTTCCGAATTCTATTGTCCCACCATTCCGTAGTTTGGCGAGTCTTTCGCGTTCTTCGCGTTCTCTTCGACTTAGTTCATCCCATGCGCGTCGAGCTTCTTCACGTGCGAGAATCGCTTCCTGTCGCAGGTCGTGTATGAGTTTCTCGGTCTCCAGAGCATTCGCCTGGAATTCCTCCATTCTGGCGGACCTCCTGTTTTCTTTCTTTGCTTTCGCTAAGGCGGCGGGATCATTTGAGGGTGAGGTTGTGGCGAATATATCAGTTAGAGCCGCATCCAGTTTTGCTGCTCGACGACTGGATGCACGATCGAGACGTTCGGTTAGTAGAGGACGGATAATTTCTTGTACTGATATGGTTGAGTTGTCATACTGAGTTGTAGATGATTGAGTTTGTTGGATGGGTCTTCCAGGTGATGGGTAGTCTTGGATATACTTCTCCAATGCGAAGGAATGGGATGTGTTTCTTGCGAAAGGACTATCGAGACTAGTAGATCCCTGAGTTGATTGACCGACATCGGAACGCGAGTTGTTTTGAGATTGTATGTAAGGATTTGAATGTAAGGGACTGTAAAGTCGGTTTGGTCCAGGCCCTCTCGCAGTGTTGGGGCGTTCATTGGGGGATTGTTGTGGTGTCGTAATTCTCGGTATCAGAGGACCACCGAGGCTGTCGAATAGACGATTGGAATTTCGACCTGCTGAGATATTCCGACGTCCAATTGTTTTCTGGTCGCGGGGAGATTCGCTGAAATGGTATGGGCTATTGTGTCTCGATGGTTCCTTATCTGTATCTAGGCCCCTCGAAGTGGAAGGTCGTGTGATTGTGCTTTGTGTGGAAAGATTAGGTGGATAGGCCGTACTGCTCGCTGTCTGGGGTCGGTCATGCAAATTCGTAATTCTCGTTAAGGTAGCCGATTCAAGCGTTGGATGTTTGGTATGTTTCCGCATCAGCTGATCAATCCGCCTCTCTCCGACTGTTTTAGAATAGGTCTCTTGTTCTCTGTGTTGCCTTTCTGGCTCCTCGCTCTGCTGAATCTCCTTTTTATTAGTCCGGGGTTCGTCTACACCTTCAACCAACCTGCTAAACCCCCGGATAGAATCTTTAGCTAATGAATTTCTGGATCGAATATAAGCGACAAATGATACAGAAAGATCATCCGGTAGCATGTCCCAAATTAACAATGGAATTGACAAGAGAAGAGCAGTAGAAAAGCTCTTGTAGATTCCTTCAACAACGGCATACTTGGACAATGCAGGAATCTCATGAATCCAGCTATATAAAGCATCAATATCCACATTCTTATCTTCTTCAAGAGCTATTGCTATTAGAACATGCGGTATTTGCAGATCGCCCGTCTTAGATGTTTTCAGAAGATTTTCAGGATTATAGATGTCGAACTTGGAGAAGACATGTGATGGATTGAGAGGCGATGGAGCCAAAGCTGGTCTGCTGAAGTTTGCACTCGCTCGATTACTGATGGTTCCACTATTTCGGTTTCGTCTACTAGCTAACTCAATACTTGAGGATGTAGAGACGTTTGAATTGAGAATGTAAATTGGCGTTTTCCGATCTTGGATGATTTTTTGATCTGTTGTCCATTTCCTTCGTTCTGGAATTTCGTGCTTGATTGCGGCTAGGATTTCACTGTGCAACATAGCAGCCGTAAAGGAAGACCTAGTTATCCAAGCCTCTAAGACACTGATTAGGGCATTGGTGAAAAGATTCCTCTCTGGACCTGGGGGCCATGGCTCCAGTCCACAAGCCGCGATTGTCTCAGTAACACCTTGGCCGCCACCTCCCGAGGACGTTGCAACTGCACAGCAATCTAGTAAGAAAAGGACGTCTGATTCCGTCTCCTCGAATAAACCTTGTATAGCAGTCCAATCCAGGAAAGGCGAAATAGATTCTTGCTTGCTGGGCACCATTAGCGAGAATTGGAGACAAAATCACACATGAAGACGTCCAAATGCATTCTCACAGAATCGAAAACTACTAACCTTAACCAAGTTGTTTGCCCAATACTGTTAATTACTCCATGCCCACCATAATAAACGACCATTAGATTGTCACTCGAACCATAATCTTCCAGAAAATGTAGCACTAAACTCATGAGTTTGAGGTGAGAAGACGATGACGGAATTAGCCATAATTGAGTCTTAAACCCATAATTCGATTCGAATATTGTCCGAAGTCGATCAGTTTCAGGTTGTATAGCTGATGGGTCATCGCCCCATTGTATGAGAACTGCTATAACTTGCTTGTATCGAGACCGGCCACGGCTGGGGAAAGCTCTAAGCGCGGACTAGGTGTATTGATTAGTTTTGGTGGGGTTCTTTTCTTAATTTGGGAAGAATATCGTGTTGTCACTTCATTCGTATTCAATGGCGATATGTATGGAGACGTGATGGGAACAAAAAGACTACTGTCGCACAGAAGGGACGAATAAAACAATGTCACCCACCTGTTCAAGCTGATCAGCAAACGTACCAAGTTCCTTCAAGTGGTACTTGGCTCGACGAGTATCGTGTGTTGGAGGGCTCAGCGAAATAGGCGACGCGCTACTGCCTCTAGACTGCTCAGAAGGGTTAGATCATGAAGATTAGCCACCCTAGTGCATAAATACCTCCTCGTTCAATATAGCCGAGTTCCCATTTCCGGGAAATATAGGCGGCTGAGAGGTGGACATTGGGGAGACTGAAGATACCAGTGTGTCCTTCTCATCATCGTCGTCATCTAAGTCAATGTAGAATGAACAGTGATCTTCACTTGAACAGTAGAACAGGGCATGATATGGAGATTCCTCATCCGTAGATTTTAAAGACGATCTCGACGAGGTAAGGCTGGGCTTCTTTTTTTCTGAAAAGCGACTGTCGTTCCGGCTGGATTGCTGGGCCTTTCGACTTTTTCGACATCGACATGGTAAGTCAATATTTCCTATCAACGAAGAGAGCCGGTCTGTTATACTTGAGATAGGCAGGATTCCACACGTGGTACAATGCATTGAATTGGTAAGGTCGCATTAACAGAATTTATAAAGGTCGATAATATTGAAAGAGAAAGGATCTTGGTGTAGCCGTGACCTTCCTTGTGTTCCCCCTAACTGCATGGCGGGGGGTTTCAGACGAGAAGAATCTGGGTATGGTAGCAGTGATGTCCGAATGAGAGCTCGTTGAAGCTGATGAGCTGCAGTGAGGCTGCTGTAAGTGCAGCGGACTACGTGCAAACCGATAGGACCGTGACTCCTCATCAGCATCCTTCCTGGCGAGATGCCGCAAATAGACAGCCCTAGACAGCCCCCAAGGCTCTAAGACGGGTTCACTGCAGGGTCGAAAGCTGGTAACGTGGTGACATGCTGGTTGGTGGCGTGCGGGTCAGTTTTTCCATTGTGGTAATGGGGATATAGTAGACGTGGTAGAGGTGGAGAGAAGCGGTAACACTGCTTGGTGGTGTGGCTCGGATAGGGGAAGGGGGAAGGGGAACATTCGCTCAAGGGAGTCAACGAATCATCTTGGGCCCATTGAGTGTGCACAATATATTGTGGAAGGAATGGGGAAGGTTCAAGGTAAAAGAGACATATTGACAAGGGGTGTGGAGAATCATCAGCTGCATGCTGTACTGCCAACTATTGTATATGCGCTATACATGCAAAGAGCGAGGATTACAACGCGTGACATGCATGAGTCGAAAAGAAGCCGTAATTTGATGCTGTGGGATGGATATGACTCCGGAGAAAAGAGAGGATGTCTGGTCTGAAGCACTTCTTCCAAATAGGGTATCCGTACTGTAGAATCTGGAAATCTCGAATTCGACATTTAGAGTTGTTGTGCATTGGCGTGGGGTAGAAGGATTGCCTATTGCGATAAGACCCGCTGGATGGATGGGTAGCTTCAGCTGCGGGGATATCAAGGTTTTTAAAACGTGGGCTGCGTTGGCTGCTTATCCTTGACATCCAAAGGAGGATTCAGCGAACGAGTTGTTCTGGATGAACCTTCATATTTGAATGGAAGTTCTTGGTCAATCTTGAAAACCGGGGATGAGTTGTGGATATCTAAGCGAGCTTCATAGATACATTAGTCTTTGATCAGGAGGATTCTACTTATGGGTGACCTGTAATACCGATACCAGGTCCATGGGACAAAACACACATTTTCGTTCTGTTCCTTTCAAGTGGAAGTGGGTTGTTAATCAGCTTTGGGCACTTTTGGAGGTTGCATACTACCAAGCACTTGGCGCTGAAGAAACACTGAGAAAATAAATCTTTTCCGATATACGGAGCCTTTGCAAGAGAAAAATCGGATGAGATCGGCCGTATTCCCAGCCCCGCCCTTTTCGGCGCCGGTAGACAACCCGTTCTCCCGAGACGTTGGCTCGTTGGGCAGTGACGCAGCTGAACTTTGTACTACAAGGAAGTACCATTCACTCTGATATATCGTGTACTTATTACATGTGTGTACACAGTACGTGAGGAGAGTCTTTTATCGTTGCTGGGAGATGACCCTGAAACTCTAATAGAGTTCCTGGTTTTATATCTGATTTAATCTCAATTAAATGTTTCCAATATTGGTATCAAAAGGTACATACTCGTTATTACTTCGTACGGACTGGCTATACAAACAAGTATGTAAACAAATAGACGATATCTGTCTCCACACCCATCACCTCCCCACGCGAGAGTATAAATCTCTTTCTAGCACCAATGTCCGAGTGCAGTTACCAAAGCAGTACGGTACTCTGACACATCAGCGTTTGATTCACTTCTTGTTGTGGTACGCAAATGTGCGGTGTACACAATCGGTTCACGGAACAATGCTGTCCGATGTGAACTCGAGATTTCAGGAACCACTGGCCAACCCCTGATTGGCCGACCCTTTATCCCACGGAAGCGTATCTCCATTCAAATCCAACGTCCCTCGTGCAATCTCTACGAATCAACTACATCCACGCACTTGTACCAATCCACCACGTTCTTTTGTTCGTCGTGCCCCAATTCCTGCCGTCGTCCTGCTTTCCAACTTTCTCAGCTCTGTCCTTCTGCCATCCCATCTTTTCGGCTCGTGCTCCAGACGCAAACTTTACCTAGCTCCCGCTGTTCTGCCGCCCGCCGCCCCCCAGTGCCAGTGCCAGTGTGACGACAATCGTGCGCCTCAGCCGCTACATGCACTCGTCCACCCAGAGCAAGTTCCTTAGCGCTGGCTATCGCTGAGCTTGCACACATCCAACAATGGCACATAAGGAACGAGATGGCGAAGTTCAAGACGAGGAACGAATTAGTGAGCGTCGTCATCGCTCCAAAAGCGAGAAGGAGAGGGACCCAAACCGAAAACACAAATCTCGAAGCTCAAGGCCCAAGGTGATTGACCCGGAAACTGGAGAGCTCGTGAAAGCCCCGCACCGCAGTCGCAGAGAGAAGGATTCCGAAAAGAAGTCAGAACCATCATCGTCCATGGCAGATCTGGTACCAGAACTTGCGAGGACCGCATCTGCGCCAGGTTCCAACTCAAGAAGCAGTTTGGCATATCCAAGCTTCAACAAAGCTCATAGCAGAGAGGCCGTTAATAGCAGAGAAGATGTTAAAGTGAAACCAGCAGCCCCATACACACCAGAAGCGACTGAGACTGATCTTGGTGTCGATGAGAAACCAACATCGAAATCTGCCGAACAATCTGCAACACGAACTCAAACCAAAGATACTAGACCACCGAGTCCTCCAGATACGGAATTCTCGAAACAACAAGCTCCCCAGCCGCAGAGAAGGACTTCAACATCATCCCGAATGACGAAGGTTCCGGGGGCGCAAGAACATGAACCCAGACCGAGTTCTCGAAGTTCTTGGTATAACAGGACTACCAAGAAGGAGGAAAGACCCAGGGAGGAAAGAATAAGGGAAGACCCAAGGGAGGATCGGTATACCGACGACAGATCAAAAGTTTCGAGGGCTTCAGAAGCCACTTCACAAGCTAGTACTATCAAATCTCCTCGTGTCATTCCCGAGGGTCGCAACCCCTTCGGCGACTCCAATGTTGCCACAAATACGACCTTTGTTTCTGGAAGCGAATCTGGTGGAGAAGATTCTACAATCACAGATGCCACTTCTGTTGCACCCAAAAGGGAACCACAGCAAGTTTCGGGCCAGCGACCACCAGGCCTAGATACAGATTCATCACCTGGATCGGCTAAAGACTCCTCTCCACAAACACCAACACAGACTCTTCAGTTCCCTCCACCTGATTTGAAATCAACGCCATCTCCATTCATTCATTTCGATGCGCCCGACTCATCTCGTGGCGAATACTCTCCACAACCTCTACCACCACCTCCTCCCCCCAACGTCCCACTCAGCATCCCTTATGTCGATTATTTACTCCAGCATGGCGGTCTACCAAGACCCGTACCCAAGACTCTGGTCACAACTCCCACAACAGCAAATCCCCGGTACAGCCTATCTAATCCAATGCCTTCTGAGATTGAACGGATATTTGGGCCATTTTACCAAACTTTGGATCAATATGAGACTGTGATTTCTAAGAATGGTTCTATAGCTGTTGCTACTGGGTATAAGTCAGTTGCTAGGAGGCTGTTGGATAGACTTGAGATCGTTTTCAACAGAGATCTTTCCTCTCAAGGATGTTTTTGTGTCATGTGTGAGAGTTCAGACGACCATGATGATTCTAGGGGACTAGGTTGGGGTGAGGTTCTAGAATGGGTTAGCGGCCGTCGGGAGCTTCCGAATTGGCCTGCTTTCGATTTTGCATCGCTCGGTGTCAAAGCGGGTGAAGATTTGGCTAGCCTAGCAGTCCGCAACCCAGATAGACCTGGATCACCAATCAAGATAGATCCGGATGTTGCAGATGAATATCGGGAGCATTACCTTGCTCAATCAAAAAAGACAAAGTTGGCTGTCAACAAGTGGCTATCAAGCTGCCCTGAGACTGCAGCTGCACCCCCACAGGAAGTCGACGATGAGACTCTATCCTTTGCCATTTTAACTCATCTTGACCAGCACCATCGCCCAACATTCAACGCCTTGGTTACCGGCTCATGTGTCTTACAGCCTCTTACTCGCGCACCAACGCCAATGAGAAGACCTCGTTCGGATTTCATGATCAAGACGGGTCAAGCGCTGCAAAAGCTTTATCGACTGCCTATTACCCCGCGCGATCCCGAGGCAGCGATTTTTCTTTTGAGAAACCCAGATCTTCATAACCTTCTCGCAACAATGTCCAGCATCAATCCCTCGGAATGGGAAATTTTGACTTCTGGTCGATTTGATGGGTTTTTATGGTCAGGATCAGACTCGGCAAACCCTTCGCCAGCACCTTCCCGTGGTCCGACTCCTTTGAATGGTGGGCGATCTTCAAGGACCAACACCCCATTCTCCCCCTTGCGCAATCAAACGTTTTCTCCTCCAATGGCATCTAGTGGTTACCCATCTCGAGGACCTACACCCTCGCAAACCAGGAATCCTGTCTCGAATGATGAGGAAACTGAGATCGCGGTACTCGGAGAAATAGAGCGGGAAATCTATCAAGGCATGGAAGCACTAGAGGACGCATTTGAGGGCTTACATCGAAAAGCGGAATTTGTTCGGCGAGCATTGAGAGAACGTGGAGCGGGTATAGCTATGTCTTTGCAATCCAGACGTTTGTCCCAAATTGATCCTATGAGGTTTGGAACCCCGGGTCTTGGCATGGGATATGAAAGGCCAGGGTGGCAAGAAGGTGGAAGTGAAATCATGAGTGAGAGTGATTGGGATCCTGGAGACGATAGGAGCGAGATTGCGCCTGATGATTCTGCAAGCAACATCAGCAGCTCGAGACATAGACGCCCGAAACGAAGAACTGAGAGGAGAACTCCTGCGCCAGTCGAGGAGGAGGATGAAAACTGAGTGATGTCGGAATGGAATTTTACTTGTGAAGGGAATGTGTTGAAAGAAACCTCGCAACGAGTGCGTCGTGATTTATTTGCTTTGCCAGACGTCTGCATTGCTACACGATGACATGAAACGGAACTTTCCACCTGGCCAAACGAAACTTGTTTGCATGATATTAAAACCTTGGTTCGCAAAAAAGAACATTGCCTCTGGATGGATAATTACACGAAAAAAACGAGGCATGATGGGTATTTTGGTGTTGTTGGCGTTCATGTACTTTTGTTTTCATTTCTGCTTCGTTTTGCTTTCTTTCCTTTTTCTCTTTTTCCGAGAACTGGCTGAGCGAGATACCAAGTGGGTACGTGGGCGCGATGTTATATACCCCCGAAAAGAAGATATGTGGAACTCACTTGCATTGAGGAGGAGTTGTGAGATTCATAATTGAAATCTCTTTCTGTAGAATTCTCGAGTCTCAGGAGGAGAGATGTTGTGGTTTGAGCATCTGCATAATTTGGCGTGTTGCATTTTCGTCTCAAATTGTGGTGAAAGATAGATGGAATTCAAATACAGTAGTTGGGGGAACTGAATGGATCTTGATTGAAGCGATTAAATCATTGTGGCATTTTTCGCTTGGGTAATATCTGGTGATCCCGTTCTTATATATATATATATATATCTAGTTTGATTGAAGGGAGGAGGCGAGTGATTAGGTAGAATATGGTCAAACTAGGTAGCGATAATACATAAGCCTACTTTAAATTCTCTAATAAGTTGTACTTACTGGGAAGACTTTGAGATTGAGATTGAGGGCTGGGGCCCGAGGGGCCTACTGCTGGGCCAGTGCCGACGTAATCCCGAACACCCCTCCAAAATTCTTGAAGAGGTGACGCAAAATAATGTTCTCCTCCATTCTGCGACATAACAAATATCTCACAATGCCGAGCGATTTAGAACAGGTAACTACACTCCGTCAGATGCTTAACCTGCAAAGCTTACAATGCAAATAGTTGGTCGATTTCATATCGCATGGCAACACGCAGGTCCGCAAGCTTGGTGAGTCCCCAAATTACCCCACCAAGAGAAAGATACTCATTTGCGCCTCAGCCGTGGAAAACCTCGTCCCTTTCTCCCTTTCTCAACCTGCAGTCTTCAAAACGAATCAGCTTCTGCCGGTCAAGGATCTTAAGTTACTAGTGCGAGATTATAAAGTGCGACAACCTGGGTAGCATTTGGAGACAAGGACTGATGTTGCCTGTAGCAAATCGCGAAAGATGCGATCACGATGCTTATAAACCTCTCGACGGACCGGGAGGTCTTAGAGTTCCTCACCGCAGATAAGGAGTTCATGTCAACATTACTATCCCGTGTGACAGTATGTCAGTCCTCCAGCTCCCCATTTCGAGGGCGCTTGCTAACCTTCCAACTCTGCTAGAACCCTACGGAACCAAACGCGAATCTCATTGCGATGCTTCTAGCAAATCTGGCAAAATGGGATGATCTGAAGTCCATCCTTACGCAGGAACTACCATCCCCGGAAGAACTGAAATCGAGTAATAAAGCTATCGACCAGCTATTAGATCTGTTTGTCAAAGGCGCTGATGGGACATATAATAAAGATGCCGATTACGACTACCTCGCATACTTCTTCGCAGATTTAGCAAAGCATAAGGAGGGGCGAAAATACTTTCTTACGCCACAAGATTACGACAAAGTTGTACCTCTGACGAAAATTACCGTTTTTACAGAACACAAATCGGATATAAGGAGGAAAGGGGTGGCCAGTACGATTAAAAATGTGGCCTTTGAAATCGATGCACATCCGTCGTTTCTCTCAGAAGATGAGATCAATATTTTGCCTTACTTACTCCTGCCAATTACCGGAAATGAAGAATTCGACGAGGAAGATACTATGGCTATGCTCCCAGATTTACAACTTCTTCCTCCGGACAAAATGCGCGATTCCGATCCTGATATTATTCAAACACATATTGAGACTTTGATGCTTCTAACAACGACGAGGGAGGGTCGAGATACAATGCGGAGTATAAAGGTATATCCCATTCTTAGGGAAACGCATTGGAGGGTAGATCATGATGGAATGAGGGAGGCATGCGAGAGACTTGTTCAAGTCTTGATGAGAGATGAGGAGGGAGAGGTGGTTGATGAGGGAATGAAGGCTCTCACGAGGACAACGAGTGGTGTTCCAAAACCATTTGGGTCTTCGAAGCCATTTGGGTCCTCGAAACCTTTTGGATCGAGTTCTGGTGGTGGTTGGGCAAGTCAGGATGCTGCCGAGGATGAAGATGATGACGACGATGATGCTGTGGTAGAAGTATAATGAAGGCCATGCAGACCAATATCAATTTTACCTTGCGTTCAGGGATGACATAGCAAATCTTGAAGGGCGGAGACGTCAACTTGGGAAACAGTTTATTGTTATGAGCAGATTACCCCCACTTGATCTGAGTGCTAATTTGTGAGCTAGCTCAATGGATCGAATTTTCACGACTTTGATACAGACTTTTGATGTATCATCAATCCGGTTTCTAGACTCTTTACTATTCCATAATCAGAGGATTATGTGCCTTCATATTCATCAGGTCGGTCTCCCGGTGGACAAGAAAACTGGCAGAGACCTCTTTTATCTTATCCTAACTTAACTAAAAACTATTATATTATTTTATTTATTTAGAACAACTAAAATGATTTATCGAAAACGATCGCACAATAAAGGCAATTGTTCCAGATGTTTTAAACATTTTAGTACCTAGAATTTACTTACGCTAATACTTAAAAAAATGAATCTTTGCCACTTTTCTTGTCCACCGGGAGGTCGGTAAACCTGCAGCTAATTTGGCAAAGGATAACTATTGAAAAAGTCCATAATCAACGGCGTTGCATCCAAGTAAGTTCCCGTGCTACTATCAGGATTTGGACCAACACTCGGCCAATCATGGCCCAAGCCACTTATACGATAGTGTGTAATTTCTCCCAAAATCCCTGCCGCCTCAGCATACTCATACTTCAAGACATTGCCTCCAAACAGCGAGGTCGTGCGATTCGTCAGACCGAAGCCTTCACGCTTGCTCCATTCTCGGATCCAATGTGGAATTGAAGGCAGACACTGCCCGCTTCGGGGACCACCTGCGTACGCGATGGTGGTATCTGCAAGACCGTGGAATTCAATGATCGGAATTGGATTTCTTGCTGGAGGACAAGGCAAGGGGATGGTTGTCGGTGCACAGTCGTCGTCAGTTGAGCCAGGGACGTAGAAGGCGCCAGCAACTGGGGCGAACGCTGCAATTTTGGCGGACAGTCGGGAGCAGGCTAGTGTTCCTGTGAAACCGCCTCCATTGGATTTGCCTGCTGCATAGATACGAGAGGTGTCAATGCAATAGTCCGCATTGAACGAGTTGATCCTGGGATTTTGTCAGTCACGATTTGAGCAAGAGCCGATAATTTAAATAGGACATACATGTCTTCCACAAAGGAAACGTCATCAACACCTGGCACGGAGTACGGAGCACCTTCCCAAGAATGCTACAAACAAATCAATATTAAGCCCACATTATGGAAGAAAAACAGTGAGAAATACCTGACCTGCTGATTTACCCACTCCCAGTGGATAAACCGCAATAGCATTCGGATTCCACGATTCGTTGGAGAATTGACTCAAGTCCTCTTGATTTGCTGCAGTTCCCCCATTTCCATGGAATGAGAAAATCAGAGGGGCGGGTTTGTCCTTGTTGTAGTTTGATGGAACATGAATCCAGTATTGTCTCTTCATTCCAGGACTTCCACCAGACACCGTCGTAAAATTTACCTCGTGGGACTGTCCCCCAGCTGTGATGTGCGCGGGGAGATTTTTACCACATCCTGCACTTGAGGCTGCATATGCGTGGCCGGAGAATAAAATGCTCGCTAAAGCAACGAATGTCGAGAGGGAGGAAGACATGATTCTTTTCAAAGTGAATGAAGGATGTCCTTTGTGAAAATTGAGGGCGGGACTGAATTATATAGCTTCATTTTTGAATTTTCGAAACTCGAGATTTAGGGGATGATTTCGGTCGACTTCCCAAGTACAGGGCGCAGCAAGAGTCAGGATTTACGGCACAGCAATGAGAGATCCCTCCATCTCGTGGGTCCTGTCTATCTTCGTGCAATAATCGGGAAAGTGGAGTTATGAATTTATGCTGCTTAGTGCTCCTTTGTTGCACCGAAATGCGTCGGTCAATCCTGACACTGGCGGAAATAAGGGCGATATTTCTTGTTGTTGTAAGACTGCTTGACAAGCAAGCGTGCTTCCGTAGCTAGTATGCCGAGGGCTAGGTATGTAGCCGCAACGGATGACGAAATATCACCAGGGCTCGGGTACGGGAAGCCAAGCTTTGTGGGGTTATTGGGAATTTGGGTACAGTAAGGTTAAAGTAGCTTACTTGTACTACTGTAGATTAGATCAACCCGGGCTTGGGGTGCAAAAGTGCATGGGTTTCTTAGTGTGGGATCAGCGAATTGGAGTAAGAGGCATGAGGTTACGCGGCCGACGTCCCTTCCTTTTCTTTTTTCTGTTTTGGGAACCAGTTGACTGTAATGTCATATCGTAGACTTATATTTGGTAAGCGCGGGTACTGCATACGTGCCGAAGTGAGATTGCGGGATTTATTATTGTACAGTAGTGACACCTTACATTCTTTTACATGACTCGCCGCCGGTGGTCACAACTAAACCAAAGCCACTATTCACAGCCTGGGAACCAGGTTGGAGAAACATAGCTCACATAGTTCTTATTTCACTCATCAATTATAAATCTACGAGTTATATATAAAGACAAACCCAATCCACTATAAGTTATATGTATTATTCAACGAGTCTCGAATATAAAAAAGTATACAGAATGTATACATGGATGCGAAACCAACATCGCCGAATCTTCCAGTAGTTACATCTGAGACAATGAATTAAGTAAACGTGGCTAAGATATAGCGATTTACGTTATGAATATGGTTAGGCTCGTTATGAATACTCCTTATAATTAAGACTCAACGTACCTTACTATCTAGACCCTGGGAATGCAGAATGTCACGTGCATCGGAAGCGAACACTTTCAAAATAATAACAGCGATTTAGACGACTCTGGGATATGCACGAGTGACTTTTTAGAGTGATGATGTGCTTTTGATACCTCAGCTTGTGTAGAGAATAGCAGGCAGCAGGCAGTTCGGGAATCGATGGGATAGGTGTGCCTGGTTTGGGAATGTGGTATTTGCAACTATGCTGACATTTATGGTAGTTATCGTCCTAGTGATCTATATAATAATCTTCTGGATTTGAATATTATAAAGAATTAATAGTGGTAGAATATAGAACAATTATTATGCACAAAGCAGGTAAAAATGCCAAGAAGGCTTGGATTTAACCGAGGGAATCGGATCAGCGCACTTGGGAGCACACTTTGCGGTATAGTAGCATTTGAGTCAAGAGTCTTGAATTTTGTTAATACGTCTGCCAAGTTCCAATATATTATTTACTAAAGCCTTACTGGCAAAGTATACTGAGCGAGGACGATGACGCGTCAGCTGCGAAATGTTACTCTTTGCTATCTCTTGCAAATCTTGGTAACCCTTTGCAGAACGGCGAGCCTTGTTCCAATGTTTGTTCCAAGCTTAATAGCATCCTTCGCGTCCATATTTCTGGCAATACGTGCCGCTTTCGCAAGAGCAATTGCATCAGTAAGCCCCAAAGGCTCGAGGATCAAGCCGAAAATAGCAAGAGATTCTTGGGATCTTTCACAATAGTGTAAGAATCAAACGCCGCATTGCCAGCAACGCCCAGGAGCGCGACAATCCTTCCAATATTCGCCAATCCAGCAACCGCACTCATCACCTCCCCAGCTACAGGCACAAAAATTAATATGGCAGTAAGAAAGCCGAAAATAATCTTCTCTCGTTTGGCCTTCGCCTCAACATCCTCTGTATCCTTCCCGATATCAGCAACGGTCGCCATGTTCGCCACAGCATCTGCTATCATTGTAATGGGTATACCCAGTGCATCGACTGCGTCGAAGGGATCTCCCATATAAGAATCAACTCGAATGGTAAAAAGCAGATCTTTGATTTGAGGGCCAAGCTTTTTGGAATTCTCAAATGCCTTGCTGACAAGGTCTTTCGGATTTGAGATATCGCTCTTATCGTACCCTTGAGGAGCTGGAACATTCATCGCCCATTGTCCATGGTAGATGCATTCTTCTTGGGGAAAACCATCACAGGGGTAATTCTGTATGTTCTTGAAAGCGATACTATGGAAACTGTAAGTTTTTATGTAGTTTTATTGCAGGTGCTTGGTATTCAGTTTAGATCAGACAAGAACTTACTTTTCAGGTGTGATGCCCGTAGCTTCCAGAAGGTCAGCCCAAAATACACTTACTTTATCCTCTCTCAAGGACCAGTACACCGTGTCTTTATAATCCGGCCCCGAAGACGAACGTAATGAGTAATCTGGTGGGCAAGGCTCGGTGTGATTGACCATTTTGTAGTTGGATTTTGGCCTCCCAGCAGGGGTTGCTATACTCACCCCTTCCCGGATTACAAGACTGGTCTCCACGATTTCGGATTCCTCTGAACCAAGACCAATTGAAAACACATCTTCTCTTTTTTTCTTGCATGAGTAATTATGGCAGTATCGGCAATGCGGGTCGTTGGGCTTTGGATTATACTTGTGACAATCAGAGCAGCATTGTTCCATTTCGACGACGACGCACGTGAAGTATTTATTACCATTTCCCCCTTCAGTATAAAAATCCACGACATTTTTACTGGCGCTCTAAATAGGAAGGGGTGTCAGCGCAAATTCATTCGTTTGAACAATAGCCTCAAAAGCTGAAAATGAAGCGGTGGAGGTCTTGACTTACGTTGACTACGGCACCAGCGTAAGCATTGAACTTATAATCATACCCTTTTGCCATAATGTCTGTGTAATTCGCAAGGGCTTCTGTAAGTAGAGAATCTAGTGCTTGAAGTGCATATAACGCTCGGCAGTTATCAGGGATGGTATCCGCGTCCTTTTCAAGCTGTTCAAACGTTTTATAGCTGCTTGAGCATACCGGAAGCGGTTGGGCGTCACCAGATAGTTGTTCTATGTAAGTACTGTTGTCTTGGGAAACATAACTCTCTAAGCCCATAAGATCCAGCTCGACGGGGGCCTGAAGGTCTAAAGCCCAATCAACACTACCGGCAAAGTTTAGCCTTTTATAAGTGTCTTTGCGAAACCTTTTACTGTTGTCGGATAGGTAAGCAACCCATTCAGTTGCTAATAAGGTAAATTGGTTAGTGTAAGCTTTAGTACAGACAATCTAGTAAAGGATTCTTACTTCCATATATCAATATGTCTGACCCTGAAACGCCATCATAACGTGTGGTAGTATTTGGAAAAATGTTCTTGATCCTATTTTGAAGAAAATCATCTTCAGTCAGTGTTTGTCGAGCAGGGGTTTTAAATTCGTTGAGAAGGTTGAAATAGTGGCTATAATTTTTGGGGGTGTCACTTTCATACTGATGGGCCAACTCACTGTGCTATTTCGGCGTCTGCTAGAATTCCAGAAGTTTGGGTACATTGTCCTGGTTCAGCTTTGGTCTCTGGGCCTTTGAAGGTACATTCTGGACCAGTACAAGCGGGGTTTGTCATCTTGAAGGAGCGTCCATAGCTAGAAACTCCGACGGCGATCTTGTTTGATGGAACCCCAGCTTTTGTGACTATTTGGGTTGTAAGATTAGCTTCAATAAACTTTTGAGCCCAATACACTTTCGACTTACTCATCGAAAGAGAGTACATCGTCTCCGTCAAGTTCACTAAATTTTAGTTAGGAAAGCAAATGGACGCTTGTGGAAGATGTGGTTACCGTGACTGCGCAAACAGTTGCCCATTGGACATCCAGGGTTGGCCCAAGTACTATTGTAATCCCACTGGCCATGCAAATCGTAGGTCATGTAGACGATATAATCAACCACCTTTGCCATTTCTGCTGTGGGGAATGCTTTCAGGTACCAATATGAGGCCGGGGCAGCAATCGAGATTGTCATATGGGTTGGTAATAGATACCTCAATTGTTTAAGGAAAGCGAGGTAGTTTGTAGTGTCATCATCTTTTCCGGGAGGAATACCAGGTATATCTGGAGCCTAGCGATCGTTAGCATTTTCGGTGGTTCGAAAAGAACAGAGTAACTACCCCAGGATATTCCCAGTCAAAGTCAACCCCATCGAGTATATGTTCGATGCAGAAGGAAACAATTTTTATTGCGAATTTGTTGGCATTTGCGGGTTTCATGGCCTGTCGTAGGAGGTCATATGTAGCACGCTCCGTCGAAAAGCCCCATCCCCCAAAAGAGATGATCTTCTTGACGTTCAGTAGTGATGTAAAGTCGGTAAATTGCTTGTTAGTGTCGTTGACAGTGACCGTGAAATCTGGATTTACTGTGCCGAATGCCCAATGTAAATGGGTGTATGATTTGATATCAAGATCCTTGGCTTCCATGTGGAGGCATGGTCGATCAAAGTTCCATGCTTCGTAATAACCGATGGACATGGGATATTCAGGACCCTTTTCGTTATTGGTAATATTTAACCCGCAATTTCCTACACAACCATTTGTGCCCGGTGGTGAGGTACCAGGGTTGTTGGGTGGCCCTCTAACCTCTGTGCAAAATTCAGGATCTTAAAGAATGGCCAAGTTAGTAACATCCACAATCAATCTGCATTTTAAGGTTCTGGAGCCAAAGGCGGGAATGAAAGCTAAAGGCTAGGGATATTGAATTTTGAGCAGACTTACTAATCCCACATTGTCCCCAAACGTTACAGCATATGTTCAATGGGCATGGACTAAGGTCTGATAACTTCTGTGTTCCTGTTGGGGGTAATGTACCAGGCTTCGTGGGTCCGCATACGGCATTGAAAACCGGTGCTGGCATTGGGGCATTTCCCTCACTGAGGCAGATCTTGGTTCCGACCATAATATTACTACATCCACTCCATCCCCACGTCGTACCGTTATTGAAATTCTCTATTTGAATGTTTGTTAGGCCGTTAGCTGCGCCAAGCTTGGAGCAGTTGTCATCGGGCACCACGGTATAAGCTGCGCATGTACCATTGCTGTTCTTTTTGGGCCTCGTATCTGGCAATGTCCCAGCTCCGCAGCATACTCTCTGCCCAGGTTGTAGCATAGCGCAGAATTTAGGGTCCGGATTGTACTTTGTAAAATCGCTCGGTGATATGGAACACTATAGGCAAGGACAAAAATCAGCTTTTACTGTTCCAAAATAAATAAATCCACGAAGTGAACCACGAAGTGAACCACGAAGGAGGAAGAGGTGAAGATACCTTGGTGGCTAGTGAGCCACAGCCGTCCCCTGATGCCACAGTAACGATTGGGCAATCAGTTCGAGGGTTTAACTGATTCAAACGACGACCAGTGAGATGATTAGAGCTTTGATGTGTCGTGAGTTTGCTTTCCCAGATGCTAATTTTGCTCAGATTGGTGGTAGTGCCTGTGAATTTGTGACACTTTCCGTCGCTCCAACTACGGACAGCTTTTTGCAGAGAAGAAAACCCTTCAAGACGCCCTTTTGTGTCCGTAATCACACCAAGTGTATTTTCTGAGGTACGCTCTGAACCGCAAAGCTGTAGTACCATATCTGTGGATCTGTTTTGTTGAACCTGTGGAATACCTTGAGTTAGACGGAAGCTCACGGATTTCGAGATCTGGAGGGCAAGTTACCTGATCAATTACATTTGAAATTATAGACGGGGTTGTTGCGTGATTGTCGATGTTTGGTCCTGTGTAAATGCCAACAATAGCACCTCGAAAGTAACCGAATATAATCTTCGAATCACAAGCTTTCTCGTCTTGAAAATACTTCTGCACAACCCGAAGTATCACCAGCAGATCAGCAGCCGATGACTGTCTTGTGTCTGTCGTAATGAAATCCACCACTTCCTCTTTTTCGGTTGCAGAAAAACCAGTTGAAGTAGCTAACAGCGGATTCTCATTATCCCTCACATTTGATGATGGACTTTCGGTGTTTGGTTTTTGAGAAATATCCGTAGAAATCAAAGCCTCTGCTTTACATACACGTATCTTTGTATGCGTCAGAGGATTATCGAGGGGGTTATAAACTGCACAATCGAAAAGCATGGGTTGGTCGCAAGCTGTGAGATGGCCAACTTCATTGTAAACGGTCCAGCTCTCGGGGATTCCAGTACAGCTGGCAGGACATACGTCCAAAGCAGAATAGAGTATGTCGTCGGCCTGGATTTTTGTAGAAAGAGTGGCTAGTATAAAAAGTGTAAGGTTCTTGGAACCACCATAAGACTTCATTATAGCGAGGAATTTGTTTTCCGAATAGACTTTCACAGATAATGAGTGTGTTGATATTGAACTGATAAGTAAAAGACTCTAAATATGCCCACTACCAGAGAAAAGGCAAGGAAAACGAGAGCTTGATGATACTTATCTGGGCCCCAAAGATGAAAAAAGATCTAGCATCTTTCCCGGGCATCAATAGGGGGCCTGATTTCGAAACATGGAAGCACCAACGGCATTTTTGAAGGGGGTTACATCAAAGCTTCGCCACTTCTAGCATATGGAGTGAGAACAACAGGCCTCAGCCGTTATGTTGGAATTTACGTATAGTTGAACCAGTAGCAATCTAATATATGATTAAATTGTTGGTAGATGCTGTTATAGGCAAGCACATGCATATGGCCATCCTTTTATTCGTAGGGGCTGGCCCCTAAAAGAATTCGAAGTATGGAAACGACATGAGTATCATTGGTTGCAAGCGGGCTCTTTTTTCTACCGTCGAGGAAATGAAGGGATTGTTGTGTTGTTGGTAGGATTTGAAGAAAGGGCCAGTGTTGGTTGGTAGGGTTCCTGCCAAAGTCTCACTCATCCTCTGACAGATCTGTCGAAGAATTCCAGGTTTGGTTGCACGTGATATCAACTTACATCACTAGGGGTGGAGACTTGTGTACCTCAGTTCAAGCAAAGCAAGTATCGACCTCAATTAAAGATATTTCGAGCACCATCACTTTTCTATTGCTTGACGAGCGCTGAGAAGTAAAGATGGTAGCATTAATGTCATGGGACTTATATTTTCATAGTGCCTACACACAATAAGTAGTCCTATATTCTCAGATACCCAGATTTGACCAGGGATCACCATGCCCTAGGAAGAGACTTGGTCCATATTCTCTCCAGATAAAGCGACTTCTCTAGTTTAGAATACCAAAGTAGCCCGCTCTGCACCAGAAATAAAACCGAACCAAGCTCCTGGTTCGTCTGTGGCGGCCACCAACCTGCTGAGTTTACGCAGAACAGATCCTTCATGTTTGTGGCTTTTTGCGAGAAGACAAACACGCTTCAATCCATGCTTCAGCATCCTTTCGTCAACTACACGAAGAGAGCCAAAATTAAGAAGGTTTCAAAACATGTACCTTGCCTCCAACATGAGAAACTTCCCTCATAATAGTATTATTTATCGCATTCCTTTAGGGCTATGTACGGACTCATCGCGTGTAGTTTACAGAAATGGCAAGATTCGGGCCATGCATAGTGCTATCAGCTTCGCTGTGTAGGATTGTCGGATTGAAAAAGAGAGAAATTAACGTGGTGACTTTTCAAATTCTCGGGAAAATGATATACTATAAGTGCATTCCCCTCTGTCTACATTATGATGCCTATGGAAGTGTCTTCTCATTCTACATTCGCTCACTAAATTTCACTCGTTTGATCAGATCAATCTCTTTACTGTTTTCTCGCTATCATTAGCTCCATCTACCTCCTCTTTCCCATGATGAAAGTTTCAATCGTTTTTGCTTTTTCTTGTTTGCTAGTGTATGTTGCTGGGACGGGAGATCGTGGGGCTTATGAGAGGTATTTCCTAACTTAGACCTTCGGTAAATTCATACAAAAGTCACTAAAATCCAGACAGAATGCTTCTTTACAATGCATATATTGCCGAGGAATTCTACAAACCTGGCGAGTTCACCATTGCACCAGATTGTAAAGGCAGTCGTCCAGGTGGTAGGTGCACTTTTCTCGAGGTAAGCTATCAGAATCACATTTTTCTGTGAAGAAGGGAATGTTTCCGATTTTTTGGTGCCTACTTGCAAAGTTTTTTCAATTTAATCTCTTTTTACTGTTTCCGCACAGAGAAACGACTGCAGCTTCAAGGACCAAAGACTAACGATTTTGTGTCAAAACAGATGTTGAGGCACGTTTGTGTTGCAACCAAAGGGGGCCAGCAGGAGATGCCAGGTGCTGGTAAACCGCCAATTCTTATCGGAGATCCACCTCCTTATGACGAAACCGATAGTAAAACAAAAAAAAGTTCTCTTTCAGCCAGGAATAAATTCTACCTGCCGAAAAGCAACTGGTACAAGGCAAATCTTGGACAGTTTTACTTCACGAATGATAACAAGGAGATATTCCGAGAAGGACTGTCGCCAGACCAAGATGGTCAGAACTTTGCCAAGATCTGGTCCCAAAAACCACATTCATTACAGCAACTGGTTGTTGCATCGAGTTGGGAGATGGATGGAAATTGGAAAAATGGCTGCTGGAGCATCTCGCTACGAACACACCTTCGCGAAAATGGCCGATGCCATTTCAGCATCTCGTATGCATCTTCTCACTCAGACCCCGAGTCTTTCAGCACAACAAAGCGCACTTTTTGATATGGCAGAATCTGTCGGTTCCACGGTTCGCAATCTCAGAGACCAAAACACCGACAAATACCGCTCGGGAGACAGAACGGTTGACGGGAAAACAAAGGAGAGGACGGGACCAGTCAATTAGCCCAGTGATCTAGCTCAAAGACTTCTGGCGACTCCAGAGTTTCAGCAATTGCAATTGACGCCGGAAGAGAAGGGAAATTTGATTGCAGTCAAAAAAATTGGAATTATTCCTATTCCAAAGCCCGCTGCGTCAACAGAATGGTTAGTTTTCGATAATATCGAAACAGCCAAGCGTTGGAAGACGAAGATTCCCAATGTAGAAGAAGTCATAACAAGGGTTTGTGATGCGTACAAGCTCGAACCAATACCAAAGGAGCACTATATTCAAATAGCAGCTATTGAGGAGGCGAATCGGAAGATTAAAAGCTCTATTCCTGCCACATTAGGCGCATGTTCCACTTAACAACACTCTTTAAATTATAGAAACTTCTTCAGAACTCGATAGTTGTCATGCGTCAAAATTTAATCTTCACATCTACTAGACTAGTCCTAACGTTGGTGCAATGAAAAAGAACGGAGTTGAGTTTAAACGTTTTTAGATTGGTTGGGTTCATGAAATTAAAGTGCTGTGTTGCAAGGTTAATTTTTGATTGGCTACCTGGTAATCTTTCTGTCCAGCTGTGTGGCTGTGCCAGATCCTTCTGTTGGTTGCAACACTACCATCGTTCGGTCGAACTATATGTACCCTGCCAAATGCCCAATCTATTAGTGGTTTAATGATCATCTTTCTTTGAATGGCAAAAATGAAGCAGTCCTCGCTTGAAACAACACCGATCGAGGTGGGAGCTCTCATTCTTGAGAATATTCCTGATATGAGCAGTCTATGTATGGTCTCTCATACGAGCTTCACCTCATGCCCATAGGATCTTCCGCAAATATCGCGAGCACGTCCTCCAATTTGTCATCGCTCGTGATATTGGGACGATTCTTCTGCCTGAAGCTTTGGCAGCTCTTGACTCGTCAGAATTAATGATGTTTGAAAGTATGGATGGAGAGGTATTAGAAATACCTATTCGTGGTCCTTGGCAAGGCGATGTCTTGAGTTGGATGGAAAATTGGTACCTTCCCGAATACAAGATCATGATGCGGTGGGGAGTAGAAGGCTATCTTGATGAACATGAGAAGGAGATATGGAATGAATGGAAAGACCGCCACCACTTTGATAAGACAGACTATCTGGGCGCCGACTATCTGCCACCAAAAGAGAATATGTTGCAGCTCTGGCAGACGCATAAGGACGTGATGTTTATCGCAAACCTCTGCGTGGGAGAGACTTTGGATGTTTTCATTCGAGGTTTTAGAGGCGGCGATGAGCCTCTGGGTCCGAAGGTTTCGTATACGCTTGAGGATATCTCACTCGTCGAAAAACAACGAATATTCCGGGCCATCTACCGTTTCATAATTTTCGGCAACGTCTTCGCCCCTTCCACCGAAAACTGGGTTGGTATGGATCCATGCGCATGGTTTCTTTGTCAATTCCCTGCTTGGAAAGTCGAAGAATTGAGTTGCGTCTTTGATTTTGTGACAGACAAGATTTTGTTGAAGTGGCAGGAATCGGAAGACCATGAGTTCAGCCGACTTTCTACAGACCTAGATCTATGGAAGCTTGAGGGTAAAATGTATTTCTATTCGGAAGACTGGAAGCGGCGCTATTTCCGAAGGATGCAGGCATCCTCTGCAACGTTGCCAATTAAGGATTTGCGCGCCATACTTCAATCGAAAAAGGGACTTCTGAAGGACTTGGTGGAGAAAGTAGGAGATGCGGGCGAAAGGGAGTTTCTGAAGGAGGCCCTAGAAGATGATCCAGGAAATAAACCTGTGCTGTTTGGAGGCGAAAGGCTTAGGAAAGACGCGAAATGCGACAAAGATCATATACCAGTTTCTGATGGCTTGTCAGGCAATGACAGTATGTCTGCCAACAAGGACTACATATGGGCTGATGGTGGGTATTGCCGAGAATTGTATGTGTCTTCTACTTCTTCTGAGCCTTGGAGAGAAAGCCTTCGACGAGCTGGATATGTCTTCTGGGGCTCAGAGATCTGGGGAGATAATGGCACCTTTATGTAAGTCTTGCATGACCGGATAATCTAGACCTCAAAGCTAATTTTGTCTAGTGGACGAGAGGAATGCGGAATGCGAATTTTGAAGGAATTTCCTCGACCCGCTTTTGAAGATCAATCCCTCAGTGTAGAAGAGAGGATGAAAAGATGCTGGCAAGAGAAAGTCAATTACTCGTGAGTGTTCATAATGTGAACTTTAGCAACAATGGGCCCATGCACCAAATGGATTGAAACAGGGAGAAGACTGGAAGTGGATGTGATGACTGGGTCCAGCCCAAGCTCGAACGGGGTCTGAATTCAATATGGTGATGGGAGACATCAAGACAGACTGTAAATTTGTTAAATTTCTGGTACTTTCCAAGACACCGTAGTACTTGAACCAATTTCAGTAGTTTTTCCTTGTTTGAGAGTTGATTTATGAGATACTCGAGTAGCACTATACATTGTAAATAATCTATTCTCTAAGTATCTTAACTATTTTTCGATGGTAATTATGACTAGCACCTTTTGACCATGTGCTTTAGCTTAATGTAGCGTTTTAATATGTGTCTAACCGAAACACCGCCTTGATTTTTCTACTAAATTACTGACGCTATAAAATCTAGTAGAGTGACCAGGGCAGAACGATTATCCGAAAGGTCTTAATTAATTTCTTCGTTGCTCACAAGACACAATTTTCCTTGAACAATATTTGCCTAATAATCAATTCTTTACGCAGAAACTTATTTCAAATTAAACTAAACACTCGTCCATACAGCGCAGATATTTATCTTAGCAGATAGATATTTCTTCTTACTAGAAGAGTTAAGACTATAGACTTATACAGAGATCAAGAAGATTGGTTCAAATACAGAATCCTAGCTAAGAATGACCAAAAGTTTCTATAGTCGTATAACAACTGGTACAGTGGTTAGTTCCATGCTTGGAGAATAATATTTACCATATTAACACTAAATTTCTGGCCAGGAGTTGTGATTCCAAGAAATTTCTCTCTGTCTGCAAGAATTACAAATCGATAAGATAATAGTACTTATATTGTCTATTGGTCCATTGGATATCCTACATAACTTTGCTTCACAAGAATCCAGTGCTTTACAGGTAAAGAAATAACCTAGCGTTGCACAAATGCCGCAAATGACAAAGTGGTATAAACAAGTATCACAAACCAAATAAGTAATGTACTGCTAAGACGAAGTGTATAAAACTCCGGTTATATCATCCTATCTACCTCTGGCTTCCTAATACCAAAGTTCCTACGAATGAAGTCTACTGAAAAACAATTCAGCAATATTTCGCATTACAATAGTTCCCCAAGAAACTTCAGCCAATTGTCAAAGAAAGAGATAGGCAGAGAAAGGGAGAAAACAAGAATAGAGAGAGATCCAGAAAGAAACTGTCCCCAAAATAACCAGCAAACTTCAAAACAATGTGCTTTGGCAAAAGGCCCCGAGTACAGCAACAATACACGAGGGATTTGGTCCAAGGCCGGTTAGATTCGGAAACAGTATGTGACATAATATCACCTCTACTTCCCCAATCCAGAAACCGAGAATATTAAATACTACCATCCTAGGAATGAACTCACAAAACACGACAAAATCGTTAGAATGTTAGCGTATCACGATCCAGACGATTCTGATAGAGGTTAACATTGTACACGACTTATTCCATGGTTGCTTCGTGGAGGTAGAGAAGGTAGGCGTGGAGCTGGAGCACGAAGAGGATTGATTGTGCTAGTCGATATGCTTATAGGGGTTTGCAGGGCGTTACATAGCTTATTCTATTTTGGCTTGGTTGTTTTGAAGTGACATTTACACGGTTCCAGTACCACCAAAATTCAAATTGTGGACTATTCTTTTACGAGACATGCGAAGTGACTCTGACACTTTAAAGTGAGAATTGGCTTTTATGAAACGTAAAACATTTATACCTCTTGAACCAAAGTACCCAATTACCTTCGGGATTCAGAATGCGAAGAAGAAGTTATGAAAGAAGAAGATAAAAAGGAATAAGATGAATTCATTGTTTGGGGGATACTCGGTAGATCTCGCTAAACACTGCACGCACAGCCATAATGCGGTGGATTTTGTGAAATGTTCTGCTAATCTTAACTCTTATCCTAATTACTACCAAAACTCTAGCCCTGGCTTTCTTGACCTGAGGATGGCTAGAAGGGTTCTACCTAGGGACTCATTAAGAGGCTCTACACTGTTATTCAAATGTGGTGTATTGTGACTTTTATTTGTGGTTGGTTTTCGTGGTTGTGGCTGGTAGTAGCCCTGTGATTGGACGAGGTCTACCTTCCAAATACAGATAAACGAGTCACAAACAAGAATTCGCTTGACCTCAACTCTTCAGAATCTCAAAATTTTACCGGCAGAAGTTGAAGCTGTTTCTTTTTGTTTCATTGGCAGCTTTGCGGAGATAGAAAAAAGTCGGAGGAATAGCTGGTAAATTATTACGGTAAATTTACATGGCAGTAGTTCTGCTAAGGATCTCCAAGGATACACAAGAATCTCAAGAAACCATGATTGCCAATATTGAGTCAAGAGCGTTTGCGGTGTCACATTACTTCGAGGCAATATGGCGGCAAACCGACTTCACCACGGGTATCAGAAGCCAAAGACTTCCATTTGCACCTTTGTTTGAAGCGGTTATCGTGCACCCCAGACTTCCAAGTCGGCAGAGGAGATGGTGGTTTATATGTACCGTACTCGTATTTCTCAGTGCTTTGAATGCCTTCCAAGTCTTTCCCTGCTTCGTATTCTTCTTCGTCTCCTTTTCTTCGGCTTGTTTTGTTGTTGTTGTTCTCCTTTTGGAAAGAGGCTGAGAGGAGCTTCATTTTCTAAGCAAATCACTTCTTCCCCCACTGTATTTGGGAATGGTCAATGCCGTGTCCAGCCGGACGGAGATGCCATGAGTTTATTCATAACCTCTGATCACGGGGTTTGTCGGAAAATCGCCTGTGATGGATCTTTCTCGGAAGTGCTCCCCTCCGTGGGTTTCTATATTTGCGACCGGCCCGAGAAGTTGCGATCTCGGTTCCCGCTCCCCTCAAGTCTTGTTTCCTTCCCAACCGGGGCGCCCAGTCTCCAATTGCCATTTTCTCCCCAACATCAGCCACTATCGGACGAGCATGCTGCTTGCTATGCGATTCGCCAACGACCAGCCAAAGACCAGAGTTCTGACCAGGTTCTTCTCCTCCCCGTTTGCTCCAGGTCTTTATGTGGTGACGCAGTTCCAGTGCGAAGCAATATGGTTCTCAGGTTCCGAATGTCTGTGTCAGTTTTCTCGACCAGTTTCACATCTCGTGCTCCCAGGTCTCTCCCACCAGTGCCACCACTCCTAGACCGAGACCCCTGGATGGCAATGCTTCAGCCTCCAACTCCCGCTCCACCTCCAACCTTTGAGCCTTTGAACGTCTGATCTGCGTCGAGAAGGGACGAGCGCCACCTTCTCTCCCCAAGTCTTGGGCTTCGTCAGGGCATACGGCATACGGCATACGGCAAATAATGAGCAGATTGAATTTCGATGTGCGAGGCACAGGCACAGGACAGGCACAGGACAGGCACACGCATCGGCACACGTCCACGCACTACCGGGAGCGCAGGCAGAGGACGTACGGAGCACACACACCAGATTGGCTGGCACGCATCAGCTATCAGATCAGCGGGTTGTTGGGTCATCGAGTACGGAGGTCCCAAGTACCATCGAGACTCGAGAGGCAAGGCTTGGGCCTAATCTTGACGTACAAACGGCCTCGCATAAAGTACGCACTCAACTCTCTCACGCTCTTTCGGTACGCTACCGAATAATACGAGTATTAGTGACTGGATTATTGGTGCAGAAGGCTCAGTTCAGGCGGCCAGGCCCGCGGCCGCGTCACGTAACGAGAAGCCTCAAGCCGTCCACCATCCTAAGGCCTCCCCTGCACCAAAGGCAAAGCCAAGCGTCCAAAATCCGCTCCTCAATTCGTGCCATGACATGCCATGGCCGACACAACACCGCGGCAGGCTGGGCAAGAGGGTATTCATCTCCTCTTTTCCCTCTTTTCACTTTGTCTTGGCTTGAGTTGACAGAGCGTTTCATTTGTCTATTCCAATATCTATTCGTTTCTACCCACTCCCACCTCGACTGTGTCCTGGTGTTACTTTCAGCCTTTCGCGAAATCCAGCGTTGGAAACAACAACTTCTGAGCCTTGTGGCAGCCAACACAACCACCACTCGCATCTTTCATTGTTGTTTCCCTTGGGAGGAAATGGATACGGAGAGCTCTCTATTTATTTGATGCCAGCGCCCAGGAGACACCCCGTGAAAAACTAATTCGCCTTCTAAATCTTCCAGTCAAGTATAGATTATTTTTCTGCCAGACTTCTACAACCTTTCCATCCCACGATCGCAACGTCGCCAACATACATTGGAGGACTTTTGTTTGTTATAAATAACTGTGGTTTTTGGGATCGGCATAGCCACGATTACGAACTGCACTAGTTCAGTGCCGCGTCATCAGCCAGGAGGATATAGATATTTTTGGGCATTGGGACCTGAGGGAAGAAGCGGGCAGACTACTTCAGGTCGATGGGAAAGGCATACAATAGAATGAAAGGGCTATCAACATTTGTTCTTGTTGCGGGGTTGTGGTCGACATACACGGAAGGTCTTACATTTGAGAAGAGGACCGATGGGCCAGCACGAGTAGTTGGGTTTCCAGTGGCACGAACATCAATAGAGGACCCGGTAAAAAGAGATAGGCTGCGGAGAAGAGGAACAGTAACTGCAATACTAGACAACCAGGTAAGATATTACAGTGTCGTTGTCGCTAGCCTTACTAAAAATGTCGTAGCAAACACTCTACTTCGCAAATGCCACGCTAGGTACGCCGCCTCAAATACAACGGTTACATATCGATACCGGGAGCAGTGATTTATGGGTAAATGCAAAGACTTCAGCACTATGTAAAGGGAAGGAAGGGGCGTGTGATTTTGCGGGGTCCTATTCAGCAAATGCTTCGTCAACATATTCGTACATTGGGAGTCATTTCAACATATCATACGTTGACGGGTCGGGAGCATCGGGGGACTATGTTTCGGACACTTTCTCAATCGGCTCAACAACTTTGAAGCGATTGCAATTTGGAATTGGGTACACGAGCTCATCGCCTGAAGGAATTCTGGGTATCGGATACGAGGTAAACGAAGTACAGGTTGGCAGAGCGGGCAAGGGAACCTACAACAACCTACCAGCCCAGTTGAAGGCAGATGGATTCATTACGTCCAACGCATACAGCTTATGGCTCAACGATCTTAGTGCAAGTACCGGCAGTATTCTTTTTGGTGGTATCGATACGGAACAATTTGAAGGCACCCTCCAAACGCTTCCCGTCCAGAGGGAGTCCAACACTTTCGCTGAATTCCTGATTACTCTCACAGACATCAACATAGGCAGCCACGTTGTCGCTAAGAAACAAGCTCAGGCTGTACTTCTTGACTCTGGAAGCTCTCTCACTTATCTTCCTGATGTCATGACCGAAGCAATCTACGCACAAGTTGGAGCTCAATACGACTCTTCCCAAGGAGCAGCCTACGTCCCTTGTTCTCTTGCTGAGAACACTTCTACCATCGATTTCACGTTTTCCGGTCCGACCATCAGAGTACCAATGAACGAGCTCGTCATTTTCATCGCCTCGACCAGTGGACGGCCATTAACATTCTCCGACGGTAGCCGAGCATGCATCTTTGGTATCGCACCAGCTGGAGCTGCTAGTGCGGTCATGGGCGATACATTCATCCGTTCAGCATACCTCGTTTACGACCTCGACAACAACCAAATTTCCATTGCGCAGACGAAGTTCAATGCTACCACCCACAACATCGTCGAGATCACCTCTGGCAAAAACTCCGTTCCCAAAGCCCAGACTGTCCCCAATCCTGTCGCGGCTTCTTCGACGCCCAATCATGCGCACGTTAGTGGCTCAACAGACAGCAACAAACCGAAGAACGCGGCTAAAGTCAATGCACCGTCCGCCAAGCTTGGCTTTGTGTCCACTTTGCTTACGCTCAGTGTGTTCTTTGCTGCCTTGTAGAGTTGAATTTCATTTATATAATTTCGGCCTTCGGATTTTTCTCTCTGTTTATTTTGGCATAGCGTGAGCATATTTCTTGCATATATATGGCGTTTGACGAATAGGACTTGGATGGGGTAGGCATATGGCATTATATATATCAGCATGATGGATTTATGAAGTTAAACAAAAAGGTACTGGATATCTGATTTGATTACCGAGGAAGGCTAGGTGGATTTTCATTTTTCTTCAAAATTCTTGCATTCTTTTTTGCATTTGCATAGCGCTGGGGAGTGTATATATTGAGGAAAACGGATCCGATAGCTAGGGCATTTGAAATGGCGTATATATACAGATCAGCATATAATTTACCTATTATCTATTGCTAGATTCGGAAGAAATTGAAAATAGATTGGAAAAAAATCTCGCGAGATCTTGGATTGAAATAATTCTTTCGAATTTACTGGGTTTGCTTATTCCGATGTCAAAAATCTTGCCTTCTTTGGTAGTACTAGGAATAGAGTTATCTTCCTACGTCACTACAAAGTGCCCGACACTACCAGTATTTGTCTGGAGCCTTGCATCACGAACATGGATAGCTACTGTAGAGATTCAGTCCCAAAACATGTGAATACAAGTACACGCGAGATGGTACTCGGTATTAATCTCAAGTGAGACTTGTGTGTGTGTCAAGGGAACAAGCAGGAACCTGCTTTTATTACTGTACAGTACATCCTAATTTTTCACATCCGAATTTCCCATGCTTGCTGTATCTCTTGTTGGAGTTTGACCACTGCTGCACCGCCACAATCCTAAGTGTGTTTGATACAAATTCAAAGAAAAGGTTATTATGCAACATTTTGCAAGTCCGAGTTCAGTTTGGGAAATTACATAGATGCATGCATGGAACAATTGGACTGTACTGTAGTTAAGCATCTAGAGTACGAACACCTGAACGTTCTGTACTGTTACTGTACAGTGTGCTGCAATCAATTAAACTTCCCCGCACTCTCGAGTCGAGTTTCGCCTCATCTTGAGTGTAAGGTGTAAACGGTGCAGAAAACGGTTGTGTACTAATACTTAACTCTACAGCAAACAAGAATTACCGGCCCTCGGCACACGTACCTAATTACTAAATTGGGACCGGAATGCGAACTACTATACTGGTACCTACACAGTCTTTCGGACGGGTTTGGTTATACGAGTATATTCTCGTTTTGGGTTTGGTAGGTGGGTGGTGGTGTTGCAATATTTCCTAAACTTAACTACTCTATGTAAAGGCTTAAGGATGGGTCTTGGCGGGATGTCGTAATTGTTATTTGGGATTTTGGATACCGGTACCTACCTAGGTAGAATCAAAGAGGGTACGAGGAGGAGGGTGGACAGCTGCGAATTACTTCGGTAAGAGTGTTGTACAGCCCCTTCGCAGAAGTAGCAAGAATCTAGGGTAGCTTACTAGTGTGCTGCAGGGTATTTTGCAAGGTATTTTTGTATGTAAATTGCTTATTCCCACAGATTTTATGTAGGGTCGCGAAACATCTTGCTACTTTTCCGAATGGGGCTGTATGGAATGTAACGCAGATCAGATGTGGAGGAGTGTATTCGAAGTATTTATGGAACGCGAGACTCTAATTCGCTGGTTTTCGCTAAAACTACTCGGGGCGAAGACATATTATTAACTGCCAATTGTACGAAGTATGGTGCGAATCCAAGCCATCCACCTCCCACCCCTTTACCTACATGTGAGAATGTTTGGAAGGCGATTAAAACTGACTTTCTACGCTACTTAGGTACTGAGTACTCCAGTACTACAGTATCATAAATGTAGCCCGCCGGAATACTCCGATCATCAACATGTGCACAATGACATTGTGCGAATGCATAACTTATGTAAGAAGCCACACAAGCGATTTCAAAAACGGAGCACAATCCCACCCTATTAGCTAATCTTGTTCCGGCCAAACGAAAGGTAACATAGTAGTGAATAGAAAATTCTATTACAACTATCTCTGCGTCTTTGGTGTAATGGTAACATCTAAGCTTCCCATTTTCTGTAATGGAGACTTGGATAACCAAGTATTGGTCTGCTTAGGCCCCGAGTTCGATTCTCGGGAGACGCAAATATATGCTTATGGATATTTGATGGTGCACTTTTTTGTTTTCTTTTGAACTTTTTTGTTTTTGGGGGTTGGTTTTTGGTTGGGAGGTATGACGATGATGAGATGGTTTTTGTGGAGATCCGCTTGGCGTTGATTTATTCATGTGATCTTGGAGTTCTAGATCCTAATTGTAACTTAGTATTCTATATATAGTTGTATCTGAAATGATAGTAAAGTATTAACGTGTATTCTTATCCTAATCATAGCTGTACCTATTATTTTGTAGTTTATAAGTGTTACGATATATCCCCCTTTCCTAGTTAGTACCGATGATTGTCACGTGTAGCTAGTCCGACTGTCTCCCCTAAGTCTTTTCACTCCTTTAGTACACTTAGTTAGATATAATACGAGATACCTTTTAGTAGAATCATCTACCCTATTAGTAATATTCAGTTATCCTCTCTCCTACTATGAATAAGTGTTTATTTCTTAAGAGCAAGTTTGTAAACATGACTAAACGTGACCAAATGATAACTTTTATAATACTTGTGATTCAAGCGAACACAAAATTCGTCGATGGGAACCCGTACCTACAGGTGCTTATAACTGTAACGGTACCCAACTATTGGTTTAACTTATTTTTAATAAATAGGTCATGTAAAAGACCTATATTATCTGCATAATAATTAAGTCCTGAGTTACATGCCTAAGCAAGCTTAGCTAGCTAAGTCTCTACGTACTTATAGATGCCATTATAAGCTAGTCCCGAAGGAGCGTAGGGAAGGCTTATAATTCAAGAACAATTAGTTCGAAGAGGCACAAATAAGCAGGCGCAAACAGGCGTGGTTAGAGAGTTTTTTGGTAAGGACTATAAGCAGTCTTGCGACTAGGTATGTTGGATTGGTGTGTGTGTATTTACATAAAAGAAAAAGGGAAGGAAATAATGTGGGAAGGGGCTAAGCTTTTGTGGCCCTTAAGCGAGCTGCTCGCGGCTTTGACGAGCTCACAGTGCTGCTGAGTGTAAGAATAACCAAAATTTAATTCTTCGTTAATTTGAGATAAACGGAGGTAACATAAATATAAATAATAGAAGATCACTTGTGATTAATACATCATAGTTCTTCAATTGTAGAATCCCAAAAGCAAGCCATCCACCACTTGTCTCTTGCTGAGTGTATTACATCGGGTCTAAATACGAGAGGGTTTAGTAAGAAGGTCTCCAATATGGTATGAGGCTTCATAATCGATTTGTTTCGCCTCTAAATTACGAGTAAATTATAAGGCAAACCTCGTAGACTTGAGATTGCTCGAATAACTAAAGCAATGTTATTCTCATGTTATTCTAGTAGCGTGAAGGTAAATGCGAAATGTAAAGTATCTGAAAGACTGCAAGCATAGTTTCCGAGATTCGCTTACGATAAGGAGCCTCGCTTGATTTTACCTTCACACTACGCTTACACGAATTTGGAACCTCTTGATTCTGTTGTCTCGACAACTCTCAATCTAGTGATTTTAATAGAAACATTTATACTCTCGTAGTTGAGTCAAGAAATCATGTAAGAGCTAATTATCGAAGGAGGACATGAGCCCCACACGGTTCGCTTGTTCTTCTGGACCCTGCATTCAAAATTAGGCTAGTATGCAATGCGCCTCGGTTACCAAGTTATCAACAACATCCGCTTCATTCTCATTTATCGACCATGGCGATAAGCTTACTTATAAGCGACCCCGCACAGCTGACGGCATACTAGGCTAAGGGTCAATCCAAGGGGCCAACATGCTCAGAGAGGCATAAACGCCTATCTGTTTTATGACGAGGAATTCCGTTCAAGAGAAACTTTGGATTGGCTTTGGCCTTGGACGTGTAGTTAATCGAAGAGAATTCGAATGAAAGGCGAGAAAACAACACCCTTGTATGGTAAGTGGGGAGAACAATTGTCCACAGTAGATTCATGTAAAAGATGCAGTACAACAGAACACAGAACACAAACGACCTGCATTGCAGCCACCCAGAGTAGCTTTGGTATTCTATGTCGCCTATTCGTTCTTTCGTATCAACCTTATATTCTGTACCCCTGCCCAGAAACCCAATATAATTTGCTAAATTGGCTGCCATGGAAGCTAATTTTTCCAATTCATCCTATGTACTTCCCCAGGACGAGAGGTATGAGAGTCGGATAAAACTTGAGAAAAGCTGTAATGGGTGGATGGCCCTCTTTTCTTTCGATTTATTCATCATACTCTTCGCCATCCAAAAAACTTGCGCAACCGAGCACCGTAAAATGCAGCTCCACGCCTTCTTCTCGCTTCTGCTTTTCACATCCTGGGCATATTGTGCCAATGAGACTTATGACTACATTGTTGTCGGGTCAGGGCCAGGTGGAGGTACAGTAGCAACACAATTGGCCAAAGGGGGCGAGTCTGTACTTCTGCTGGAAGCTGGCGATGATCAAGGGGAAAACCTCAACCAGAAGGTTCCTGGCTTCTTTCCTCTCGCCAGCAATGATCCTACATTTCGGTGGGACTTTTTCGTCAAGTATCATTCCGATGATGCTACTACCCGAAAGTTCGAACATCTCGTATACAGAACTACCAATGGGGGCTTCTACGTTGGAACAGATCCACCAGCGAGTGCGAAGATGCTAGGAGTCTACTATCCTCGTACCGGAACTCTGGGAGGGTGCTCAACACATAACGCCATGTGCGCTACAATTCCAAGCAATCGGGATTGGGATGACATCGCTACACTCATGGGTGACGATTCCTGGAGGTAATTGTCCAACAGAATCCTCTCAATCAGGATGCACTAACAAACTTTAGTGCAAAAGCAATGCGCCAACACTACATCAACCTCGAGAATAATCATCTTGTCCCCAAAGGAACTCCTGGTCATGGGTTTGAGGGCTTCCTCGATATCACTGTCAACAGTGATGGTCTTTTGAAAAACCAGAGCAACGCACAAGTCGTTTTGAAGGAAACAGCCAGGCAACTGGGCCAAGATCCAAGCAAGATTTTCGAACTACTTCAGCGCGACCTCAATAATGATGATAAAGATCGGGATTATCAGACCGGGCTCTTCGGCTTTCCGGCCCACAGAAGTCCAAGAGGATTACGTGTGAGCGCAAGAGATGCGGTCGTGGGCACCTTGAACGCGAAAAAATACAAGTTGACGCTAGGAATCCACTCATTTGTCACCCAGATTCTCTTTGATACGAAAGGGAAGAAACCACGAGCAACTGGAGTAGAGTATCTTGCAGGTCAAAGTGTTTATGCTGCAGATCCTCGATTTAAGCCCAATAACTCAGCATCTGCAACAACCAAGAGAGCCTTCGCTAGGAAAGAAGTCATCATCGCAGGTTAGTCAACTAAAACTTCTGTGAATATATGACCATGTTCACTGACTTCAGCTAAGGCGGAGCTTTCAATACACCTCAAATTCTCATGCTCAGTGGTATCGGCCCCGAAGACCACCTTAAAAGTTTCGGCATACCGGTCCTTGTTGATCTTCCTGGCGTGGGTTCTCGTCTTCAAGATAACACAGAATATGGTGTTGCAGCAACTGCTTCTCAGAACTTCACTTCCGTGGGCCCAATTGCCACATATAACGCACCGGGAGACCCAGCTCTTGCCGCATGGTATGAAGGTCAAGGGCCATACACTCAAGGACCTCTTGATTCCATCATGTTCAAGAGTAGCGCCTCAGTAAATGGCGAGAGGGATATTTTCTTCTTTGCCCTCGGGGGAAACTCCTTCCGCGGATTTTGGCCGACAGAGACCGAGAATCAAGTTCCAGCTGATGGACCAGACATTTTTGACTTTTCAATGGTCAAATTTAACCCTCAAAATGACCTGGGAACAGTTCGACTTACTTCAAAGAGCCCATTTGATACCCCAGATATCAACTTCCGCTTCTTCGAGAAAGGTGGCGATGTTGATCTTCAAGCTCTTGCTGACGGGGTTGAATTCGGTCGCAAAGTCTTTGATTCTATCGCTGCCCCGCTGGGTCCTTTCAAAGAGGTACTTCCTTGTATTGGTGAGCGCAACTGTGATGTCAAGGAGAATATAAGAACCCAAGCTTGGTCTCATCATGCCACGAGCAGCGCTGCTATTGGAGCCGACAGTGATCCTCTGGCTGTGTTAGATTCGAAATTTAGAGTGAGGGGTGTCGATGGTTTGAGGGTTGTCGATGCGTAAGTGTTATGTCTTTTCTAGTTGCGGATTTCAATTCCATGAATACTGTTACTAACTCCTCTAGGTCCGCGTTTCCCAAAACACCTGGTGCATTTCCAGTTATCCCTACGTTCATGCTGGGAATGAAGGGTGCTGAGGAAATCCTGAAAGACAAATCCAAGTGGTAAGCTTTGTCCTGATATAGATTATCTTGCCAAAAGGCTGCAAATTTCAAAATAAAAGTCTTACAGCCATTGAAGAAGAGAAAAAATTGTCCAGAGAATGATTATTAGTGTACATAATAGTGTTTAACTATGGGAAAATATGAATTTCTAGTGATGAAATTGAATAGAGAAGTAATACGTTGATTCATTTATGTGAGTTTAAAGAAGGTTATACCTAACGCTAATCTTTACCTGCACTTTTATAGGAGGGCATAAGAATCTATAATAGATAAGGGAACGTTGAAAACTTTTTACTTTATAGAATAGGTCTAGTTGTTCTAGGTAAGTTTAAAGGTTTATCAAATAATTTAGAAATTAGATATAAGAAGCCTACTTTAATATTATAATTATAGACTATTACCTTGTCACCCCCTTTAATATCTATAATAATACGTGCACGCAAAGCAAACGACCTTACTTAGGTAGCGGATTTCACTATTTTTAGGTCTACTTTCTATTTTAAAAGTATTTAAAGGTTTATTTAGGAATATTAAAACACGACCTGATTAACTACACCATCGACTCTCTCTACGAAGGCCCGTAAGTGAAGGGCACGTGACCGTCTTCCTCAGGCTTCTAGATGCCCCAGAGGACGAGCGCTGTGGTCACAAGGTACACAAGACCTCTCCCGCCGATGACAAAGGATTCATTTGCACTCTGTGTATGGAAGATCCGACAGCAGGTACTCCCCCCAACAAGATTTGGTCATCACGTTCTACCTTATTGAAGCACCAGCTGTCCAAATACCACACTTTTGAAGAAGAGTGGATGAGAAAAACAAAGAAAATCCACGAGCAGATCGGAACTTGGAAGTGCCAGCATCCAGAATGACCTCGTGGCTCTGAATTTGAGTTCCCTAGCCTTAAAAAATTCAAATTACATATCATCGGCTCGGCTCGCCAGTTAAGAACAGGCCAGCATGAGATGAGCATACACCGAGAAGGGTGGTTGGAGAATAGCTTTTACAGCAATCTGAACCAACCGCCAGAGGGTTATCGAAGTAAATAACGGTCCGATCAGGAGACAGCAAGGAAAAAGTTCAAGGGACTTGATCTCCCTCGACCGCAACCTGCTGGTGCTATCCTCCAATCTCCTCAGGCCTTGAAATCTCTGAATGGACAACCAATGATACTTGCTGGCCCTGTTCCTATGCCACTGATAGCTACACAAGGCAAGACTCGTGAGGAATGGACGGAGGAGCAGAAGCAGAAGGGAAAAACAATGGTCTCTTTGGGCGATATGACTGCGACAGATGAATGAATTTCCAAACAAGCTGACAACAAGTCTGTCACATTTGGGTACGAGGAGGGGATGCTGAAGTTGGAGGAATACATCAAGAAGTTGAAAGAAGGTGCCTCGTAGGGATGGCGCTGTGTTGCCTTGACAGTATTAGACTTTTACTTTTTGAGAGGGGGAACCACTTTTGAACCATGGCTTTGATATGATTTAGCTCTGATGGATGCTCTTCTGATGTAGAACCTGCGCTGTACGAGATTTCGCTCACACTGGGCTTTCCAAATTTTACAATGATCAATCACTAACACTTCACACAAAATGCATTCAAAAAAATAAAGGTAAGTTTCAGTGATTTTGATTGACTAAAACTAAGCTGGATAGCCATTTGGCTAGCGAAACCTAAGGGGGGAAAAAAAACTCCCGGAAGGGAAGAAAAGGGGAAAAACCTAGTTCGTTCATGAAAAAGAAATGAGATACATAACATCCATCTACCTATGTACCAGATCGCGGGCGAAGAAGCAGAAAAGACTATCGACTTGTTCTCAATGTTGTATCACGCGTAGGTAGCACAACAAATAAAATAGAAACCCCAGGCAATCCGCATCGCAGTAGAAAATGGAAGAGAAAAAAAACCGAATGGCGACGACCGCAAGGAAAAAAAAACTTGATGATCCTTCTCGCAGTAAAAAACGGAAAGAAAACTATTCCTGTACCCCAGATACTCAGTCCAAGCTCTGAGCCAACAAGACCAATAGTCTCACAGAAGCAATTCCTTGGCGGAGGATTCGCTCCTGATATCCATACCGTGATAAATTGTCTCTATGGCATTTGGGTGGGACGACAGTGGAGAGCGCTCAAGAGTAGCAGAAGTTGGCAAGAGTACCTTTCAGGCCACTCACAGGTCAGCTTTCTATGGGACCCTAGGTAGCAAAATCCAACTGTGATCTTCAACGCATAAGAAGGCAACCTAAGAAGGCCTTCGCCGCAGACTTCTAGCCACTCAGAGTCTCCGGCCAACCCTTAGTACCATCCACTGTCGTCCCACTCAAATGCCATAGAGACAATTTAACACGGTATCTGCTGTGCCCACCACCAACAGTCTCAATTGCTGTGCTGCATTGTATGCAACACACAAGACTGTGACAAGTGATTAGAGGAACAACCAGTATGCAAGTGCCTGCTGCCCTCCTTTCTATAACAAATATCTATCGAAAATGAATTCCACCCTATAGGGATGAAACAGGCCCACAATTCCGGGTTGTTTCCCGGCGGCATTTAATTGGTTGTATTTAATATCTGCATCGCCCCCAAACTTCTCTATCTCTTTCTGTACACTGTACATCAGTTTTGGCTGGTCTTTTTGATTCTCGTGCTATTACTGCCCCACCATCACATAACATACATCCCTATCGTAGGGAGTAGTAGAGTAGTACACTGGTACGGCGTTGAAGTGACTAAAGCCAAGGCACCCATCATTAGAAGAGATGCTGGCGCGGAGGATTTTCTCGCTTAGATTCCAATGCACAGCCCCTTTTCTCCGTAGGTCGTATTGTGATTCCAGAACCTGTGGACATACTGTAACAATATTCACAGATGATTCCTCAAAAATTAGCCTGTACTCAACTGGTAGACACTGAAGGACCATAGAATCCTGCTACTTAGTAAAGGTGCCGCCTTTCTCAAAGGATATGTGGGACTCTTTTGAAATGACGCAATTGTTAAATAGCGAAGCTGGTGAGGGGCGCAGCGAGTTTGACTCAGGCAAATGGAGTAAACGAGTGACGAAAGAGGGCTTCAATCGAAGTTTTGGTGAAAATAGAATTGTATACCGTGGTAAGATTCCTTCTTCCTCTTTTCGCTTTGGCTTTGTTACAATGTTTGTTAATCTTGATGTGTGAATCTGTAAGATACCTGGTCGTTACTCTGTACACACTGTACAGAAAGTTATTATACTAAACTTCTAGTACAAAGGAAATAATTGTATTATTATATCTAGGCCTATTAAAACAAATGCAGTAACAAACATTTTAGTTATGCGACGCTTTTAGGATAATTTTGTTCTAAGGGGGGTGTATACAGAGTAACGACCATGACCTCATGTCATGTCAACTTTTGAAACACCACCTGTACTGTAGTATCACCTTGGCGAGAATTTGAATGAAATCACGCCCTGTGAGAAAATGTGTGAAGCGGCTAATTGAGGACTTTAATTGGTCTGTTCGGATTGCCCTGTCAGCATCATGTCGGGGAACAACCCGTAAGTGCATATACGATTGTCTGCCTCAACGAAATATATTGGTTTTGCGGCAAGCTTGTTTCTGTGGTACACAGAAACGGGTGGTTGATCTGGTACCCCTGCAGTAATGGCGGCTTCTTCATGCTCTTTTTCGGGGATTTTATTCCTCCAGTGTCTTGAAAGCTGCTGTCTACAAGATTAGGATCTTGTCTTCGATTACAATAAGCAACTTCGGATTTTTTTGTTTTATACTCTTGAGTTTTAGCAAATGTGAGTATTTGCAAAATGGAGCACTCCCAGCAGCAAAAGCTTCTACTCAAAGATCCCTCCATAATTTCTCATGGGAAAACTTATCCCAAATCACTCCCCCGGTATAAACCTTCTTGGATCCAGAAATACGTTACTGGCTGGCGATGTGATGTACTTTCGTGTGCCTCGTGGTCCCTCGTTACATTTATTATAAACATAACCATTTTTCTGTGGGCAGAAGCAAAAAATGGCTTTCCTGGATTGGATGATGGTGATGGAAAACACCCTGTATACGAAGGAGACTGCGAAGTTACTCGAAAACTCAATATAGGAGTCCATCTATTAATCAACGCTCTCAGTACAATCCTTTTGGGTGCCTCCAATTACTGTATGCAGGTAAGTCTTTCCTGGTCGTTTCACCCTGTCTTCCTTATTGTTTTATGATTTGAGGGTATTCAGACGTTTTCCCTTTGGTTCGAAAGTCATATTTGCACCTTTATACGGACCCTGAAGCATTATCAAAGACAACAAAGCTGACATCATGCTTTCTTACAGTGCATGTCCGCGCCAACGAGGCGAGAAGTCGATAGCGCCCATCGAGAGGGAAAGTGGCTTCATATTGGGGTTCAAAGTATTCGGAATATATTCTTTATAGACAAGAAACGTGCCCTCTTTTATCTTGCACTGGCGCTATCTTCTCTTCCGCTTCATTTATTGTTAGTTCTCTCTATCATGCTTCAAGATAATGCTAAATCCTGACAGTTATAACTCCACTGTATTTTCTTTGATCGCCGTTACCAATTGTACGTATACATTTCGACGGATCATTTCTGGATACTTCAAGCTTCTGTAAATATTTGGACCTGTTTGTTTCTCTGGGCGTAATCTTACAAACTCTTGGGGGATCGAATCTCATTGATAGATTCCTCATGTCTGAAAACTTGTTCCTTGAAGAGATAGTTGAGTCTCGAGATTACAGCCAAAGACATAGAAGCGGCGCAAACCTGCCTTTCTGTTTGATTTTTCCATTCGCTGTTTTTCGATTGTGGCGATCACTTTTACACCGCTAATATGTAAATCTCAGATTACATATATTCTGCGAACGAAGCATTTGCTGACCCATCATCCAAAAATTACACACTTCTAGATGAACCTTGTTTTGGGCACTCATGGGAACTGGATTGTACCGTCGATGGTCATTGTTCATACTCATCGGAGAAAGTTTGTACTGCCAAGGTCCTCGTTAACAGGATTTTCGAACAGTCTAAGTCAGGAAGATTTGAACGACTCGATAAATCGGCATGTATAGATGCGTACTCAATACCATTTCAAACGAACAGAGCAAGTCTTATACTCGTTGTATCGAACACCACAGCAGGATTTGATGCAAAGATTCCAACGATTCGATATGAACATGAAGAGCCGATTAATACACAGGAGAGTGGGAACTGCAATATGGGGCCTTTCTCATGGATATGCCCTCCCCAGAAATGCGGCGATCAATGTCAATTCAATGTAGGAGCGACCAAGAAAGACATCGTCAATTGGAAACCATTTTCTACCGAGGTGCTTTACTGTCTGAGCGAACCAATAGAACAGCATTGTCGTTTGTTGTACAGTACGCATCTGGCAACGATAGTAATAATACTGAATGCTTTGAAAGTTGTGATGATGCTCTACATCGCTTTGGGAAGCGGAGAGGCTCCCCTGATAACGATGGGGGACGCTGTAGCCTCTTTGCTTGACGTTCGGGGTATCTCGACTGGGGGAATGTGTTTAGCTTCGCGGGAGGATATAAGAAGGTCACAGAAAATTGGATCAACGTGGCCTATTGTGGCAAAAGAATACTCGTCTACACGTCATCCGCGTGCACAATCGTCAAGCAGGGCTCGTTGGATTACAACACTCACAATGTAAGTGTTCAACCGCATTGACGGCTTTGAGAGTAACCCATCAGTCTAGATTCTCGATAGCGATTGCTGTGGTGATTAGTCTACTAGACTGGGGTATTCAGCGAATAAAAGGACCGAACGGAATCGATACAATACTGTCACTTGGTCTTGGTGCAATTAATCCTGTTACTTTCATCAGCTGGGAGATCCCGTACAAGGGCTCAATAGGATTGATTTCGAATGTTTTGGTAGCCAATTTTTCACAGGTTGTTCTATCCTTTCTCTACTTTGCCTACAATGGCATATTTACCTGTATGTCGCTGGCATCCGAATGGAGTCGATTTGCACTCCATCGCAAGGGACTCCGCGTGTTTGGAATACCGAGGGGCGACCAAAGAAGTAGATACTTCCTACAATTGCCTTATCGATTTGCAGTACTGTTGATGGTTTTGTCAGGAATTTTACATGTATATATTATTACCATGTTCCCAGTTTTCAGCTTCTTTAATCTGCAATGCCTCCACCGAAAAATACAACGAAGACTACCGGCTACAGGATCTGACTCGATATTTCTTTCTAGTGGCTTGTCTCTGAGAGTATATTTCTGGTAACAGTCGACGGGTACGTTCGAACGAGAGATGGAAATGGTGTAAGAACCTCGTACGTCGACTTTATGACCTGCGGCTACTCCCCGATAGCAACGATAGCAGTGATCGTAGTTGGAGTGATCATGGTAGCCGCAGCTATCGTCACCTCCCGATTCAAATTGAAATCGGGAATGCCTATTGCTGGAAGTTGTAGTGCTGCAATTTCTGCTGCTTGTCATCCCTGGGAGGAAGTTGAGAATGGGAAAATGGCAATTTCAAAGCTTCGCTGGGGTTCTTTGGCTACTGAGGGCGAAATTGGACATTGTTCCTTCACGAGTGAGGAGGTTACTCAGCCGGAGGATGGAAAATTATACGCGGGGCTTTAATATTATTACCTTTCCATTTTCACGATCTCGGGAAGAAGCCTCTGGAAAAATTAAAGGCCCTAATAATTTGCAGATTTTTGTAAACCAGAAGTGTTAACAATACTTCTGCCGCCTTATGATATAAAAGAGGCGGGCATTACTTTGAACACACCTAGGTTACAAAAATATCATCCTAAAGACCTGACACAACTAAAGAGTTTATGCGAATAGTTTAGAATAATTGTTACTTTTTACTCCTTATTAACCTAGGTAAAATAGGACAATTCATTTACTTGGACTAGACTTTTGGTATAATAAATTTCGATAGCGTGTAAGAGAGGCGGGCATTACTCTGTACACCAATGAGTTATAAAAATATTATCCTAAAGACTTTACACAACTAAATCAATTATACGAATAGTTTAGAATAATTGATAGTTTTCACTCCTTGGTAACCTAGGTAAAATAGGGTAATTAATTAAGTTGTACTAGACTTTTGGCATAATAACTTTTAATAGCGTGTGCAGAGCAATGACCAGGTTTCTTATAGAGCAATGCCCGTCATTCTTACATTCTATAAATAAAATCACGAAGTTTACCTTTCCTGGACACATTATATATTCCGTATTTGCGGAGGTGCTATGAATTCCGACCAATGATGGGTGCATTAGAATTACAAGGCAAACAAATATATATCACGGCAAAATACGAAGGAAACCGAGAAAAATTCTGACCATTTGGTCTCTGATTTTTTATTGTGTTTACCGGAGCCGCAGTATACAGCCTTGTGGTGTCTATACTGTGACACAGCTGAAAAGAATATGTACTGTAAGACCTGCATCACTATTTTCAAAAGCAATCCAGAGAAGATTTTCTGGATCAAAATACCGCAAGTACTACATCAGCCTGGCGATGGTCCTTAGCTTAAAGGAATGTAGAAACCACCAACAGATGCGTAACTGCAGTTTTTCCGCAAAACAGCTGCCCTTGGCACTACAAGGAGGAAACTTGACTACCTTAATACCATTCTCCCCACCCATTTTAGGTTTCCACTCGTCCAGATGTTAGTAATCTCTTCTACAAGTCTGGTTACAGACATCCCATGCTCTCAAACAATTCCAGCACCATTGGGCTCCACAAAGACAACTCATGTGTAGACAACCTCCATCCCTATTTACCATACGTCCACAGGTAGGACAGCTCTTCCAATCATTTTCTTTTGCCAGAGCCACAACCAGCTTTCCCTCTTTATCCTCTTCACATATACCTTTATGAATAGCCTTCTTACACATAACACACGTTCTCGCTCCACACGTTTTGGCCGAACTCCCAGGGCATGTGGCAGTAGGCCCTTTGATCGTCGCAGGATTTATGAATATTCCGCACATAGTTTTCGAGCAGTAAGTCGGATTAGGAGTTGTTAATTCCGTCACCAGTGCTTTGTATGGTTCTATCAACGAAGGCGACAAGATTCCCTTTGCAATTTTGATGGAAACACGAGTACCACAACACTTGAACAGACTACGTGACGAAAGCGCGGATCTGAGACCAACTACAAGACAAGGGCGGCAGTAGGCATGTCCGCAGCTTGTAGCAAGACAAACCTTGACCTCCTCCATTGAGCCCATACAGACTGCACAATCCCGTGTGTTTTTGTGCTGGTCTTTTGGTAGTTCGCGGCTTTTTTGAAATTCCCGTTGACCTGAGTTGCTAGGAGAGTCCACTGGGTTTCTGATTGCTGATGGTCTCTTCTTTGGTTGACTCAGGCGTTGAAATACATCCAAATGTTTCGCAGTATCTGACGACCTTCGCTGTCGTGGTTTGATTGGAGGCTTAATGGTTTGGCTTGAACGTTGGGTCGCCTTCAACATAACCGATGTTTGACTCGATTCAGATCTAGTGGGCGGTCTTTCGCCTTCAGAAGAACGGCGTTTGGGTTGGCTTAGTCGATTTATTGTATCTGGCCGCATTGTCTCGCGGTGCCAGCGTATAGTAAGATTACTGTCAGTTGGCAGTTCTCCAGGAAAAGGGAGATCTCTCGTGTTGACTCGGACTCGTAGACATGTTTTTACCGTTCAATGAATTAGCTTTAATGAAGCTAGTAAATTACAGGTGTTGCTGGTAAATATTTTTGATTGGAAGGATTACAAGGGCGATCGGATCCCGCCCTGTGAACAGCCTCTGATATTAGTTCACAACCTGAAAACGACCTGCAAGAGGTGAATTATATTCGGATAGAGACCGTTCGGATGTGTATAGTGTTTTTTTGCGCTCTCTGGTAGGATGAATGGGCTTTAGTTGGGACATGACATCGTAGTCTCCATATATCCACATGGGCAGAAAACTTCACCTATGGGGGTTGGAAATCTCTATTTTTCAATCTCAATACATGGTCGCTATCATACTAAATCAATTTAACTGGAATTCACTGCTTGCTTAATTAGATAGCTGTAGCACTACTCTAGTGACCTTCGGTCTTCGTTCCTTACACGAATCTGGTTATTAGTCATTCCCAGGTAGCCGTGTACATCTACGAAATGATGTCTATGAAAGGAACCAAATTAAATAGATTGACTTCAATATTTCAATATAAGAGGAACAAAGATGATTCAATAACAATGGGCCCTTATTGAAGATGACTTTTGGTAGGACTTGACTAAAAGATGTTAATTTGTCATTAATATTCTACTTTACTTAAAGAATTCAAGTAGGCCACATCGATGAAATATAGACAAAGAAGGGTGCAGGTTTAGGTATTATTGAGTAATTTTGCATTGGGCGAGTAAATCGTGTTAACTTCTGTAAGCGACATGGTCTTTACTCTGCATACACCTCTCTTGAAATAAAATTATTCTAAAAGCATCTTGCAATTAAAATAGTTATATAAAGAGCTTAGAATAGTTGTTAACTCTTAATTTTCATTGGCATAGGTATCCTACGACAGTTATTTTGCTTGTAATAGAAGTTTAGTATAATAAATCTTCACATGGTATGTGCCTTTATAGAATAACGACTACGTATCTTCCGTAGGCTTAAAGAGATTTTGCATATAGCCTACGAACATTATGAAACAATCTAAAAGAAACAGAGATGGACTAAGAAAAAACTTTGGAAGTATTAATCTGATTGCTCTTAAGTAAAAATGCTCTTTCAATTATAAGTAACCAATTCACAGATGGTCTAATACACCAGACCTACCGAGTACCAAGCATGGACAGGATTCTTTAAATTTCGATAGGTAAACAATACACCAGCGTCAAATTACTTTGAATTTCCCTGAATCTCACCAAATGAAAGATATAGTTCAACGCCCCTGCTTTTCTACCTTCCCAGTCTCTTTCCTTCATCCACAAAAGTCTGACCCAGTCCCACACCAGCCAAATTTTGAGCCTAGAACAAATCAGCAAGTACATTTCCACGAAACGAGTTTGGCCCTCGCGCAAGGCCACAAAGGTAGGAGTTTCAGATAAGTGAGCGTAAGGAAATATTGCATACAGCAGGTTCCAGCAGGACATGGAGCTCCATAATTAGCACAAACTCCCGGTGCTGGAGGACAATAATCAGGACCGCTTCCACACCAACCCCATTGTGAACAGCACGATCCCGCAGGACAAGGTCCGCCATAGTTGGCACAGTCGCCGGGGATTGGAGTACAATATTCTGGCCCCGTACCTATTTCCCAGAATTCATAGTCAGTTCACACTCGAGACAAGTTTCAAGGGGTTTGAAATGCGTTTTAGCAGTATAAAAACATATCTCTCTACTGCCAAGAAACATACCGCAGTATCCGTATTTGGAGCAACATAACCCTGCGGCACATGTTCCGCCAATTCCACCAACACACTCGCCTAGATCTCTGGATGAGATGTACTCGCCCGTAGGCCATGCGAGGGTCGTAATGAGTGGGAGGAAACAAAAAATGTAGATATGATTGAATCTCATTATGACTATTGGTGTTTTTGAGACCTGGCTTAGAGGTGTAAGTCTTTATTTTGTAAAAACGACGATATGGTGTGACAATATATTTGTTTTCCCATTTGGAGATTTGAACACTTTTGGTACCTCTTGATGTATATATAAAATTCACCAAGTAAGCCTCATGTCTTCGTCACTTGATCGATAGAGGTTAATAAGCAAGCTTGTGATGAATAACCCGACGCACCTCGCTTACGTAGATTTCCCATTTGGTATCAAGTAGCGTAGTATTGCTGCTTTTCCCCGCAATAACACAGGTTTTGATTGAATTCTTGTCCCATTTTTCAATAGTCATAGCACTGCGAATATAGCTACCAAAAGGATGGGAAGTTTAGTGGGACAAGCTTCTTTCGCTAATGCCGGCATTTCCTTGTCCAGTAAGAGACGTGGTCGTTACTCCGTAATATTACACACCTCTCTTATAATAAAATTATCCTAAAAGCGTTGTATAACTAAAATAGTCCTATAATTAGTTTAAAATATTTGTTACTGCTTGAGTTTAATTAGCCTAGGTATAATAATGGGATTATTTTGTTTATACTAGAAGTTTAGTTTAACGACTTTCTATAGAGTATATACAGAGTAACGCCCAGGTATCTTACCTAAAATAGGTGAGGAATTTTTCATTAACTAACCAAAGTACTTATATAGGGATATTCATGCATATCGACTATAATCTCACGTCTTAATTGTTGATTATCATAATCAGGGTGTCTGTTACAAGGTATAAATATTTCATTCGGGTCACGTGATGTAAAGAGCACTCCCTCCTCGCTTTGAAGAATTAAATGGTGGGGAGGGTTTTAAGACTGAAATTATCTAATAATCATTGGTCCATGATGTTGCTCAGCTTTTGTAGCGAACTCCTAGTACAAGTATTCTTATCCCTGTTCGAAAAAACAATCATTTAAACATAATCCCTTTAATACTGTATCATAACCAGCTGTGTGCATGAAAATCTGCAGTATTTGTATTATTGTTAGCACAGCTTTCTTAATATTTTGAACAACAAGAATGGTTGCCTGAGCACCGTTGATACTCGGTAATAACTTCTTAAATTAGCTTAGAAATAAGTGATACGTGGTGGCACTTGGGTGATGCTTTTCCCCTAATAATTTGATGAATGCTTTAGCTCACAAGCAAATCATAGCAAATAGTTAACTCTATGGTTTGTACCTTTCATTGAAAAAGAGTGACGCTGCCCTCTGGGAAATCGAGGCTAGATATGTACGAAAATATCTGACACCCGCCGCGGGCCGTCCCGGGGTACAAAACCATCCCTAGCGCGCATTTTTTCGTACACCAACGGTGGGCGCAAAACCTTATTTCGTACCAAAGGTGTAGTTCTTTACTTAAGTCTTATTTACGTGTTGACTTATTAATAGGCAGGGGAGGGGGAGAGAGGGGGGAGAGGGGGGGTAATAGGGGTAGATAGCAAAGTAGGAAAGTACCTATAGGGAGGGACAGAGGGGGAGGGATAGTTAGAAACGGCTGAGTACTTATAGGTAGGGAGGGAGAAGGACAGATGAAAACGACTAAGTACCTATAGGTAGGTGTCACGAATCACGTGCTCGGCATGTAAATAAGTGAAGACCAGGCGGCGATTTGACAGGTTAAGCACTATGGAAAGCTCTTCTAGCAAAATAGGGACGCTTAGGCTAGCTAAGCGATCCAGGGATTTCCTTTGGTTAGCATCACGTGACTCGATTGGATCATGGAGGATCATATGAGCCAGTGTGAGCCGGATCAGATGGATCGTGGTGATCCATATGAGCCATAGAGAACGAAGGTTCTATATAAGACTGGCACGTCTGCCATTAGATAGGAGCTTCGTGCTCAACTTAGTTATCAATCTTATCATATTAGTTTGACATCTTTGATACAAGTAACGAGTTCACTTCCAAGTGAACAACCCGATAGTCTTCTTCTTATCATAGTATACCAACCAGCGAACACCCAGCCAAGTTTAGTTAGTCAGTTTGAGTATTCGTTACAGTAGGGAGGGAGAAGGATAGGTGAAAATGACTATGTACTTACAACAAGTGGTTTATAGAGGTAAAGGGAGGGGGAAAGGCCCTCTAATATAGACAGATAGCTGACGGAAAGCTGGGGTTACGCTAAAACTCTCTTAAAAGGTAATTATAGGCTGTGTCGGTTCCTAAAAGTATAATATTTTCTTCTAAAATACCCTCTGTTTTCGCTTAGTAGGGGATAATAAAGTATAAAATCCTAAAAGTGGAGACGCCTACTTTATGGTGCTCAAATCTCCACTTTTAACTACCTAATTAGGCCTGTGTACGGAATTTCCGTACGTGTACGAGAATCTCTGCAACCGAGTTCCCAGAGGGCTGGGTGACGGAAGACATATACAAATTGAATTTGCGATATAAAAGCACTTAGCATAATCAATTTAGAAATTATCAAGTTGATAGCGTCCGTTGAAGTATGAAAGTCCCATCAAAGATCAGTTTCGATAATTCATAAGAAAGAGTCACCTCAACAAATGAATCAGGGGACTACATTGACACCGCCTTAAGCGAAAGTTTTACTGTGGGTGGGGGCGCCAGTCGAATGATAGATTCTTGCAGATCTACCAATATATCAGTAAATATAGATGAACAAATTCAAGCCTGGAACTAAGAAGGTAAATGACGCAATCCGTTAAGTTAAATGGTGCTGATGTTGATTTGTCATTGCCGGGTTTCGAGTTTCAAGGTGAGTCTGTCATTTCTGCCCTCAATGAAGATTAATCTATACCAACAATGACCATGAATTACGGGTACGAAGACACCTGAAAGACAAATGCATAATAAGGATTAGCCCCGTGCATTTGCTTTCAGGAAATCCGCTGTTGGGCTATGCAAAGGTTTAAATTTCCGCGGCAAATTTGTCCCATGACCGAAAGTTTGTCGTTTTTCCTCCAGGCAATAGAGTTCCGACTAAATTTACAGAAGTGTTGAATTGGCTTTTTGTTGAACTATAAAAGAGTGTTACTGTTTGAAGGTGAATAGTCGAACGAAGCGAGCCCGAATAGGAGAGAGCCTGATGCCTCAGGACGACACAAAAACGCCAAGGCATTCGTCCGAACCCTTAACCTTCTCCCTTCAGCCTCGCGAAAACCATCAAGCTCTCAACACCATAGCATCTACGACTTCCATAACCCAATATGTCGTCTTCGGCACCCCGTGGAAGCGAGCGCGTTGTCGCGCAAGACTACATAGCACGAATTCGATATTCCAATGCGCTCCCGCCTCCGCCTAATCCCCCAAAGCTCCTCGAGATACCCAACACTGGCCTTGCCAGTGGGCAATACACAACACCTGGTTTCGCGTCACGGCTTGCACGAGATCAGCCGCTCAACATCGAAGCAGATGCTGAGCTTGGAATGCAATTAGATCTAGTGGGAATGCCAGGAATATTTGATGGCGACGAGAGTTGTAAGTATGCAACACCCTTTTATATGCGCAATTGCTTACCATCTATTTAGCAATCCAAGCGCCATTGGAATTACCCGTTCCTCACCCTCACGATCGAGCTCTCTTACGACCCCTCTCGACACTCGGAAAGCCTAAGTTCTCGGATACGGGCGTCTCATTCTTGCGACGAACCGAATATATCTCCTCGTATACCTCGAAATCGAAATTCGACAATGCAACTTCCAAATCCCTGATAAATAATAGCGCTGCTAGCAGAAAGAAGAGGCCTGCACCAAATCTAGATAAAGAGTCGCCTGAAGCTATCAAAGCACAAATTGAGCAGAGCTTCCGAAACGCCGCCCATAATCTCAAAAATAAAAGCCTCGCTCGACATCCCACTAAGCGAAATGTGCAGCTGGTGGATGCTTATCCTCTGCTTCCCGATGTTGATGCATTTCCGGATTTGGGAGGATATGTTACTATCAAATTTCTTTCAAATCCAGTCCCGCCTAGTTCTACATACGATATACGGGTGGAGAACAGCATGCTAATACCCATCGATCCAACGGATGCTGAGAATGAGGCAAAAGCCGCACAAGAAGAAGCACACAGACGTGACCCAGTACATAATCCGGCCCCCGAAACGACAATAAAGTACAACCTCTTCCTACCAGAAACTACAACTACGGCGGTGAACTTCAAGCGAAAATTCGATATCCTCGACAACGATCATCAATCCGATGAGCTGTACACAGACATGTACACAGATGCAAACCAAGAAACAAATCGCAGCTTCAAGTTCAAAAGAGTCAGAGCTTATGAAAGTGCTACTGTGGGGGGAAGTGCTGCAACAAAGTATGATGAAGAAGTCATTATTGCATTGGCTGATGGTAAGGATGGGCGTCGTCAAAAAGGAGCATACTACTACCCTATTGTTCAACGAAGTACCATTCGTCCACAGAGGCAAAGGAATATTGACAAGAAGATGGGCCGCTATACCGAGCCAGAAGACGACAAACAGGTCGAGGTTATGCACATGTCAATTGAGGATCCGTTGGAAGACATGATTGACAGTCGCAACAAATTCCGAGACGATCCATTTAATGATGTAGAAGTTAATGAAGAGGAAGCCGATCAGCCTGGTGGAGGGCAAGACGGATCTCTTTCTCCCGGGTCGCTGGATGGCGAAGATTAATTTATTTCTGGGAGCTTGGATGTGAGATAGTCTATGTATAAAAAAATGAAAGCGTATCCCAATTTACACATGGCCTGGTGTCGCCCTCTTGAAAGTCATCTTGGTGTTCAAATACGTCCCTTTATCGGTGCGTTGAAAAGGTCGTGAGTAAGGCTGGCCCTATTCCCCAATGGCCAGTGTAGCTGAAATCTCCCCGCATGCCCGTCCTTACAGTCTCCCCAAAAATCAATCATCGAAATTACCATGATATCTGAATCAACTTCCTTCAATTCTCTTTCGCTTATGCTAGCAAGTCCAAAATTAGAGTTTCAACCAAAGGGACATGTAAACATTCTTAGTGCTAAGCGAGCGTATTCATACGTCATCAAAAACTGAATCCAATCCACCAACCGCCTTTGACTGCCTCACTACCACTCGCGTCAGAAATCTCTCATCTCTCCAGCCATAAAGTAAGAAACTAAATTCATTGCGAAATGAGATCCACGAACAAATCTTAGGCGATGACAGCAGTCTCCTCTCCAGAAGCAGGAGCAAAAGTCAGATACCATTATCATGACTATTAGGAGAGACAAGGTAGAAGCTGGTGGAGGAATACATCGGATTGGTGGCGGTAATTGCGTTCCAGGTATCGCATTTCCCGCAAATTATTGAACATGAGCGAACGACGAACACATCATATTACTTTCACAGAACAGAGTGTGAACGCAAAAAGGAGAATAAACTGGGCACACCCCAAAGCATTGTTGACACCAGGGTAGACAGCAAAGGGGGTATCTCCATCAGTGTCAACAATACAAGCGACTTGGTAGCACTTTCCGCTGGTGGTCAAGTGATTGGGACCCTGAGATTGAGGGCAGACCTCCCCGGTGCTTGGGGGACCACCCTAAGCTCGTTTTGCGAGTCTAGAGCGGTTTGAGATGGCTTGCGAGGGGCTTGCGGGGGCATCAGTGATGATTGCGAGGAGGATGGTTTGAGTCTTCATTTTGCGGGATTGTGATTATTATCTTCGGGGTGTAGGTTGTGTGAGATTATGAAGGGGATTGAAATGTAGGTTGTTCATTAGAGGTTCTGGAGAAGAGGAGAAGGTTTATATATTCGAATTAGAGAGGAAAATTGATGGCAAGATGGAGCGTTATTTCGGCCCTCGCTTAATAGGAGGTCGTTCATTCAACACCTTACTCGTTACTCGACATCACCCTCTCTTAAACTATAGAAAGAAGACAAGAAACGTGGAGAAGAATGGGGATAGAAAGCATTCAAGCTCAAATATTAACAATGAATATGTACAGTAGTGACTCCCACTCTTAGATCAAGGCTGTGCTGTATTACACGGGGGATGGATCGGCAGACCGTCGGCACGCTGACTGGACGGAGTTCTATATCTCACAGTATCAGAATAGTACCTTATCTAAACGCCGAAGTTGATTATTTATTAGTACCATAATAATTGTTATTACTTAGCAAAGCTTATTTCTAAAAGTGTGATTAAATTTACATCGCTAATTTAGAAAAGGCGACTTTACATGGTACCCATATCTCTTTCCAAGTTGAATTCTCATAGTAAATAACGAACACCCCTTTCAGTACGATTTCGCTTATAAATATATCACCCAACCTTGTGTATCGAACCGACCGCAACAAGGGGTAAAAAAGATGTAACAAGTTCTCAAAACTCGTATCCTCTTCCATTTCATGGGTATTCATAAAACCCACATTCTGCGAAGCGAGAAAGCCGTTGAAGCATCGCCAATCGCCTATTTAGTATAGGAAACGAAAAGCAAGCTTTAGATAAAAAGAACAAGAAACCCCCTGATAAATCTCAAGAAGTCGCGACACCTCCTACTGTACCAGCCAATACGGAATGCATGCTCGAATCATCTTCAGCTGAAAAAAATGATCTCATCAAGAACCTCAACGTAAGTCCCAAGACCTTCATTTCCACAAAGGAGCAATAGATATCCTGTTCCCTTACCTAGGTAAATTTCCTCTCGAAAACCCCTCCCCTCCTCCCCACTTTCCACACCTCCCCTCTCCTCTCTTCTCCCCTCAAGTCCCTCCTTCCAAGAACCAAGAACCAAGAACCACACAAGCCCGTTCCACACCTCCAAACTCAAAACCCCACACCATAGCACCCAGCTTACCAACCCTCCAAAAGAACTGCTTACTCCGTACATTCCATCCGTATCTCCGACCATCCGCGAGGTCGTCAAAAAGCCCAATTCGCGCACGATTTCTCTGTAGACTTTCCATTCGTGTTTTCTTGAATCGTTCTATCAAAGAAGGAGTTGAATAAGTTACACAATCCCTGCAACAAGACCCCGCAATTGCATCACCACAACACCACAACACTACAACCACGAACCGAAGGAAAAGAAAACAGAGAAAGGAAAGAGAGAAAGATAGTTGAGGAAATTACAATACCGCAAAAATGGGAATCACTCACCTCGTAATCTTCAAATTCAAGGACTCCGCATCGAAGGAGGAGGTTTCTGAGGTACGTTACCTACCTTTACTATACAGTAATCCCACATTACCCCACCTCGCCTGCCTCTCCCTACCTATTCATACCCCTCTCCATCCCCAACTCACCTCCCAACCAATTCCTCTTTACAAACCGAAAAGGAGAAAACGAGATAAGAAGCAAAAAGAGAACCAAAGAGAATTTAAGATTGGAGATGGAGATGGATATATGCTAATGGAAGAGAGAAAAATAGGCATGTAAAAACATGATCGCCCTAAGCAAGAAGTGCATCCACCCCACCACAAACGCACCATACATCCTCTCGGCATCAGGGGGAGAAAATAACTCGAATGAAGGATTGAGTGTATAACTCCCTTTTTCCTTTCCCCTTCCCTTCCCTTCCCTTCCCCGTTTCCCGATCCCGTCAAGTGACACCCCCAAAAGGGGAAAATTCCAAAAGTACGGAAAGACAGACTAATAAACAAATAGGGAGGGTTTACCCATGGCTTTATATGTCAATTCGCCAACAAGGAAGACCTGGAATACTATGCCAAATCGGATCCCGCTCATTTGGCGTTTATCAAGAGTGTTGGGTCGATCGCTGAGAAGGCTCAAGTGATTGATTTTGAGGATGGGAAGTATTAGAGACAATCAAAGGTCTTGGACATCAATAGCATCGGGTAGGGAGTAGGTGCATACTTGCTGCTCAATACGTTTGTTGTATAGAAGAGAAAAGTCCCTTTCAGTGACTCGAGAGAAAACTAGAGGAACAGTCTATTATGAGGAGAACTTGAAAAGTTCTTCCATTCCATTATAATCCGGACCGGAACCTCCCTCGTATGACCAATATCGTATATGCAACCAAAGCAAAATCAATCTCTATTTCGCTGATGCTGGTTGGTATCCATCCGTGATACCCAAACCCAAGTAGAAACGCCACCCAATGCAACTCCCGCAGATCCCAAAAATTCATAAATCCAATATATAGTATCATCAACGTCTAATTTACACCATGAAGGATTCGCCGCAACCGCATTCTTCCTCTATATTTCCATTAGTAACGAACTTGAATAATTTCGTGAGACTGGAAAACTTACTTATATTAGGATTCGTAAAGACGAATTTCTGGTTTAGTTTATCCTCCGTCCAATCCATCGTGCTGTCAATGATACTCATCAATGCGCCACTATCAATGACCACCTTCACACCATCCTGCACAACCACCTCGTCGAAAGGACCAGCTTTGTCAACGTATTCCAAGTGATAGGCCAAGCCACTGCATCCCTTATTCTTAACGCTAACCTTTATGAGTTTGGGATTTGGTTGGTCGAGTAGTGTTCGTAGTTGTTCCACAGCGCCCGGGGTTAACTTCATAGCTGCCTTTCTGGGCCGGAGGGTGTATCCACGTCTTGTCTTGGTTGCTGGTATCGCAGCTTCAGATTCTTGTGTTCCCTGCTCCTTCAGTGTAGTCGCGGACTCGGGTACTTCTTGAGTAGTGGCAGCTTTTTGCTGCGCTACTGGTTGTGGTGGTGGGCGGATGTCGTTGACTTGGGGTATGCTTGGAGTTACCGAGCTGGGAATTCCTCCCGTGAGAGGTGGCGGAGGTTGGCTACCGAGTGTATGAGGTTGCCATGCTGTACTCGTCTGCATCTTTCGCTTCGAGGAGGCGTTGGTAGATTGTGAGGAGGAGAAGGAGCGAAGGAGATATTGACACGGGCGCAAAGATGAGCATGTTGGCGACGGGGCGAATCTGAAGACAGAGCCTGCGGAGGACGCCAGAGGCGATAATATGCGTTGTACGGGCATTTTGCAAATTCAAGAGAGGTGGTAGAATACAATTAGGAAGTTTGGTGAGTACAGAGGAGGTAAAGTACAAGGTAGGAGACGTGGTAGGTAGAGGTGGGTTGTGGGGTGGTGTTTTGTAACCAGAAGATGTGAAATCGGCCCACCTCAAAGTCACCTCAGTCTGATAGTCAGTAGGTGGGAAGGCTTGGCTCTGAAGTCATCCAAGGCTGGCCAATCAGAGGCGCGTTATTTCTAACCTCCCAACATAAGCAGAAGTGAATAATCAGATACAGAAGCTTCAGAAGATAGAATGATTGCAATACTGTACAAAGAGGGTGGGACATCAGACTCAAATAGTGCAAATAGGGCAGAGTGTCCTTTGGAAGGCTTTTAGAAGGTTCTTTCAGCATAGTTCCGCCATGAAGGGAAGATTCCGCATGGTTTGGGATACAGCACTGCACCACTGCACCACTGCACCACCGCCACGGAACTTTTCCCCGAAGAACCGACCCCACCCCCTGTCCGAGTACGGAGGTGTTGCTTTGAGGACTCAGTCTCGGCGCATTAACGGAGCAGCCGATGCGGAACGGACACTTCACCGGAGACGGCAGACCTTCATCCAGTCCAGCCTTGACGAATCGTATTCAAGGCGACCTCGGGACCCGGACCTGACAGTTTGGCCAAAGGCACCAAGGTAAAGCTTATAACCACGAGTCTTCTTCTGGCGGACGCGAGAAGTCCTCATTCTCAATCTTGCTGCCATGAATTATGGAGCCTTCGCCTTTGACACAGCAGGCTCGACCTGAGATCTTCCAGCCAAAGATTGTAGAGCTGTACACGGCATTGTTCAAGGTACCCACCCACATTATGTACTCGGAGAGGGGTGCAGTTACTAACGCCCTATCCAGGAGGAGGAAGAGGAAAGCGACCACGAGAAACCAGAGGGATTCTGGCGGGAGTTCTTTCTTCTGCGACCAGACAAGGCTTCTCTGCATCGCATTCTGGACGGACTAAGCCCTGATGACCTCCTCCATCTCCAGGTATGACGGCACGAATCTACGAGGGAGACCGGCAGACCTGACATGTACACAGAACCAGACACGGAAACTTTTCGAAAGGGCGGTAGCATGTATCAAACCAGGAAGTGCTCCAGCCGATGCGCATGCGCTCGATGTAAGATGCCAATTCTTGCGACATATGAGGCGAGGCTGACAATGTAGACCATCACAGCTTTCCTTGCTTCTGTCCTACCCAAGAAATACACGAATCCAAGCTCCGATATAATAAATGTGCTTGCAGGACTGGATCAAGTGGACGCCATCTTCACTGATTTCGTGGCTGCGCTGGACGTCACAATAAGAACAGGAGTCACATGTAAGGGGCGAGGTCTTTGCGCTCTTATGAAGATACTAATATCTGGTAGTGGAGGTTCGGCAGAAAGCAGTTGAGGTGGCATTGGCTGTTGTATCTGGCGCATACCAAACCAGTCTGTTGTCATATTTCACACATCGCGATTTGTTCCCTTCTCTTATGAAGGTAGCCTTTCCCTCCACCCTCTATTTTGCTTGCTTGATATTGACTCAAGATAGTTTGTTCAAGATTCCGAAGACAACGCTCGCGCATTTACACCCTTTACACTACTCGGCCTGCTCGCGAATTATAACAAATTCGAATTCCAGAATCCATATCGATTGCGATTAGACGATTTCGTTAACGAGGGGACGATACAAAAGATAATCAGATCAGTTGGGTATACATGCTCAGAAACGAGGGTCAAATATATTGCAATCCAGGATGATCTTCCAGAAGCATGGAGTATCAGCAATACTCTCAGTATGATTGGGTTAGGAGCAATGGCACCTGGTGCAAAAAAACCCGCTCAACCTGCACTTGATCCCGAAGTAGCAAAGGAAATGTTTTCGAAGCTGTATGTACATCCCATTTCTTGCATGAACAAACTGACAATATTACAGACCAAGTAATGAGGCTGCGGTACTTCTTGCAACATATGATTTCGCTCATGCGAACAAACTTTTTTGCTTTAATTTCGTTACGTTACCTGCAGAAAAGGGCCTTGAAGCTCCTATTAGCAGCTTCATTTCCGTCACCTCGTATCTTTTACAACACGCACATTCATCTTTGAGAAACTCACTTTACTCCCATTTAAACCTTCTCATTCTACGCCTTTTCATTGAGGATCAAGTATTGTGTAAAAGGATATGCAGTGACGAGAGCAAGATGTCGGTTCGATTATGTCGGCAGCGTTCACCTTACTTGCCTCTAGTTCGTGGCGAAAGAATGCTGGCGGCTAGTATTTTGGATACGATGATTGATGGTCTTAGCCACAATCTACGAAAAAGGCTTGATGTAGATCTCTACATCCTTTGCGTCGGAATCATTCTAAGACTCATCTCTCATCTATCTCGTTCCCGAACACGTCTTGCGTATCACTGGTCAGAGCTGTTTCGATCGCTTCTGTCCCTTGTCCGCTTTCTCACTACCTACACTGCGGATCTGAAGAATCTCAACCACATTGATATTCTTCTTGATGATCTAGTCAATTTGATTGCACTCTCTCTCTCGGCTGGCGAGGCCTTTCTGCCTAATCCTGCCGCGTACGATGACCTTTTCTACAAACTCGTCGAAACTGGCGAGATTTTAGTCAAGTTTAGGGATAGTTATGGTCTCGCAAATCGGTCTACTAGTTCCATTGAGACATTGATCAGTGTGACTGAGCATTACAAACAAATGTTGGCAGATGGCGCACAAGGAAGAAAAGGAAAACATTTGACCAGTGTACAAGTTTCTGGAGTGATCAAGCAAGGTTACGAAACTCTTAGTATACAAGCCAAAGAAGGCTTAGATGGATGGGAAAAATATCGAGAAGCGGACGAAAGGGTCCTTTTGAAGAAGATTGCGCGAGCCGCCGTCGGCGATGTCAAGACGCTGTTGGTTGAGGGATGAGGTATTTATTATAGGAGGAAGTGCTTCTTTTTAAGGCGTTTTCGTGCATGATGATGACATGTGGACTGGATAGCATTGGGGAAACGGGCCAAATATACCACCACCATTTGAGGTTGTTTATGAGGGGCCCAGTCCATTGCCAAGCATCTGGTTTGGAGTACTTAGAGGGTGAGGGTTAGGGCGTTAGTATTGGGAACCAGAGTCGGGTATTCATATACTTTTTTGGATTTGCTGGAGGGGTCCGTTGGAGCGTAGATTTGGCGAGCAATTAAGCATTTTATTATAGATTACATTCTTCCGTCGACTCTAGATGTCTGTGAGGCTGAGCTCATGTGTGAATCACGAAGCACGAAGTTTCTTGACTGGTGATACTAACTTCAAACGGATTTATTATACAGCACTACATCTGTTAGTCATAGGCGGCTGATTGTGAATATTGAGCTCATTGACTGGACCTCTAAACGCGCCGGACCCACTTTTCTCCCTACCATCCACCCCCCTCCCAATCCTAAATGTGGAGCTGTGGCACGGCGCTTAGAGAGGGTTTCAACGACGAATGACAGCGAGGCGAGGGCCAAGCTTGAAACGGGATCTTGGGAACAATTCTTTGCCCTCACCGGGAAGTTGTGAGTCAGGTTCTTATCGGGCACTAGGCGGGATTTTCGATGAGAATTCCTGTGTTGGTCATTTTTGAGAAGTGGTGGTGTTGTCGATCTTGAGATTGCTTGGAGAAAGGCCTATTACCGGTTTTCGGGAAGACCCTGAAGTTTGGCAGGGGAGTGGTGATTGGTGGAAGTGGTGAGATACAGTTGCGCTTGCTCTCCCGAGAGCTTTCCACCACCAACATTTTGCAGCCTCATATGGGAAAAGAGAATGGACCTGCCGCGACCTCAAATCGCAGACCGGATAAAGTGCTTCTTGCAGCATTTCCTATCAAAATGTGTGCACAGCCACCTTTTCCACCGAGGCCTGTATGATCTGAATGTCGTCAGGATGCATCGTGGTGGGTGGTGGGTTTGATGTTGGCACAATGAATCACGGAGCTTCAAACTTGGATCACGATGGCCTCAATGGTCAGTCTGGGTGAATAAATGGAAGTTGCCCCCCAGGCCCGGAGGCGACTTCTTTCTGAAGATGGGCACCTTCAAACTATCGCACCGCTCCCCATTGGTGTCCCCTTGCAGAACGATTGAGCTCGTAAGAAGCAGTGGTGGTGGTTATATGAATCATCCGCATCCACATTCACATTCGCATCACCACTCTTCAATATCAAAAATCATTCTCAAGTCAAGAACTACGGAGCAGAAAACACAAACTTTTTGGATTGCTTTCTTAGTCGGATCCACCTCTTCACCCACTCACCCACCAGCCAGCTCAGAGCCGCCCACAACAAGCCCCCCCGGTCTCCAGTCGCGACGTCCTTTCCTCGCCTACAATCGACTGGCCCAGAGGCTCTCTCACAACAAAGCGCCTATTTTGGGAGTGCGCCTACTGGACAAAGCAAATCGCCTCAACTTCAAGTCTTCCAGAATAGACTTACCTCCAAAGGGCCCTTTGAGACGAGGGTCTCGCCCGACACTGCATTTCTTCTTAAGTGTACGTTGACCCCACTCGCTTCACTAGTTTCGCTGTCTCGTCTATACTATTCACTTTTTTTTTCTTTGCTATTATTGTCCCAATCATCCATCTCCTTTTCTTGGCGTGTTATTCCGAGTGGCTTTGTTCTTCAAGCGAGGTCACCCGATAAGCCTATTGTTATAGATTTCCATTCACATTGTCGTGGTTAATTATTGCCCTGCCCTGCCGCCTTCGATCTTCTTAATCAATCAGAACAAAATTCAATATTCGCTTCACCCTTTTCCTTCTTTGGGCCTCTTTTGCGACTTTTTTTTACTTCATTTGACTTTACCTCACGCGCTTCAACACCAACGATCGTTACAAAACATACTAAGATGTCTCCACTGGCTGGACTTAGACAGAAACTGGCGTCCCATACCGAGATGTCTTCCGCAAGGAAACAAAACACCGTTCTCGCGGTACCCGGAACCCTCAACGCTGGCAACTATGAGATGGATGAGTACTCGGATCGAGGGGTTGCCGCACCTCACACCGCACCTGGATATACACCATACCTCGGTCTACGAGCTCGATTATCACAAGTATGGATCAACCGATGGACCGTACTTCTACTCCTCATCGTCGCCCGTCTACTCCTTGCAATCAAGGATATCAACCATTCAATAGATTCCGCCAAAACCGAAGCACTCTCGGCATGTACGAGCGTCGAGAAGGCTGGAAGCTCCATGGCTTCGATGCCACATTACCTCTCACGGGGTGTCAACGCTTTGGCAGCCGATGGAATCACTAGAGCCGTCAGTGGTCTCATGAGCATGGTACTGCTTACCGTAACAGGCGTTGAAGAAATCATCCTCTTCTGGATCAACATGATGACCTCAACATACGTCTGCCTCATCACTCTTGTTATTGGTGGTAGCGCACACGTTGCACTCAATATGATTGAGAAAGTTGGCGATTTCATGAAGAAGAGTATTGAGGGCCTCACAGGCGACCTTGCTAAGGACGCTGGTAAATTCCAAGACAACCTTAATGGCTTCCTCGACAAACTCAGTGTCCCAGCGGGTCTCTTTGGGGGCTCCAAAACCCCTCCAAAGATTGATCTTAGTTCTGGAATTGCCAAGTTGAACGATATCAAGATCGATACCTCCAAAATGAATGCCGAACTTGACAAACTCAATGCATCAATTCCAGACTTCAAGGAAGTTCACGAATTCACCGACAAAATGATTCGGCTTCCATTCGAGGAGATCAAGAAACTCATCAACGAGTCTCTTCCCGCCTACAAGTTTGATCATTCGGTTTTCCCAGTTGCACAAAAGAAGGCTTTATCTTTCTGTTCTGGCAACTCCAAGATCAATGACTTCTTTACCCACCTCTTTGAAGTTATCCAAAAGGCCAAGATTGTCTTCTTGGTTATTCTTATTCTTGCCGCAGTCCTGGTCTGTATCCCCATGGCCTGGATGGAAATCCAACGATGGCGCAGAATGCAACAACATGCCCAGCTGGTGAACCAGAACTCTTTTGATACCATAGACGTCGTCCATATCGCCTCTCGCCCATTCACCTCTCGCGTTGGCATCAAGATTTCCGGGAAATTCAAGAATCCCAAGAAACAACTTCTCATGCGCTGGTTTGTCGCCTACGCTACATCACTTCCTGCCCTCTTCCTTCTATCCCTCGGAATCGCTGGTCTTTTCAGCTGTTTATGTCAATACATAGTCCTCAAAGCCGTCGAGAAGGAAGTCCCGGCCATCGCCGACCAGGTAGGCGACTTCGCTGACGATGTGGTCTTCGCACTCAACAACGCATCCACAGATTGGGCCGTAGAATCCAACAAAGTCATCGCCAGTACCGGCTCCAAAGTCAACGAAGATCTCTTCGGCTGGGTAAAAACATCCACCAAGTCTGTCAATGATACCCTCAACGTCTTTACCGACAAAATGACCGAAGCGCTCAACGTCACATTCGGCGGTACAGTCCTCTACGATCCGGTGAAGGAACTCATGAACTGCCTCATTGGTCTCAAAATCGCTGGCATCGAAAAGGGTCTCACATGGGTCCATGACCACGCACACATCGACTTCCCCGAATTCCGACCTGACGTCTTCTCGCTTGGCGCCATCGCCAGCCGTACCAATTCCACAGCCGATGACTCTTTCCTCGCTGCCCCCGGAGATGTCGCTGGTGATGGAATCACCAATGCCGTAGTCAAAATCTCGAATAAACTCCAGGAGGGACTGAAAACCGAAGCCTTCATCTCCCTAGCACTCATCGGTCTCTGGGTATTCATTGTCCTTATTGGGTTGACCAGGGTCCTCATCGCGATGATGGGGAGGGATAAGACGCGTGCAGAGGGGGGCGCAGTGGGGTATGGAGAGGATACCGTCCCGCTATCTCCTAAGTACACGAGGAATAACCCATCTGCGGCTGTCTTTCCTCGCTTTGGGAGGGAGAGTGAGGAGAGTGATGGCGTGCAGAATGAGAAGCTTGGTGTTGTGGGGGGTGGGATGGGGGTCCCTGGGATGGTTGGCGGTCATGAGAGGAGTAGTAGTTATGGGTATGTGATGGATGAGAAACGATGATGTTTTTGTTAGTTTGGTTTGAATTATTTTGGGGTGTTTGGGGCTAGGAGTTTTTTTTTTTTTTCAAGGGGCTCGGGATTGGGATGGGATGGATGAGACTGGTTTCTCCGGATGCCGGTATGTGCTTATGCATACTTTTACTTTTACTTACTTCTTCTTTAATGTTGAATGGATCTTTACTTTCTTCTTCCCTTCTCTTCTTTTACTTCACTGGTTGTCTCTTTTTTTCTTGTGAAAGGGCGTGGGTGCTGGTTTGGGGGTTGGGGGTCTCGACTTAGGAGTTGGAGTTTGGAGATGGGGTATAGATATAGATATAGATATACTTCCACTATTACTATGGTGGACACAAGATTCCTCGGACAGGACAAAAGGTCGCCTCTGAGAGTCTACCTGAGTAACTTGAGGGAAGGAAATGAGTGGAAGCGGTCGAGCAATGAGGAGAGGGTACAGTATTTGAGAGATAGGGAGATGAGGGAAATGAGGATGAGAATAGGCATAAGGAAAGTTTCTTTTTCTTTTTTCGGAGATATTTCATAAAGGGGTGATATAGGGTTTAGTTATTATGTAGGTTGTATATAGGAGTGAAATATCTATCCTATGTTATTTTTTGACACATTTCTCTTTCTCTCCCTCTCCCCGGTTCTCTCTCTATGTATACCGTTTCCTTGTGATATGGTCTCTATGATATCTATTTATCCCTTATCCTATTATACATATATAATATAATATAATACGATACGATACGATAGTTCTCCGATTCTAATTCTCATTCTCATTCTCACTTCCTCATTCTTGATTTTTGTTTGTTTATTGTTGATTTCTTGGTACGAGGAGTGGGTACTGTACTGGTGTGCTGGTGTACTGGTTTATGGTTTAAAAAGGTAGAGGTAGAGGTAGGGGGTTCTTGGGGGTGGATTGTTTGGGGAAGGATTTGTTGGTTAGTTGGTTGGTTTGTGTCAGATTGGACTTTTTGGTGAGGGAGAGGGGTGGTGTGGGTGGTGTGTAGCTGGATGGATAGATGGATGGATAAAGTAGATGTAGGGGGGGTTGGGGGGGGGGG